GGTTTTGGTAGTTTGGCCAATTATACGGTATGGTATTGTGTATACAAGTCTCTTTGTGTATGAACATCACCTCCTCAGGTCCATGCCAGTACACCAAAACATAAACAGGCGAGACTTTTGCGCATCAAAATGCTTCATGCTAACAAGGCGATCAAGAATGAAACGGTAAGTAAAGTCGCGTTTTCTGCCAGTTCATCATGACAGTGATTGCGCAGCCAAATGTACTTGTGTCAGACGTCGCCATCGACACAAAGCCGCCGCGAGGTGGTTTGTTGGCACAGCTCGATGCAAATCTTAATGTAAACAGTCACTCTAGCCCAAGTACATCTGCGCGACGAGCCCCAACATTGAAAGCGTTCGTGTCATTGCCGTCGAGGCGCGGAACTGCTGGGACTACCGTAAAGCCTGAGCTGGCTGATACTGTCATTCCCCGAAAGCGCACTTCCTCGTCTCTTACGTTTCTGGGCGCGGAGAATGAGGAAGACAAATCTGGTGTCTCCACTCTCTCCGTATCTAAGCGCGCGACTCTTCAGCCACCCAAAGCGCTTCTGGCGCTCGTCAATCCCAACACGCAGCCTTCGCAAGGCCACATTCCCGTACAGCTCGCTGATCAAAGGGCTGTGCTTCCTGTGGCCCACCAGCCATCCTTGCACCGCAGTTCTGATGAAACCCGTTTAAGGATCACCAACATTCAAAACGACCTAAATTCCCTGGCTAAGCTTTCTAAATTGACGAAAGACAGGTTCATCGGTCAAGGACCTTCTGCCATGACTTTTCAAGTCCCTAGCCACAATATCGGCGATGCAAGATATTCTTATCCAACGCTTAACCGCCAGTCTATTGTATCGGGATCACGCGCTCGTCTCGACGTTGCTATGGAGTCGGACACAGACTCAGAGCAAGATTGGGAGCTGCCTGATATCTTGGGTGGTGTTGGCACTCATGACGCACGCTTTGACGAGGATGGCGACTTCTATGGCAGGGGTAAAGATCTATTTATTGGACCGACTGCGAACCCGGGCGAGTACGTCGCGAAATCTTTCTGAATGAATGTGTTCTCACGTTCTTATTTCTGTGCTGTTCGCAGTATTGGCAAGTTTTTGATCGCTGCTGGCAATGCGGAGCAATTCGATGCAATGCGGAGCAATTCGATGGCAATGCCAGTGTCGACAAGGCCCTTGAAAAACTTGGATTGAAGAGCCTGTACGATCTCCTTCCGGGAATGGCCATTTCTTTGTTGGCTCACCAGGTTATCGGCGTCGCTTGGGCGTTGGAGCGCGAGAAATGCAGCGACAAGGGAGGCTGCTTAAGCGATGAGATGGGCTTAGGGAAGACAGTGCAGATAATTTCGGTGGTCATGGCCAACCCCTCCGATGACCCTAGATGCAAGACGAACCTTATCGTTGCTCCGTTGGCCTTACTGGACCAATGGAAGCTTGAGATCGAGATGAAGACCACCAACAATTTGAAGTGTCTAGTTTACCATGGTACGTTCAGAGTTGCATGTGGGTTTCGATTTAATCCGAGTCTTACGTTCTCTTCCACTGAGGCTCTAACAAGCCCCGCAAGAAGACCGACTTGATGAAGTACGACGTCGTGTTAACTACTTACCATGTGCGTTCGAGTATGATGTCTTTCATTAATTACTAAACCTGGGTCTGTAGACTCTCGCACTGGAATGGCCAGACCTGGAGGCGGAAGAAAAGGCCAAGCAGAAGGCTCAAAAGCGCAAGAAGAAGACTGATTCCTTTATCGAAAGCGATTCGGGGGATGACAGGATACCTAGGAAGAAAAAGAGAGAATGTGAGCCACGGTAATTACTATGGCCAACTAAACTGACTTTGTGTAGTGGGGCTTCTCTTCCAAGTCCAATGGTACCGTGTTATTCTTGATGAAGCACAGAACATTCGCAACCGGCGCACAAGTAATAGTTGTCACGTTTCACCCTCCTATATACTCACGACTCTGCAGGAATATCTCGTAGCGTCACCGATCTTGACACGACCTACCGTTGGTGCCTCACAGGGTGAGCATCTCGGCCATCAAAACCATCATTCACTAATTTTCGGACAGCACTCCCATTATCAATGGCCTAGTTGACGCATACGCGCTATTTCGCTTCCTTCGCTTCCGTCCTTGGTACGATTGGCAAGAGTTTAATGGACACGTCTCCATCATCGAGAAAAAGAATCGTACGTCAATGTTCGCCTAAGATCTCGCCTTCACTTAATCACGCTCTAACTACAGCTGAATTGGCAAGCACGAGACTCCAGGCTATCTTCAAATCAATTATGCTGCGTCGCAAGAAGGATACAATGTTAGATGGCAAGAGGCTCATCGAGCTTCCCACAAAACATGTAGAAATGGAAAAATTAGAGTTCTTCCAGGAAGAGCTCGAAATATACCAGATGGTATGTTCTGCTAGTGCATATATGCGTTGCGCTCATTGCCATATCTTTCAGGTCGAAGCTCGCTCCCAAGCTAAATTCAATCGTTTTCTTCGTGCTGGCACTGTCTTGAAGTGAGTCGCGCACTGTTTAGAGAAATTTTGAAAATCTCAATTACTACTCATTTAGAAACTATCACCAAGGTACTTCACCATTTCACTAACGCAACCGTCGTTAACGACTCGTTTAAAACACAGTCCTTGTGATGCTCTTGCGTCTTCGACAAGTGTGCTCCCACCCTGCTCTTATTCAAGAGACTTCCGAAGCCCTTGTTGCAGCAGATCAGTTGAATGGCGGGCATGACCTCAAGGCTGAGCTGGCCCGCGCAGTTCGACTGGTGTCATTAGATTTTGTAACGAAGCTGAAAGCAAAGTATTTTCAGTGCGCGCTGGCACGTATACAGGCAGAAAAAGAGGTGTGTTTCTCCTTTCAAATGGATTTCATGATGTTTACACGAATATAGTCCCTGGACGCCACTGCCGATGGTGAAGAATGTCCCATCTGTATGGACACATTCACCGAGGCACGTGTCACGGCATGCGGCCATACCTTCTGTCGCGAGTGTATTGCCAACGTCTTTAATACTCCCTTTGTCCAAGACGCGGAGGACCCTCGTAAATACCGTAGTAATGAGAAGCCTTGTGAGTCACGCACGTAAACCTTCCTCTTGTCACTCATTTTGTTTCGCAGGTCCTAGTTGCCGCGATCCCATTTCTGCAGATGCTGTTTTCATTCGCGAAGCATTCGAACCTACTGATGCCGAGCTGTCAGGAGATGTATCGGCATCTTCCGATGACGAGATTCCTGAGATCTTTGATATGATGCTTCGGGGATCAAAGGGCAAAGGCAGGGTTGGGCGCATCCGTAAAAAGCGTGCTGTATGTGACTCAGATGATGAATCGGAAGATGACGACGACGACATGAGCGATTTCATTGTCGAGGATGGCGAGGATGAAGAAGAGAAGGATGCCAGGCGCAACATCAAGAAACGTCTGAGAAAGCGCCGCGCAATGGTCATCGAGTCTGATGATGAACTTGACGCAGATGAGAGAGAAGTGGTTATAGGTCGGAGCACGAGGAAAGTGCCTGCTTCCACGGGTCAAGTTAAAATGATGTCGCGCTTCCTTCCTTCTACAAAGATGAATGTAGGTTGTCGCATCTCGTTTCCGGAACCATTTTTAATGTCGTCCCCAGCACATGATGAAGCATCTAGAGAAGTGGGCCAAGCAAAATCCTGGCGACAAGGTTGACTTCCAAGCAATACAGTGATCGTGGTGCTGATAATATTTGCAGACCATAATCATATCGCAGTGGACCGAATGTCTCAAACTCGTCTCCGAGTTCCTTACGGAGAAGAAGATACTCCATGTCAAGTGCGAATCTTCTGATGACGTCGCGCGTGCTTACCTAAATCGATGTTATCTTTCGGTTTAGGTACCAAGGATCCATGAGTCGCAGTCAAAGGGATCAGACTGTCCGAGTGTTCATGATGGGCAATACTGCACAGGTCATGCTTATGTCCCTGAAGTGTGGAGGTGTTGGGTTGAATCTGACAAGGGCCAATCGTAAGCCTCTCCGGTTTCTTACATCACTGCGTTCTGACTCCTCACAGGCGTCATTTCACTGGATCTTGGCTGGAGCGAAGCGATCGAAAGCCAGGCATTTGACCGAGTCCACCGTCTGGGTCAACAGAAAGATGTCTTCGTGCACAGGTTGGTCATTGCCAATACTGTCGAAGATCGTGTTCTGGCTCTCCAAGAGCGCAAGGTAGAACAAATTGTGCTCTATATTTATGCTCTGTTAATGCATGGCTTCAGCGAAACCTTGCGGATGGCAGCCTTGGCGAAGGCTCCGGAAAGAAGATTGGCAGTAAGTATTTGTCATGAGTCTTGGACACTTTATTAATGCGCACCTCTGCAGGGATGAGTGTCCGTGAACTGGCAAATTGTACGTGCCGTGTTACACTTTCCTGCACGTTAACTCACGCTTGGCTAGTGTTTGGTCTCGACCACCGAGGCAACCTTCTTTGATGAGAAGTATAGGACCGCGTAACCCGAAATTTTTCCACTCGTGTGTGTGCTTCATTCTTTTCCTGCTGCTACTGGCGCCGTTGTAAAATTGTTCTGGCGATTATCATTATCGTAATTCATCGAATTTGTATTGTAGACTTATACCTCGCAGATGTTATTATACCTTAGATCCCGTTGGTCTTTTGTAGTCCTCAGTAAATAACTGTTAACGTATAATTTTCAAAGTTTCATATTGCAGTCCGTGTATTTATAAATTGTGTGGAGCTACAATAGTAGTAGCGTAGTTGGCAAATCCAAATCGTTGGTCGTTCAAGCTCAAAGCTACCTTGTACTTGTTGCACGCAAAGTATCTTACCCTGCGTCGTGGATGCCAGACTTTCATTTCTGTAAACAAGACCATACGGGATCCGACAAGCTTGAATTGTTTCAACAATTTATCGCTTTTGAATGTAAGCTACATCAGGCAGTGGCCCAGTGCAGTGGTTGCCATCAACATTCTTACCGTCGCCTTTTCCGGATTCACCTATAATGCTAAAATGTATCGCAAATAGAATGTTGGCATGCATCATGAATTAGTATACGCATCAATAACGACAGATACATATGATGAGGTATATTGTCAGGGTACGGCTCCTCTGGATATCCCTACCGGGCCCCAGTTGATTTCTTCATATGTGCAAGAATCTTGTCTACTTCGGTGGTGTTCCTATCTGCGAGCTTCTGAAACTAATAGGTCGGATGAGATAAAATGATGAAGTGAGTGAAAAGCAAGTCAGACTCACTTCTTCGAGCTCAACTGAGTGCTTTTTGTAGTCGCCCTTTTTGACACTAGCCTGTTGTATCTTTCGAAGTTGCACACGTGTATCCTCTGCCATTCGCTGAGCAGTTGCAGTCAGCGCATTGCGGGCTTCAACTGTTGGCCTAAAAGAAATGATGAACGACCATACTACAGGAAGACGAAACAAGCGACCTAGGTATAGGAATCTTGATTGTCCTGGAATCCTGTCTCTGGGGAACGATATTTGGTAGCTTCGCGGCATATAAGGCCTGTTCTACTGCTTTCAAATTCTACTGGTGCACCAATAAGTGAATGTCCTCAAGCCTAGCCCCGACGAGATGCTCACTTGGTCCTCAAACACCGTAATAATCAAGGTTGAGCCATCTCGAACGCCAATGGTGGCCACTTCCTCGAGTTTCACAAGGTCCTTTCCTTTGCCTGGAAGTTCTATGCGTACTGGCGAGAGAAGGGCTGGAGTGACGCGACCGCTTGCACGAGTCTCTAGGCCAGCTACCTCTTTGCGGTACCATTCGACAGCGGCGTTCATCTTCGCCTCCGATTTTCCATATTCCAAACGAGCGGCCTCAGAAGTAAGAGCTTGTTTGGACCCCGGGATTAAGTCTACAGTAGATTTCGCCTTAGACCTCGATGCGTAAAGCCGGATGTATGATGTTTTGGGTGACCAAGAGATGGCATTGTGTGTAAAGCTGCCCTGTGTCGAACTCAGAAACTGAAGGCTATTGCGAGGCACGGTTCTTGGCGAGCAGGAGGCAGCAAGCCGTACAGCACTGAGTAGTGACATGACAATGATGATTAGTATGTAGAGTACTTAGTCTTGAACTTAGATCTATTTTTTTGCCGACGCAAACTCGCACAAAATTTCCTTTTACAATTTCATTTTACAAGCAGCAGCAATCACTTCAAGTAGTACAGCTACATAGTACACGTCTCTACAATACTTACTCATCGACAACATTTTGGCAAGCACGTCCTCTTTCTGGACATCATCGGTCAGCAGACATGTTGACCATGGATCACAATTGGGTCCAGATGAATGTAAACGATAGGGAGAAAAGCTCTTTGACACCAGTGGAATTATCGACCTGGTAATGGCCGAGTTGAACACTGGAAAAAGCCAGCTGACACCAGCGGCCACCGTCTGGGATGGCGCAGGAAATAATGGTTTACCAGAGAGGCAGGTACAGGCGCTCAAGCTCAAGTCTGAAGTGGTTGTTAACCACCATGCCGCATGACCCCAAGATCAGAATCACCCCAGCAGTCAACAACGTAGTATAGTTGAGGGGATGAGTATGACACACACTGGTCTAGTGAGTCTATATGATATCATGATATACGCTTTTTGATATTTTTTTTCGTAGACCCTCGGATACAGTTGAACAATTATCTACATCTACATCTACAACGTAGATCCAGATCTTCGCGGGACCTCTGGTTCCAGGAGTTATCGATCGCCGGTCCCGGGAATACACCGCTTATCGTGGTTATCTACTGTCAGTTGTTTTTCAACTGCTTCTTGATGCATTCCTAATTTATTCCTCGCCAAAAGATTCAAAACCATTGAATATGATAGAGACAAAGGGGCAACCCAGTCGCCTACCAGAGTGCCCGAAAGCTCTCTCAGAAGCTACTTATTTCTGCTTTTCTTTCATACTGTATCTCACCTCTTTGTCAGGGACCTCTGGGAACTCCACCGAGCGATGTGCCCCAATCAGTTGTAAGGCTTATCCCTTCCTAATTTCATCTCGTTTAGACCTTTGACGCCTGTCTCGTCTCCAAGCAGCAGCACAGTAACAGAAACATGTCGGTATAGTTTTTCGTACCTGCATTCTTGCACTGGTACGGGAAACGACTTCTGGGGTGCCAACCCTTCGTCCAGTCGCGCAGCTCCACCTGCGAGCCCGTCATCTCCCCTTCATTAGGATAATTTGCTCGACTCGCTGCGTTTCAGCACTCGACCTGTAAAGACGCCATAATCAAAATCGCTCCGGCGCCAGCATAGGAAGTTCAGCTTGCTTCCTGTAGGAATTTCCATACGCACCGTCGATGTAGCTCCCGGTCGCAAGAAAAAAGTGGGTGTCTCCCACCATTTCCCCTTTTGGTATCAGCATTGAAATAAGTAACGGGAGAAGTTTCTTGTGAAGTTAGGTACTGCGGGGTTGTTCTTCAGTTATGGTCGTCTCACTTCGTATTGGTCACGAGGTCACCTGCTGAGTGCGTCCGTGCCAGCATGACCCGGGCCTCAGATGTTCACCATCGTTGGCCGGAAGCTGACGGAAACAGAATGTTAAATTGTGTTTTTATAGAAGCGTGCGTCTAAAATATCGATACCCATACCCATACCTATATAGTGTTACAAGCAGGCCTCTCTGTCAGCGTGCATACGTGATAACTTCGACTATCTTCGCTGATTTGGGACTGAGATCGAACAAGAAGTGAACCCTACGCGCGTACCTCGCTGCGGCGTTAAATTCCGATATGTACTATAGGGAACATTCACAACTTGGAGCGGCTTACATAGAAAAGAGTGTATTAGCCTTTAGACACAACATCGTAAAGTGTTTTTAGATAAGTGATAAATGAGATATAAACGAGTGGATGGGTGCCGAGGCCAGACATAAACGAGTGAAAAACCAAAACCAAAAACATCATCAAGAAAGAAAGAAAAAGTGACACAAAATATTTCAAGATCATGCAAAACTAATGACGCCTATATTCATACCCCGGAAACTCCGAAGGGCGCCTCTGCATCAATTCAGGACACATGCATCCCTCAGTCCACCCATTTTGGGCCCGAGCGGGTCCGGTATACATAGTATACTCGTCCGTGGTATCTGCTGACCCGTATAAGACTCCCAACGATTGGTTGTTGATAGGTGGGGGTTGGTATTGGTACGATGTGCCAGAGGGCAGGGGCTGTGTCGGGGGGTTGTGCTGTGCCGGAGGCTGGGACTCTGTTGCGGAGGTGGCACCACGACCGCGCGGCAGAGGAACATAACCATGTTTTTTCTTGCGGTGGCACGTGAGAAGGGAGGGGTTGTGAGTCTTGAAGTCACAACCATCGTGAGGACAGATGTGGCGTTGCTCGCCCGCACTAAAATAAAATAAAGTAAAATCGTTCATCAGGTGGAATCCATCACGGTGATGATTCAGCACGTACTGTTTAGCAGAATGGATGTCGTAGCTGGCTTTTAGCATTGTCGCAAAGTCACACCCGGGCCAGGTGCAGAGGTACCCTCTGCGTGACCGAATATAAGTGATTGAGCTGTATACCATAGAGGAGAAACACGTACTTCGCTGAATGAGTGGCCTCATGTTTCTTCATGTCAGGAAACCTGGTGAAAGTCTGGTTGCAGCCAGCAGAACAAACGTAGAACTAAGTATTTCAACAGTCAGTCTTCAAGTTAGTGCACGAAGCATGCGCATGATTGGGCTTACCTTAGACATGATTGGTTATAGAAGAATATGAGTGGGGGTACTACTTGATTCTGGTGAGGTGAATGTGTGATTCAACTTGGGGTGATGATAGTGCTGGGTAGGTATTGGTAGGTATATATACGATTCCCGGCGGTGGTCGTGCCATTGTGCTTTGCGGTGGACAGACACATGCGGAGTTGCGCTTTTCGGTGTACAAACGCCTGTGGAGTTCGTATAGAGACGCTTTGCGAAAATTACTAGTGGATGTGGGCCATGTGACGCGTGAGTACATTGTCCTTGAAGGAACCACACCCGTTTGAAGGCTTCATTATCTGTTACAGCATTGAGTTAACACCGGGATAGAGTTATTTGCCAGAGATATGTACGTCAACTCGACGTGGAGAGTTGAGTAAGGACTGACATGGAATTGCTTAACATCGAGGTCCAACAGAGTTCTGGAGGTCTTTGTCGTCGTGACCGGCCTGGGCCCTGCAACAGGCAATCACTCGACCACCCTTAATCAACTAGATGCCTTGTATGTCCAAGCGTAGTGCTTTGACGATTCCGTCCTTGCAGGCATGACCAGGTAAGAATTGTCAATTTCAGTGGTGAAGGAATGAGATCAGACGCGCGAATGATAGAGTCCATGCAGATCGGTGCATTCGTGTCTATTGCTACTAATGCTAAACAGTACGTCGACGTAATGTTAGAGCAAAGAGAGGACTTTTCGAGCCTGCGGTTGATATCCTTGTATGAATGTAAGTTCAAGTGAATATCAGGAACGTACCGTACTAACAAGTTTCAACGTCCAAGTATGCCCGAGGTGTGCGTTCTTGCAGAGCTATGCAGTTACTTGAGGGACACTTTACATGACAGATGAGTGCAAACATTGAATCAGGAGTAATCACATACCCATTTGACGTGCGCTTCATGCGTCATCACGACTCTGCAGCCACAAAATTTGCAAGCAGATTAAACTACCCAGCAACCAATACACTTGTTTTCTGGCTCCACCTGACTCAGCTTTCCAACGCACCCGGCCTTTGAGATATTGTGCCCAACACAACACATTCACCTAGGTTGACATGACATCCAACCACCCAAGATCAATCCTTCGGGCTTGATCTCCAAGAAAAGCTCTCAGTCGATCATCGAGGAATCTTTTAAAAACAAAAGCAAACACTCACTGTCATATGGACCCTCAGTGTTGTTGGCAGAATGCTGCCACTTTTGAATCCGCCAATAGCAATTGTCAAGTGACTATTGCCAGCAGTAGTCAGAGGCCCGTGACAGAAGTCGTCAAAAGTCACGTTGATAGCACTCAATCCATCTAATTGATCGCACTTGCGAAGCCTCACAAGAGCGGATTTAGCCAACCAGGAGTTTGATAGAGTCGAGCACAAGTCACAGAAAGCTGGCCGACTGATATTTTGGACAGCGGTGTCGGGTAATGTTAACCTTCTTCTGGTTTCATACAGTTGTAGTGTCGTAGTGGAGCTGAAGAGGGTTGACAAAGGCATCGTACCAACTGGCTTGACTCGATATTGAAGAGGTTCAAGTTAATATTCGAGGCTCGGAGAGTGCAAGATGACACATTTGACATCAGAAGGTGTAGCTAGAATGATCTTTGCCATAGCTGAGAAATGTAGTCAAAAAGAGTTGAAAATGCTCACAACACTGTTTTTTTTCCGACTTCTGCCATTCTGCCCACTACACTATAGCACTGGTAGACTAGACTCAAAGTACTTCGGCTGCCAAATGTTGGCAAGAGCTATTAACGTATGTCACGTGTGTGCGTTACCTCAGAGGTCAAGACCTCCGGCTCCAGCACCGCTTGGTAAGGTATTTTCTGCTCGTATATAAGGCTAAGCACCTTGCCATCACACGTTTGCTAATGCCCACTACGCAAACCCTGCAGTCTCCCTCCGCCTACCACACTTAACCTCCAACCCGCACCCTCCGGTCTTTCCCGGCCCGCGCCATGTGCCAGGCCTAACCAACCGCGCGAAGCCTGGCGCTGCCTCGCACCTCGAAACCTCACCAGCACCCCCATGCCAGAGTGTGACCTCCGGAGGCCCTCCCACTACTTCCTGTTTCCGCCCAGTCACCAGGAAAATGTCGGAGTATTTAGCCTTATTCTACCTAATAAACCACATAAGACGGAAGGTGATTTAAGAAAAATGCAAGCAAATTTGATCACAACGAACACAACATTATGGAGATATGATAATTTTATTTCCAAATACATTAAGGAGACATGTCTTTATGTTCTAAGCTCGTGCAACTTCGGTAAAGGATCTTGAAACGGACAACATATCGAACTTCAAATTCATCACTGCTGTTCGAGTTGCCGTTTGCGAGTGCGAGAAGGTTGTCCTGTAGTAGTTGCGAGGGGAATACTCATGTTTTATCCGGAAAGCGAGCTCACGGGTGTGGCAAGGGATGACGGTGGTACCAGTGGAGGCTCGTGTTTTGGAATACCTGGCGAGGATGATGTCGATAAGATACGAACAGTACGATCCCCCATATCTGCAGACCTAAGAGATGTGGTTGCAACGTTGAGGCTGGAAACATCAATGCTGAACTACTACATGACAATGTGCCCGGCGTTGTCGGTAGGATGAGTTGGGCGGGCTTTGGTGGAGGACAGCAGTGGTCATACGAGGGCATGGGCACTAACTTGAAAAGTGCGCCTTCAATGACTGGAGAAGGACGAAGGTAACAAAAGTGACGAATGAGTGGTGTTTGGTGCGGTGGAGGTTGACTTGGGAGCTAGATGAGGACTCTCAGTAAAGTGATGGTAGTGAACAACCCAAGTTGTAGGCTGAGTCACCCTGCAGAGCAAGGTCATGTTGTCGATGGAAGACTATCGATGATTTGTTTGGAGATAAGAAACAATCTAGATCTAAAATCTGGGAACTCGGAACTGTAGCAATTGCAGAAATTCAAAGCACCGACCATATCGGAGCAAGGTTAGAAGTTTCGCAACGCGAACCCCTGATTGCAAAGCAGATTGAGGTTTAGGTGACTCCGAGCTCGTCATTGCTGTTCACGTTCGCGTTAGCTAGCGCCAGAAAGTTGTTAGACCGCCACTAGGTTCCTGTTACTCGCCGGTACATGTGTTGCATGTGAAACTGCACTGCTGCAGTCTGAGTTTTTGACAAACAGGGCTTTTGCATCCAAATGCGGTCAAGCGCGCGCTTTGCGGAAGTACCTTCGGAAGGGTAACAGGGCGCTCCATATCTCTAACGACATCTCTTGGGCGCTCTTGGGCGTCTCTGCAGCTAGTGCCGGGCCTAGTACCTGTTCTTTTCATATACGGATTTACCAGCATCACCACCTCCTTATCAAGGCGCCAGTGGCATACCAGTTTTGATGCGCTCTGCCAGGGAATCACAATGCACATACTTATACCGCCTTATCACACCCAGCTTGAAAATGCACGTTCGGAACCGTTGTACCAGTGGCATATACTAATAACAAGGAGGCCACTCCACTTCTATCGTTTCACCACTATCAGCAGTTACGACTACCAAACTCCCCTCGTGAAGTATAAACTTTAATAATAGGTACAGCAGTGATTGTCGAGCAATATTGAAGGCCTCTTTATAGATCTGCTAAAAATAATGACACCCCCATGTGCTGCATGACGTAATACAAAGATATAGGTCATGACTCCTCTTCACGGTGAACTTCGGTGTAACTGGGTGCAAAAATATGCATCTCCCAAGAGCAAATCTACGACATCGACGGAGTGATGGCCAGGTCTGGTTTTGTTTCTTCTCACTCATGAGACGAAAAGATGGTCGACAGGTAACCAGAACGTTTAACGCCACTTTTGTATGATAGTAGGAATCGAAAACAAGCCAAAATGTTCGAATGTAAGTGCTGCGCAGCACACGAGTACATGGCTGTGTATCGATACTGCCTTCACGTGGTCTTATTGACCAACTGTTGTAGGACACTGTCTATGAATTCGAACCACCTGGGTTGGACTATAGAATTTTTTGCCAGCGCGACTTCTCGCACTGCTTTTGGCCTGGCCAGATATCGAAAGCTTAAGCAAGGCAAAAACCGGGGGCGCGAGTGCTGAAAAAAACACAGGTTTGAACGTTGATTCTGATCCCGTACAGATAAGATGACATAACTGATCCGTGCCAGTCTTTCGAGTGACGGAACGCAGTTGCACCAGTATAAAAAGCGGGGGAGAGTAGCATTTGTCTACTCCTCAGACTCAATCAACATGTCAACCCTCACAATCCCGAAACTTGCAGATGAACTCTTCTTGCGACCCATCGTAATATCGATGAACAGCTTAGCCCTGTCAACCCTTATGTCCTATGTCATGTCCGCCAACGGAAGTATCGACTGGAGACCGGTACGTTCATCAATTTAATACTGAATAATATCGCTGATACAATCGTCTCTGCAGATAACCATCTGTGTTACGTCGGATATCCTTGCCATGGGTGCTGACCATCTTAAGGATAAAGAGGAGGAATTTTCGTCGGATTGCAATGATACCAATGACCCACGCCTCGCCTCTTGGTTTATATATGCACGAACCTTCCTTGCCGCCAGCGCTGTACTCCTTGCATTGGCACTATCTCAGTGTCCAATTTCGACGCTCCTCACCACGGCAGCGTTCGTCGCCCCTGCCTTGCTCTGGACCACTCCGATCAGCTTCAAGAAGTTTACGCTGATCTCGAGGCGTCTCCTCGGGAGGTTTGGAGAAGACAAGCACCAACCTTCTGCATCTGCGCCTGTCCTTGTTATTAAACGCATCCCTGGCATGAAAGCCATATTTAATGGCATCATTCGAGGGTACGTCTGCGTGTTCGCCTTGAATGATGCACGCGTAAACTAATGCTCTTCAGATGTGGCATCTACACTGTGGTCCTCTCCGTGTTGTCAGGATCAGGCAATCTGACTAACACGCTGCCGTCTCCATGGAGTGTTGTTCAATTAATGGTCTGGTCGACCGTCAACCGCTCATGCCACGCAGTAAGTAGACATTATATGATCACATGATTTGACCCTGATCATGTCCATAGATCATGACTGATGTCCGTGATTTCGAAGACGATATGAAAGCCGGCGTCCCCACTATACCTGTCCTTCTCGGTTCCATACTTAAAACGAAGGTCATATTGACGGCTTGTCATATGCTGGTTATGTTAGCTTTCATCGAAAACCCATACATTATGGGAAGCTGTGTATTTGCTGCAGCTCTTGTGTGGATTCTCGGCAAACACTCGCCGAAAAAGGCGTTCTTGTTTAGCTCTCATTCACAGTCCTTGTTTATTATCTGGTATTTGTTGACGAGGCAGTATCTTCAATTATAATCAAAAAGTACCTTAGAAACTTGTTAGAAACGTCTCTAGATGCAACTGACTATCGAAGGATATATTCATAGTCAGTTGCGTAGATTATATCTTTGTTGTCGTCTCACCATACTCATTGTGTTAAGTTACCTACCTAGACATCTTATGTGCATAAGCACAATTTCCTGACCATGATAACGAAAATTGCACCGTCACACACGACCGCCTTGCAATATCGTTCAGGATCCACCACCAACGAAATGATGAGCCATAAACTCAACATACGCTGATGCCCTGCACGACAGCTGAGCTCCCCACTCATGCCTTCGACTGGACCAGCCTTATCTGTGTTTATTGACACGACGACCTGGTCTCGACCCGTTCCACTGGCATGCACCCCTCGCAAGCCACAACGGAAGCGCACTTTTGACGAGAATGCTGTATAAGGGGATGGTGTAAATGAATCCAGCAATTCTCCTTACCTGCAACTAGTCCTCAGTGATCCAAGAAAGTCACAAAGATGATGCGAGCACATGTGCAGGCATAAAGCAGATTTACACTCGTAACGCAGAGTTTGACTCGCTGTTCGAGTTTCTGACTGGGCCAGGCACGCGCTGGACCATTGACGATTCGACGTTTGACATTTTTTTCGGCTGAGAGAGATTTTCAGTCCTAATGATCGTCACGGTCGAAGTTCTTGTCTGGACAATGTCGACATTAACCCAGGATATTCCACGTGGTTGCGCTCAGTAAACCCGTTCGCGGCTTCACTAAGCACAAGTGGCAGCCCGAGGGGCAGGTGTACTAAGGTCCTAAACTTTACAACAACATTTTCAAATTCCGAGGGCCGCGCCCCAGACTTACTGCAGGAATGCTAGTCAAGTTTAAGCGATCGACGATAACTGAATTTTAAAACGTAGCATACCTAAAAATTCAACCTCGAGAACCCGAGAGCACCCACTACTTCAAGTTGGTGGGGAGGATGTGTCCAGTAAAGCGCAAGTACATCCAGATAGATTTGAGCCGTCACAAGCAGTCAAGGCATTCCTGTCAATGGAGAGGTCGAACTGTAGTGGAAACTGCCCTGCGTGGAAGAATGCCAACGAGATGAAGGGCCTGGTTGATCGATCGCAGAAGTGTTCAGCATAAACATGACTCGTCAGTCATCCTGGCTAACACAAGCGTGATACACAGCCCAAAGTATCTTGCTGGACTATTGACACGCTCTTGGTCAATGGTTCGAACTTCTAACAGACCATTATACTGATTTATAGGGTATATACCAGTCTTCCTCGAGCATTCCGGCATGGAGAACCAAGGTGGTGACCTCGTTCTTTGGCCAGCAGCAAGGGGTAAATTGAGGAGCGAGAGTATGGGCCGTTTGGGATGTCGGGAGTAGCATTTGGCTTGATAGCAGTGGTTTCAAGATTTGATTTCATGGACGGTTTGTTCATAACAGTGTTTCGAGAGATGGAGACGGAGAGAGGCACGGGCTGCAATAATTAAAGCTTGAACTGATGGAAATTGAATATTGAATGGCCGCACGTGAGCGCTTAGCGCCACGCAGTGACTTGAAGTTCGCCTGTAACGTGTAACGGGTCAGGTGATGCTAATTCCTAGACACTGCTACTGGCGCATATTCATTGTATGCAAGAGTGGCTCAGAGTGGAGTTCTGTTGGAGGTCGCGACTCACCCAGGCTCACCCCGAGTGCCGACCGCCCCAGAGACTGTCAGACCCATGAAAGCAGGTAATCTGACGAAATCATTCATGAACTTCCTGTTCGTTGACTCTTTTTCTGCTAGATAGCGCCATAGCACTGTAATACTATTCACTTTGCTTAATGGAAAGGTAAAGCCTTCAACACAAAAGTTGTCATTTCCCAAGTTCGCACCAAGAGTCCGGGAAGTTCGATATTCAACTGCAGGAGATCTGTGATTCTGTTCCGCTCTGGTATACTTTCACTAAGACTTTGCGACAGGTGAACTGCAACTGTGACTCGTCAAAAGCACTTGTGGCGTCAATCTCTTGTGTCGATGTGTGGCGGAATTGCAAGCAAGTTTCTGCAGTCGATGATGCCATGTCGTGTTCACTGACCTGTCTATCTTTTTTACACCGGCATATGCAGTATCGGCTGTTACATTTGTGGTACTCTTCGCACTCTTCACAGCTGGTGTCACAACCTCGGATCCTCAATCTGGCAATTCCAACCCTCTTGATGTTGCCCTGTCTTCCAAATTATCATCATGCTAGGTAAGGTGTACTTAACTCAAAAATCTACAGATCGCAGGCAGATTTGCTAGTCGTTTCCGCAGCGAATAAAATATCGACTGCAACAGTTATGGGTAAAGATTCAGCTACATGTGGGTCTGTCCCTCGCACGTTCTCTATATCCTTACGGCGGTCAGTGAACTGAGACAAAAAGGAACCATCTGTTTCCCAAGAATAGATCTACGTCGCTGACAGTGTTGGATAGGTCTGTTCGTTCGATCCATCGCTGTAGAAAGTGAATGTCGACAGGCAACTAGAACGTTTGCTGTTTAGCTGAGCCAGCTTCTATCCGACATTTTGGGAAGCCACTAGACGCTTCTCAGAACCAGCGAACCTTGAATGAACGGGACTCGAATGCACACCCGTGACCCGTAGTAGTAGTATGCACGCCAGAAATGGGGATAAGTTGGAAAAGTGAGTGCTATATTACTTCTCCCCTCTCCGTTCGGTTCTGATCGACCCAACGAGATATCAATCTCGGATATAAAATGAATTGCGATCAGACCGAGCCCGAAATCTCGGTTGGACTCGAGAGCTGATGATGTCACTATCAGCTGCTCGATCAAAGTAGTTGACGGTCAGCGACTTACAACTGTGAGAAGCCGATAGGTCCGCATACATACCCGGACCGGGTGTGGCGTTGCTGTTGGTGGACCATCTTCACAATCTCTACTTATCGATACGCACCAGGAATAGAGACTTCAGTGATGACATAACCATAATGTAAGTGCTGCATATTTGTGTACCCAGCGCACGTTACATGATCCTGTTGAACCAACTGGTCTGGGACTCTGTCCATGTACAACCGGATTCGGGAACGTATATATGACTTCCTAAATTTCGCGTTCTGATAGTTTCAAATGGTATCTCCATTTGTTCTGTCACGCATACTGTCAAGAATATTGCACTTCGAGTCCCGAAAACACGGAGTTTGACTATCCCACGCAGAAAATCTTTAATGACCCGAGAACGATTTGTGCCGTTAAACTTGGTCGCCCGGGCCCACTATAAACAGCAGCAGACTGGCATATGTTGAAGCTCGAATTGAGATGACAATCCTCACAGTTACGAAGCTTTCAGATGAGCTCTTCTTGCGGCCCATCGTGATATCGATGAACAGCTTGGCTCTCTCGTCCTTCATGTCCTACGTCATGTCCGCCAGTGGAAAGCTCGACTGGAGACCGGTATGCTCACTGATTCAATACCGTAGGACATCGCACTCAATTTATATTCGCAGATAATCATCTGCGTGACATCGGATGTCCTTGCTATCGGCATTGACCATCTCAAGGATAAAGAGGAGGTCTTTTCGTCTAACCACAACAATGCACGCGATCCACACCTCGCATGTTGGTTTGTATATGCACGAACCTTCCTCACTGCTAATGCTGTGCTCCTCGCATTCGCACTATCTGTATGCCCAATTTCGACGGTCCTCGCGACGGCGGCGTTCGTACTTCCTGCCTTGCTTTGGACTACTCCGCTCAACTTCGCGAAGTTCGGGCTGGTTTTGAAGCGCCTCCTCTGGAGGTCTGTTAAAGACGAGGACGAGCACCAGCTTCCTGTGTCCGCGCCTATTCTGGTTATCAAACGCATCCCCGGCATGAAAGCCATTTTTAATGGTATCATTCGAGGGTCAGTCTGCATGTCTACCCTTGAACGTTGTACGCGTAAACCAATGCTTTTCAGATGTGGTATTCACACTGTTGTCCTAACCGTATTGTCGAGATCAGGAAGTCTGGCTGATACGCTACCGTCTCCGTGGAGTACTGTTCAACTGATAGTCTGGTCGACCGTCAATCGCTCATGCCATGCAGTAAGTGGACAGTATATGATCCCAGGATTTAACCCTGACCCTGACCATGTCTATAGATCATGACCGATGTCCGTGATTTCGAAGATGATATGAAGACCGGCGTCCCCACCATACCCGTCTGTCTTGGTTCTATCCGCAAGACGAAGGTCATACTGACAGTTTGTCACATGCTTGTTATGTTGGCTTTCATCGAAAACCCATACATCACGGGGAGCTGCCTATTTGCCACAGCTCTGGTGTGGATTCTTGGCAAAAATTCGCCGAAAAAAGGCCTTTTTGCTGAGTTCTCATTCGCAGTCCTTATTCATTATCTGGTATCTATTGAAGAAGCATGCTTAGCTTTTCGCGTGTTGGTCGTTCGAAATATTTTGTTCTTGACCGCGAAATTTGTCGGAATATTATAACGCCATAGAGACGTTTCTGGGTTGAATACAGAGCGTGTTATATCGACTGTCGTTTATTGTATCTATTGCGCCAGCTACCGGAGACTAGACGGTCATCAAACAAGACATTATATACTCTAGATCCGTGCACGATGTTAGTTGTGCATGAGTCCTATTTCAATTTGATAGATAGATGTAGTCGCGTATGCATGACAGATTAGCAATGTTGTAATTTGTTCTCGTGCCTATTTCACTACCCAAAGCGGCTACTTAGGCCATCGTAGATCAGGAATATAATGGCACTGCTGGGTATTGCTCGAGCAACAGTAATACCACACCCAGCGTAAAGCCCCTTCACACCCTGCGCCCTATACATTGCTTTCGCGGTGCCAAGGAACGTTGGCTTGGGGGCATTACTGCCTCGAGGACGTAAGTCTTCCTCAGTTTGCATCGTACTCTTGATACTGTCGGCGGGGAACATAGAAAAGTTGAATACACCGCCTGCGCATGCACCAGACAACGCAGATTCCCATGGGACGATGTCTTTCCGTGTAAGCTCGGAGCCGCGCCGCTTTATTAGCGTTGTTCCGACGAACTCTTTTGTGGCGAACCATGCAGCTCCACCACCGCATTCACGAATGAGGGTGCCAGTTTGGCCGAGCCAAAGGCCGCGGAGGCCCTCTGTGCGGATGACGGACATGAGAACGGCTATAGGACCGGGAAGGGGTCGAAGGATGGGTCCGAGGCTTGAGTCTAGGGTTGCTGCTGCGGTAGATTCAGGTATCGAGACTGAAAGCGGCTTGGGAGCAATCATCTGTACTTGCATTTTACATTTTACAAGCTCCACGGGTGTGCTAGTCGAAAATAAGCGTTAATTATAACTTGTATACCAGGCGTGGGTGACTTGCAGTAAAAAACTAGTGATGGCGCCTGCGCCTGCACCAGCCAATGCAAGCTGAGGTAACGACAGTTCGTGTGACAAGGGCTGGGAATTGATCTGCCGTATCACGTTTTGAAGTTCACTATATGACACGAACAATGAAGCATTCTCCAGCATGGCAGCCACTATTGGTGCCGGAAGGCCCTACAACCAGTATGAGCTCACGCCAACAAGAAGTTCTATTGAGAAGAGATTACATACGCGGTAAAGACCTCTAACGCCTTCATTTTCCCATGTTTTGACGAGACAGTCTATTGGTCCATTGAATCTAGCGGTGGTATCGAGAACTTGAGATTGTAATCGCACTTTTGTCAAGTCGAATGGGTGCTCAAAAACTTTGGAGACCATGCCTGCGATCTGTGTCACAGGAACTAATTGTTATTCATGCGGCTCAAGAAAACTTAAATCAGCCTCGAAAACGCACACTCCCGAACATGATATCCTTTACTGCTCGCATCGCAGATGGGGGCATTGAGGCCCAAGATAATGGGTCGGATGCTACCTCCATGTTGATAATGAATGGGGTGATGAAAGCAGGGAAAGACGGACTTCAAGAGTACTATGCAGTCAGTGCATGAAGGAAGTGCTGTACACGTGCTGTACCGTCGGTCCGCCGCTGTCATGCTGATTAACGATTAACGAGTTTATTTGGCTGAACCGGTTATGTAAACCTCAGCCTCAGTGACTCGGAGTGAGACCAAGTAACTGCAAGAATGCACAACTTCGGTATACTTCGTTGGGTTCCGTGTAAAATGTACAACTCCGGCATACTTGGACGTCGGAACTACCACCTTTTCTGGTACGTCTAGTGCGTTCCCGGTGATCCACTCATACTTACATTCATACAAGGATGTCAACTGCAGACTCAACAATCAGTCCCCTCTTTGCTTCAACATCACGTCGATGTACTGTCTATCATTGGTATGCGGGTACATTAACATGCACGGACTATATCAATCGCGCGTCCGATCTCATTGCTTCGACCATCTCATCACTAAAATTGACAATTCTCACCCGGTCATGCCCGCAAGGAGGGAACCCTCAAAATACTACGCTTGGACATGCAAATCACCTAGCGACTTAAGTGATTGGCCGAGTGACTACCTGATGCAGGGCTCAGGCTGGTCATGGCGACAAAGACCTCCAAAACCCTGTCGGACCTCAGTGTCACGCAATTCCATGCCAGTCCTTACTCAGCTCTCCACGTCGAGTTGACGCACATGTCTCTGGCAAATAACTCTATCCCGGTGTTAGCTCGATGCTGTAACAGATAATGAAGCCTTCAGACTGGTGTGGTTGCTTCAAGGACAATGTACTCACGTGTCACATGGCCCACATCCACTGGTAATCTTCACAAAGCGTCCCTGTACGAACTCCACAGGCGTTTGTACACCGAAAAGCGCAACTCCGCATGTGTCTGTCCACCGCAAAGCACAATGACATGTCCACCGCCGGGAGTCGTATATATACCTACCCCAATACCTACCCAGCATCATCATCACCCCAAGCTGAATCACACATTCACCTCACAGAATCAAGTAGTACCCCCACTCATATTCTTCTATAACCAATCATGTCTAAGGTAAGCCCAATCATGCGCATGCTTCTTGCACTAACTTGAAGACTGACTGTTGAAATACTTAGTTCTACGTTTGTTCTGCTGGCTGCAACCAAACTTTCGCTAGGTTTCCCGACATGAAGAAACATGAGGCCACACATTCAGCGAAGTACGTGTTTCTCCTCTGTAGTATACAGCTCACTCACTTATATTCGGTCACGCAGAGGGTACCTCTGCACCTGGCCCGGGTGTGACTTTGCGACAATGCTAAAAGCCAGCTACGACATCCATTCTGCTAAACAGTACGGCTCAATCATCCCCTTCACGGATTCCACCTGATGAACGATTTTACTTTATTTTATTTTAGTGCGGGCGAGCAACGCCACATCTGTCCTCACGATGGTTGTGACTTCAAGACTCACAACCCCTCCCTTCTCACGTGCCACCGCAAGAAAAAACATGGTTATGTTCCTCTGCCGCGCGGTCGTGGTGCCACCTCCGCAACAGAGTCCCAGCCTCCAGCACAGCCCCTGCTCTCTGGTACATCATACCAGTACCAACCCCCACCTATCCACAACCAATCGTTGGGAGTCTTATACGGGTCAGCAGATACCGCGGACGAGTATACTATGTATACCGGACCGGCTCGGGCCCAAAATGGGTGGACTGAAGGATGCATGTGTCCTGAATTGATGCAGAGGCGCCCTTCGGAGTTTCCGGGGTATGATTATAGGCGTCAATAGTTTGCATGATCTCGAAATTTGACAACTATCACTTCTTTCTTTCTTTTTTTCCTTCTTTCTTGACGGTGTTTTTTCGCTCGTTTATGTCTGGACTCGACACCCTTCCACTCGTTTATATATCTCATTTATCACGTATCTAAAGTACTTTGCGATGTTTTGTCTATAGCTAAAGGCTAATACACTCTTTTATCAATGTAATACGCTCCTATCGTTAAATCGTGGTATGGACACTGGTACGGGACGGAGGTGTCTATGGAATACAAATAGAGTATGGTTGTGTAAAATTAGGAGCCCTTGGCTCTAGCCAGTACTGTCACAATTCACACATGGGACTCCCTGCTTTCAAAATCTGCCTTCACGGGTAGCCCAGAGTTTTGCTACTGAAGAATTGAGCATGCCTTATGTCCATGAGTGTCCATGCCGATTCTCGCCGGTTCCTTGATCAAACCCATCTCGGGCTTCTCCAGCGAGTCCCTCACACTTCTCCAATCATCCCAGGCCTGCGCTTTTCCATTGAATACTACCTCCCTTCCAGCGCTCCGCTGGGGGCCCTGGGGCATGTAACTCTCACACCGACTGGACTGGTATACGATAACCTAACACACCTAAGACACAGCTGACAGGGTGTATCGCATCTACCCTCGCGTGTTCCCAACTATCCCTACAACCCTCGAGTTCAGCAAAGTTCAAACAGAGTTCCTCCAGGGCCATGATCACAGATTCTTCACAGTACTCTTTTGTCGATACTGTTGACAATGATAGTGAGGAGAAATCATTTGGTGATGCAAAAATGTTCCGTACAGAATGTCGTCCCAAGTCGCATATCCTTCGTGTGTGGCCCATGTGGAACCATGGCGCGTTGATATGCACATCGATGCTCTTTTTCGCGCTATGGATGACATTTCTATATACTGTGAGTGAGCGGACATCCTCCGACAGTTAACATATGGTGTTGATGATCTGTTACAGCTCAAGTAGTGCTGTCGACTCCATGGTCGTAAGATTCAATAGAACCCTCGACTTTTCTTCTATCTATCATAGCCCTCCTTCCCAGAAATCGATGCCGCTTGGGCCAGGATAACTCGCGATGGTGCGTCGTCCAAATTTTCCTGCCACCTAAACCTCAGTGCTGCCAACTCGCTTGAGGATATTCTCAAAGCCGGCGAAGTAGATTCACCTCTCAAGGTCAAGTATCCAACCAAACTCACTTGCTTGCGAGTCGCACACCCTCCTTGTTTTCTAACGTCGTGCTGGTCAGTCCTTTGGATCAGCTTTTTAGTGCCGGTCGTGTATCAGTACTCACTTCTTTCAGCGTCCAGGCCCCAAATGTTGTTGTTTGAGTCGCGCCTCGATTCTGATATGTCTGATAGCGAAGCCACAAAAGGACGATAATGAAGGTTATAATTAGTATTAACATCAACACGGCTATGACAACTGACTTCCATGGGATACCGGTAATAATTTCGAGTCACCATTAACTATGGAGCCCCACATGCGTCGTGTCGAGTTCCTCATTCCAGCAAGAGCGGTAATTAGCGGCGCGTTTACAGAGGGCTTACCCCTGCAATCAGAAACTGGATCCTGGAACCGAACATTGTTGCAATTTTTGTCATCAAGATCTGTGTATAAGACCTTGATGTGATATGCCTCAGCAAGAGTGAAATATTAATAATCGAGGGTGCTGATAACGCCACCACCTGATGTGAGTTGACGCTGACTTTGTTCAGCCTCTCTGAAACGCGTACCAATGGTGGAAAGGACCTGGGAGAATTCGTACATAGTTGATACTAGTGCATAGGACGGCACGGATCCCGACCACTACCTCATGGGTACCATACAGTCAAAAGTCAGGCTTACTAGGTAGCAAGTATTTTTCGTGTTTAGTATCGACTCGTCCCAGTGATATGGCAGGATCAGCATCAAGAACTACTGGTATTAATAGAAGTAAAGTTTCCTGATTTTCATTTGAGTCCTAGTGCTGATGTGTATTTTTGGCAGCTGATGGTGCTTGCGTCTTTCCCGACTGCGGTCGGGTTGTCGTGATCTTCAAATTATCATGCGAATGCGAAATACAGCCTCAGTGTTCTACGTTGATGCGACCAGTGATTTTCCTAAGTTATATGTGGCTTTATCTAACAATATATATAGGGACCATGATGGAACATTTGATCCCGCAGAAGTAATTCGCATGAACCCCCTGGCATGCATGCTGCTCCACATGCACTCCGAATCACTCACTCCTTCAAGTCATGCTTTGGAGCCGAGAAAAGTGTTTTGGAAGATGAATGGGTTTGTGCTGGCGAGAAAGCCGTGCTTGACCTGCGCACAGATTCTGAATCGTTCGCACGCAGCGAATCTAATTCACGATAGAAAACGTCTGAAGGTGAACGGGGCGCTTGTCTAACTTCATACTCCAATATATTAACGAAAACCTGTTCTATATATAATCGTATATCGGCATATATGACGATATTTGCAACCGTCCTCTGATCGGCGGGGTATTGTCCATCTTACATATCACTTTCTCGTGTGAGAGGACTTGCCCCATGCACAGAACCGACCCGGAGATGAAGATTCGGGCTTGATAGTCTTGCCTGTTGGGGTTGTGAGTGATGATTGATTTTTCAATGAGGCTGAGCACTGATTACTGTGATCGTCCACTTAGAACAATCCCTTTTCAAAAGTTTTGAGTGGATAAGGCTTCAACCAATTCAGGTGACCTGAGTCATGAGCGGACCTCGTAACGAAAAGGTATAAAGTTCTCTTGAAGATTCCAATGTAATGCATTGACAAAGTACCAATCGCACCTCTTAACTCAAACATGAAGCTTTCTCTTGTCTTCAGCATGCTCGCGTCCATCGTCGCTGTGGTTCATGCTGTAGCGTACCCCGCGCAAGGTGAGTATTCATAACTCATCACCATGCGGAGGTTGACAAGCGTAAATTGCTGCTAGATGTGGGGAAGCGTGAGGAACTTGACGTTGACTCGGATGAGATCTATTACACTGCCTACTGAACTTGACGCCAGGTTCTACGCAGGTGAGTTATAGTTGTATGTCTTCTTTTGTGGGAATCATCCATCATGCTAGGTCTGGCATCGCCGCAGCCTCACCCACACGTTACTTTCCTGAACATCTATATATCCCTTATCTGATTGCTTGGTTTCTGACATGTTGCGTGCCCATGTAATACAATCCCAGTTGCCTCACTCTTTTGACTTAAATACAAACCCAGTGTTCTTGCTACTAAGCCATGTATCTGCTACGTGCGCATTGCATTACTTTCCAACTGTATGTTGTCACTTAAGTCTCTCCTGTACATCAATGCATCACTCCGACTTGTCGCCGTCACCACGTATGTAGACCGTGCCATCAATGAACACGATGCCATTTCGCAATACTAATTACCGGATCAAGGACCAAGATTGCTTAATATTATTACAAAACGTATCTGAAATCCCTATTCTGCCTATCTGTCAGATCCAGGAATTCCTAATGCAGACAGAATATCAGCATTGTACACGGAAACCAATCGCCGATTCGGAGGACGCACCTTGTCAACTTTGACTTCCACATGCTTCCCATCCTCTGTGATTCGCTCGATAACATATTCTTCTCCGTCATCAACAGGCTCTGCATCGCGGATTCGATTTTCCCGGACGAGAACGGCACGGATGACAAGGAGAAGTAACGGGCAGGCGACGTAGCATGTGCCGATCACAGCCCATGGGATGTGGTTGCTGTTTAGTATTAATTATCTTTCCTTAAAGTCCGATGAAATGACCTACCGCGGCTTATATTGTGCCTTCCACATCAAAGGACCAGCTGCGTTGCCAACGCAGTAAGCCGAGAGTATAGTGGCGTTAGTAACAACCTGCAGGTTGGTTTTCACTTGAGGAGCGAGTTCAATAACTGGCAGGAGTACCTACCTTCTTTGTATGACCAGCAGTCACGTTATTTAGCCATGATAATGTCAGTACGAATCCGGGCACCGGGAATCCAGCTTTGGAACGATGAGCATAGAAAAACACTACAAGCATCACACGCACCTAGGAACTGGCCGGCAAGAAGTCCAGCCTGATATCATGTGAGATACAATATCAAAGACAACTTGATGAACTCGCAGAAGCAAACCACGCACCTGATTCGACCAAGGAATTAGATTGACCAGCAAGACGCCCAACCACGCCGGGACAAAGTACATAGCAGCGACGTATGCTCTGGAATTAGGCCGTCGTATTGCAAGCCGAACACCAGTGAAGATTGTCAATATTTGAATCACACCAGGAATACAGGACAAGAGAGTTGTCTGTAGATAGCTGAATCCGAACGAAGCAAGGATGAGTGATTGTTGATTTAACATTGAGCTAGGCACATTGCATAGAGCCGAGAGGAGAGCGAAGAGCCATGTCTTGGGGTCAGTCAGGGCTTCGATCATTCTAAAGATGTGTACGTGAGGGATGAAAATCACAATTGCATCGAATACATACTGCTCCATCTTGAAGTGTTTGTTTTCCACCCCTGTTTGGTTTTCCTATGCTAATTGTAAGATAATGGCTAATATCATAACTTAACAGACATACCTTGAGGCGCTGCACGGCTTTCACTCGCTCATCGGGAGTAAGGAACCAGGCATTCGTAGGCGAATCAGGAAACAAGAACCTTTATTAGGTGAAAACGTCTCGGTTATAGAGATTAGGCGCGGGGAATATCTGTTTCATAAACTCACCAAAATAAGATCGCAAGGATCATCGTCATTATAGCGGTGATGATCATAAGCCTGCGATCTATCAGAGTAGAATATGGAACAATGAAAATGAAATGGCGGACCATTGCCATGGTTCAAACCCTGTGGTTTTGATGTGCAAAACACCAAAGCTGATGAAACCAGATATTATTTGGGCTAGATTTCACTGGCTTGGGCAGCAAGATCGAATATACATTTGAGTAAGCGCACCAGTGCCAAGCATCAGAGCTAGATTCCAAAGCGTCCAATTAGTCGACTTTGTCAATCATTTGCAAATGGGAGCTTACACCAATACCCAACCCGTAGCGTCTGTTCCGTCCGCGTGTAGAACATGGAGCTAATGATCAAGAATCCAGCAGTGATCGACCCCTCACATACGCCCAGCAACAAGCGCACGACAAGAAGCCCACGAAAGCTCTTGCACGCTGCATGAGATGCAAGTACAACTGTCCAGATGAAGATATTGATACTGTTACATGCTGTCAACGGTGTTCGCATTGATAACGCCTGTGAAGCCTACCTCATCCACTTCCCGACCGGGAATCTTTGAAGGGCAAGATTCTGGGGATACTGGAAGAGAATGTAACCAAGATAGAATGCAGTGCCAAGCCTGAAAGATAGTGTGAGGACTATGCAAACTCGAGTAGTGCATGTGCCTCACCAATTGTACCTAAAGACAGTTGACCATTAGACTTACGACTCCAAGGATAGGGATATCTTACTCATTCGTAGTCAGGTGCGCGGCCTGCCTGATAACACACGTCAGTGCCGGTTCGGCTGGTCTCGATGTACAGTCCTTACTGAATTCCAAGGATGGCCGCAGAACCCAAGGTTAACTTGTCCATGAATTGGATCCTATGCGCACGTAAGCGCTAATCTGTGGTGAACGCAGCCAACTAACCCGTAAAGAACTGAACAGCAATCGTCAGATGCAATCGGTTTAAACAACTGAGTACCGAGCAGCCGACTAACCACACATCAGAGGCATGACATATCTATCGATCTTCCTCCTGGAACGAAATATTTTTGAACAATGCTGATCTTCGTGCAGTTTTCAGAGCGTACCTTACTCTCAAAGCCTCATCGGGCTCAAGAGTTGAATTCAACCCAGCAACTAGCTGAGCGCCAGTATCAACTTCAGACACGAAGACCTCTGCACGTTTCTGGTCTTTGAGTACACCACTAGAGGATTCCAAACTCATTTTGAGAGGACGTGAAGGTGACACCTTGAAGGAAGAAGCTTCCGGCGCTTGCAGGTTGATTCGCCCATTTATACTGTTTCATTGGGCATGTCAAAGCATCGTGATAACGATGACGTGAATCCCTGATGGTCTAAGCGGCAATTCATATCGGGCCTAGCTTTCGGTTCCATGAAGCGAACACGCGCATCCACGCACTGACACTCACCAGTCATCGTATGAGTCCGACTTTCCCTGTCACTGGCAAAGTGAGTACTTCAGGAACAGGAAAGTAAATCCTCACCGAACAATTATTTATGGTCACGGTGTGCAACAAGCGTTGTTTCAGGTCCAAGAGTTTCCAATCGAGTTCAACTTCTCGTGTCGTTTGCTCCCCTTCCTACGTGAACAAGGAAGCCCAACTTCGAACATTCTACTGCGGATACCTCAGAGCTACGATAGGCAAGAGTTGTGACTTCTTTGATTTTGGGTTCAATTAAGAGATCGTATTTCTGTCAAGGCGCTCAGCTGGATGTTGGTCCGTGACATGGCTCACATGGCGGCACACTCAGCAATCCAGACCAGTATAAAACACAGATTGATGCTCAACTCGTCAGCGTATGACCCACATGTTATGTTGCGCTGTGTGTGGAGCTGGAGACTATCAACACATGTCACATTTACTCATGGATGGATGTCATTGGGAGTCTCAGACATCGACAACTTGAACTCACTCGTTTGAGTTCCAGGCATCTTTCTGTGAGCCTATTATTTCATTGTCGACTTTATAAGTCATGCACGGAAATGGTCACTGAGCGCTCGCTTTTGTTCAGCATTCCTACTTCCTGTGAAACCCTCATCGGCATATTTTCGTTCGGAAAAGTTAAGAATTCACATGTTGTACCCAGACGTCGAGCGGTGACAGTGAGTAGCGGCTTGGGGCAGACGTACCTTTGACAAAGTTGACAAGCCCTGGCACTTTCACGCGTCGGATCAGGCATCATTGATTTTGACTGATCGACCCTCCAAATCACAACATAAATACCACGACGAAGCTCCATTAAGGCAATGCCACAAAATATATGTGCTGACTGCACATTATCTGTGATTCAATTTGTAAAATCTAATGTTGACCATCATTTCCCTGCTACACATCAACGCTGGTTGACACATGCCCGCACTCTTGGAGAACGATTGTACTCATGCGAGTTTCTCCGTCAGAGTTGGCCACCAGCTTAGCGTTATAATCTCGAGTGCTAAGGACGAGACGTGGTCCCAGGACAAACATCTGCACGAACTGGACCATTTGGTAAACACCGTAATAAATGCCAGATCTCACAGAAGTTGAGCCCTGTGGAAATGATGAGTGGCCGGGTTTAAGGTGCAGATGCCAGTCACAAATTAACGCACCATGAGGTCTGGAGACAGCAGGCCAATGTAGAAGACTTGGTAAGCGACAGCGTTCGTGTAGATGATACAGTGCTTTTATGGAGATCATGCGGGATGTCCGTTCCTTGAAACAGAATCATGACTCGGTCACAGCATCCACCTATCGTCACGTCAATCTAACGTGGATCGCTGAGCTTCGGTAGTAATAATAGTATATTTAAGCTGTGCATGGCAGGGCAGAGTCGCTGTCCACTTCGACGTGAATGTTCCCTTGAAACATGCAGTTGGGCTGACCACAGTTTGATTCTATCAAGAAAAGCACCTTCGAAAGTCAAGGTTATGCGTAGCAGATGCACGCATTTAACTCACTTTGTGCAGCGAGCCTGCCAGCAGATTCCGGCATGTGTATGATCATCGAGCACCACCATCACACTGCAGTTTTGAGATTATCAATAATTATTAATAACGAGTGACCTGATTTTCAGATAATCAAGAAATCTTCCCTTTTCTAACCCGGTGCTATGCTCATTCCCACTGTCCAGGGCCTCCTACTAGCGCATGTCTGATTGCCAAGAGGACGCCGACTGTCAATCAATCTCCGCACAATCTGAAAGCGAGATTAAATCAATCCTTGAATCTTTGAAACAGCATGTAGCATCAAGCCCATCTAGAGAGCAGAGATAAAAGTGTAGCAACACAGCCGGTCGTCAGCACTGCCCGTCTGGCGAATTTCTAACGCGGACAAGTTCCCGTTGTACCATACGACCATATTATAACGTAGCAACGCACCAAGGAAGGGGTTTTCATGGTAAGGTAGTCCTCCACAGTTGCATCAAGAAAGACGCCTTTGAAACTCAATGATTTTAGCATGCACACTGGATAGACTAGCCAGTGATCTTGAGGTGGTGCCGGTGTTGGATGTGCTCGATGCTGAATGCACAAGCGATCGTTCCAGAAGATGTTGAGCGATTTTTAAACAAGATTGAGTAACTCCTACCATTGGCCCTCGATGATAACCAAAAGTTCGGGGGAGGATGATGATCCTGGCTGTGCTTTTAACGTGGTGCGGAAACGATGATTCGATCACAAATAGAGATGTTCTGTGGACATCGCCGTTGACGTAATGGCGAGATGCAAGATCTGAACGGCCAGTGGGACAGATATCACGGGCGTCTTGGAAGGGGGAAGAAAGTTGCAATTAGAAGATAAATTCAAAACACTTCTCCAGCAATAGTAGTGAAAAATTTCTGTATCAAGGTGATGAAGATTAATTTGTGCATTCATGACGACTATATGTTTGCAGGGAACAGATTAAAGACGGTCTGTCCTACAAGCACGCAGTCATGACGAGCGCAGAGCGGCAGGGATAGTGAATTCAAAGTCCTCTGTGGATGATTGGTCATGTGTGCGAGAAATATATGATATCCTCTCGGCGTTTAGCATCAGAGTGAATTGATCACTCACAATAGCGATCGGATTGCCACGTCGAATAAAGGGTCCCGGCTGAAAGACGAAGGCTAGGCTGTTCTGTTGGTTTGCAATAGATGTTGCTGACGACGTAGCTCGACTGATGTTGCGATCTAGAGTGCTCCTATGGAAACCTTGAATACACAGACCAGTTCTCCGTAACCGACGATGAGACCCAAACCTGAACCGTAAAAGAAAGCTCCAACGGCCTAGAACCTTTGTTGATACCTGCAGGAAAGACTGGCGGGATATTTAACTTGCAGGAGTGTCACATAAAAGCGAGCCAAGATCCGTCAAAGACCAAGAGTGAGATCTCTGAGATGGTCAATGCATGCTGAGTATAATATAAAGGAGTGGCGTGATGACGACTTATTTTCTCTTCGTCGTGGACAGGTGGTGTGACGTCTCCGAAAACCTTCTCTAGCCGATGGGTGCATGCTATGAAGTGCAAGAGCGATTTACCGTTTGATACACTTTCAGTTGTTCAGGATTCTTCAGATGGTCTGCGGTGTGGGCGATAGTCAATTTTGTTGCGAAGTGCGTGGTGTCGTCTGGCGGAGATTATGAGGTAGCGGTGCACCCCTTCCCCATCAGGAAATTCACGCATTACTTAACGCACTTTTTAGCTACTTGTCGCAAAATTTGGTTATTGTTCTCACTCGTATGTACTTGCTTACTTGTACCGTAGACAGTACAAGGAATAAAAAGCTGGCAATTAATTATGTAGTGCAAAAGGACAAGAAGCAAGTACAGTAGATATGGGAACTCGTGGGACTGGGAGCGGGTGATTATGATGCTATCTCGAAGGCATGGTGATCTGTGAATTTGTTAACATAGTATGTGCTGAAAGCATCGTAAGAATGAAGGTACTGTATGTTGTTAGGAATGAAATCATGTCCGTAGACAGGAATTAAATGTGCTGCTCAGTAGACTGTCTTGAGATGAATGATGGCGAGGTTCGGGGTGCCATTGTCATGAGTGCTCAGACAGACTATCCACATGCTGGTGTCCTCATCAGCATGGTCACCAACCTTGTCAAACCATTGAACAAGGGCACATGGATACATGACCCAATTAAATTTGAATGAAAAAAAAAAACATTTAACCCTGGTGACTTCAAGCCCTTCAATTCCTTCAAGCTCTGGATTGATGTTGACAAATACGCAATCATTACACACATAGACATTCTGCCAGAGTGGACATGCGCAAATCTGTTCATGTCACATGCCGCTGATGCCACTGGGATCACTGGGGGCATAAAATGTTGCAGCCGCAGAATTGAAGATGTGAATACTCCCATCATGTTGAGGGCAGTTGGTGGCAGGTACATCTTCAGGGTTGTGGGGGTCGTCAAGGAAGAGTTGGGAGAAAAGGAAGTAGTGGATGAGACATTGCAGGTGTGGAACACAAACTTCCTCTGCCAGTGCCGCTACCGTCTGTGCCTGTTTTCATTCTGTCAAATGTTGTCAAGGTATTGAGGCAGACCATATTACAACACCACTTATGAGGTGTCCTTGCGAGCTGTACAAAAGCGAGAGCTGTCAGACCATCAACAACTTTGCCATCATCAATATCATCTTCTGCTTGAGGTGTGACAACAGGTGCATTTGGTTCATCTTCATGCCCATTAAGTATGCAAGACAACAAAGGTTAGATATAGAGAAACTTACAGAGAGAAGCCACAGCTCTTGATAATACAGAACCTACAAGCATGCCTCGTGTAGTGAAGTCAATGTGAGATGCCGCGAGCTTGTCAAGGTGTTGGTTGGTCAAAAGTACAGTGACTTGCAAAACTGTTACAATGTTTGGTACTTTTTCAGTGTACACAATATGGCGCCTATGCATGTGGGAATCATGCTTAGTGTTGGTGGGGGCGTGTGAACTACAAACCCTTGGCTACAAACTGACACTTGGATCATGTGATTTGGCCAAGGGGATGTGAAGATATGCCTATTTTAAGACAGAGATACCATTGTAATGGTTTTGCAGCTGTTGATATAGATAGAGGGATCTCAGTCAAATCAGAGGATGGTTACTGTTATTTGCTTACACAAATAAAAATATACATGAAAATATTATGTCTGAGTTTGAAATTGCTCCCACACTTTTTTATTCTTAATCATTACCACCATGGGATCTCCCTCTACTACTCAAAAGAATACCATTCTCTTTCAGCTTAATGCTGGTCATTCTATTCACTCTATTGCCTCCACAACTGGTGTCAGCACTACTACTATCTCCAAGCTTCATTAAAAAGAGTGTTCCTACTTGCAAAAGTTCACTGGTAGTCATTCAACCAAGCTTTCCTCAGTCAATATTTGACATCCTATTTGTTTCATCTTCACTCAGCAGGCAGAAACTGCTATCCAAGTGATCAAATCTTTTTCAAATATTGTCAATTAGCCCCCCAACCCAAGTACCACTTGCTGCTACCTGAAAAAGCTGGGATGAGGGCTGTAGTCAAGTCCAAACACTCTCTACTGTCTGCCAAATATTACAAAGCACACTTGGACTTTGCCTATACTTACAAAAATTGGACTTTGGAGGACTGGAAGTTGGTCATATGGTCTGATGAAACCAAAATTAATCACCTAGGGTCAGATGGTTGCAAATGGGCTTGGAAAAAGTCAGGAGAGAGGCATAGTGACAGATTGGTATAAGGAACTATCAAGTTTAATGGAAGTTCTGTGATGATATGGGGCTGTATGACCTGTGAAGAAGTTGGCTATGCTGCTAAGATTGATGGTAGAATGGATGGAGATCTTTACCTTCAAATTTTGAAGGATAAACTTCAGAATTTCCTGGAGTTTTATGATCTTAATGCTTCTGATGTCATCTTTCAGCAAGACAATGACCCTAAGCATACCTGCAGAAAGGTCAAGAAGTGACTAGATGGGCAGGAATTTAGGACTATGGTGTAGTATGTACAATCTCCTGACCTTAACCCATTGGAATATCTCTGGGACCTTGTCAAAAGGAGACTTGCAGAGTATGAGCATCCCCCTAAGGAAATAGTAGCAATGGTTGGGAATAAAGAAGCGTGGGAGCAATTTCAAACTCAGACATAATATTTTCATGTATATTTTTATTTGTGTAAGCAAATAACAGTAACCATCCTCTGATTTAACTGAGATCCCACCATCTATATTAACAGCTGCAAAACTGTTACAATGGTATCTCTGTCTTAAAATAGGCATATCTTCACATCCCCTTGGCCAAATCACATGATCCAAGTGTCAGTTTGTAGCCAAGGGTTTGTAGTTCACATGCCCCCACCAACACTAAGCATGATTCCCACGTGCATAGGTGCTATATTGTGTACACTGAAAAAGTACCAAACATTGTAACAGTTTTGCAAGTCACTATATCTTTAGTGACATCCATGACCATCTTATGGATCTGGATGACTCCATCCCTGCTACACAGCCTGCTTTTGCAGACTATAAGTCTGATTCTGACACCAGTCACAAGCTAGAGGTCTTGGACTGCAGTTCCACTCATGATATAGAGGTCTTGGACTGCAATTCCAACCTTGAGCCTCCACCACTTGCCCAAAAGCCCATGTCTCACTCCATCTTCCCACTGGACTTTTACTTGTTGGCTGCAAGTCAGAAGCAGAAAATGTCGCCTCTTCTGGGTGACGACGATGATGTGCTGATGCTGTCATCTGAAGATGAAAGTGTGGAGTGCACCAACACAAGTATGGTCGCAGTCAAGACTGAACCTGTTGAACCAGTGTCCATGTGCTGGTTGACATCTTCAGTATGTTTAATTTCTTAATGCTATATTTTACTGACTACAATTATCAGACCACTGTTGCTGCCATGCTCAAAGCTCCTCCCACAAACCAGCTGAAGACTGAGACTTCTGCTACCACTGGAACAGTTGCCCCTGCCTCCAAAGCCATCATATGCTCTGCATACAGGAAGAAACATCTCCCCAAGGGTTGCCAGATGGAAAACAAGTAGGCAAGAGAGTTTATTCCTACTGCTATTCGCTGCATTGGCAATATGGACAAAGTGTGGACTCTGGCAGATGACATTCTCTGCCCTATTTTGCAGTCAGTCTGGGACACAGTCTATAAGGGCAAGATTCCACACACAGTTGTCGCTGATGGGCCTGTTATTGCCCTCGTACACTATTTTTTCAGCCACTATTTATATCTAACTTTTGTTTTAGACCCTCCAACGGTTGTCCAAGTGGCACAATACTATAAGTAATGTCACCCTCATCGTACTTGCCAACTTCATGGCTTCACAGGATGATCTAGATACTGATCAGGACTGCAAAGATTTCACAATAGCCTTGGTTGAAAAGCTTGGCTTCTTGTTCGGGGAGATCACAGATGAAGGAGCAATGTCCAAGCCATTCCAATCTGACCTCATTTGTACAGATCCTTGTGCAGCACAAGTGTGCCATGTCTGGCGCTGTCAGTCTACTGGGAATCAACAATTCATTTCCAGGGCACTCAAAGGGTGCTCTTGCTCTTGCCACAGCAGTGGTAATCATTTTCTAACTTCTTTTTTCATAGCACTAACTGATGTTTTCTTGTGTTTCAGATGGAACACACCATCCAGCTTTTCACTAATGGACATATGATCCTTTCTGACATCGACACTGCTGGCAATGGCCAAGGCAACAAAACCCCCCTGGACATCAATCCATCCACAGGCAAGGAGAGCAGCATGCCTCTAGCATTTTCCGACACCAATTGGGGTGTGCACACCCAAGCTTACACAGTGTCTATCAATTGCTTGCCACACTCAGTCATCCTTTGAAATTTGGAGCTTGTGCAGAGTGTTGCCATGATGAGGCATGGTTTGCAGATGGATGTAGATGAAGAATCTGAGGATGAGTGAGCACTGATTTGCTAGAGGTGGTATCCTTCATTCTTATAGTTCATCTCTCTCTTGTCATTATTCACTCACTGTCTCGCCATCGCTATCTAATCACTCATCACTGTCCCCCTGGCTACTATTGCCATTATATTATTGGCTATATCACACATTTCACCATCTTTTAGCTCATTGTGGCCTCCTTGCTAGTACTTGTTTCTTACTTACTCTCTTTTTTTCATTTCTATGCTACTTAATCACCTTGTCTGGCTGGAATGCAGTTGTTTTTGCTTGAAACAAGTATGAATTAAGTGTAATTAAGTGTAAAATAAGTGCACAAAATGAGGCAATCAACAATTGAAGTGCAGTTCATGCTCGAACAAGTGGTAAAAAAGCCCAAAGAAGTGCGCAAAAGCCTAAAACAAGAGGAGGGGATCTGCTTTTGAGCTTGTAGCAGCTTGTAACAAGGATGCGTTATGGTCCTTGTCAGAAACTTTTCTGATCTTGTGTGGGAAAACAAGTGACGAAAGGGAAGTTAAGTAATGTGAGAATTTCCTAATGCCTGCGTCGATGGCATTGTTGGCAAATTGAGCTCGGAACTTTGGCGATGCGGTGAAGGTGCACGTATAGTACGTAGTTGAAATATCAAGGAGGAGTGACAGTGTGGCAGTTGCGTCGTGAGCTTTGAGAAGCGTGTTTGATGGGGACTGTCGTGATGGCGGCAATGGCAACTTGGAGGCGTATGTCGGAGTCTTCCGAGTCTGGGTCTTCGGGTAGTTTTCAAGTTTGCCTTTGCTCCTCCCCAAGAGTAAAAAGGATCAGAGCCATGAGGAGTTCCGAGGGTTTGACAATGTTCCTCGATATTAATTAAGAGCATCGTGAAAATAATGGCCGATTGCCGGGATACAGCCAGTTTCATATACTACAATCGTGTCAGGCAGAGCGACCATTTTCAAAGAGGTCCTTCAAGTTCGCGCGACCAAATATCGTAACAAGTAGGACCCTTTTGTTTGTCCAGTTCCACTGTGACAAGTAAAGGAAAAATAATCCAACGATAAATCTAGTCCAATGATACAAAAGTAACTGTAAAAATACATCTAACTGCGAATGTATCCCTCGAAAAGTTATCAAGGTACTTATAATCACAGAAGATACTGCCGACAGGAGCTAAATATGCCTCGTCGACAAATACCAGATAATAAACAAGGACTGCGAATGAGAACTAAACAAGAACGCCTTTTTCGGCGAGTTTTTACCAAGCATCCACACCAGAGCTGCAGCAAATAGACAGCTTCCCATAATGTATGGGTTTTCGATGAAGGCCAGCATAACCAGCATATGACAAGCCGTCAATATGACCTTCGTTTTGAGTATGGAACCGAGAAGGACAGGTATAGTGGGGACGCCGGCTTTCATATCGTCTTCGAAATCACGGACATCAGTCATGATCTATGGACATGATCAGGGTCAAATCATGTGATCATATAATGTCTACTTACTGCGTGGCATGAGCGGTTGACGGTCGACCAGACTATTAGTTGAACAACACTCCATGGGGACGGAAGCATGTTAGTCAGATTGCCTGAACCCGACAACACGGAGAGGACCACAGTGTAAATGCCACATCTGAAGAGTATTAGTTTACGCGTGCATCATTCAAAGCAAACACGCAGACGTACCCTCGAATGATGCCATTAAATATGGCTTTCATGCCAGGGATGCGTTTGATGACCAGGACAGGCGCAGATGCAGAAGGCTGGCACTTGTCTCCCCCAAACCTATTGAGGCGTATCAGCGTAAACTTCCTAAAGCTGATCGGAGTGGTCCAGAGCAAGGCAGGAGCGACGAACGCTGCCGTGGTGAGGAGCGTCGAAATTGGACACTGGGATAGTGCTAATGCAAGGAACACAGCGCTGACGGCAAGGAAGGTTCGTGCATATGTAAACCAAGAGGCAAGGCGTGGGTCGTTGGCGTTGTTGTGTTTTGACGAAAATTCCTCCTCTTTATCCTTAAGATGGTCAGCACCCATGGCAAGGATATCCGACGTAATACAGATGGTTATCTGCAGAGACGATTGTATCGGCGATATTATTCAGTATTAAATTGATGAACGTACCGGTCTCCAGTCGATACTTCCATTGGCGGACATGACATAAGACATAAGGATTGACAGGGCCAAGCTGTTCATCGATATTACGATGGGTCGCAAGAAGAGTTCATCTGCAAGCTTCGGGATTGTGAGGATTGACATGTTGATTGAGAGTGAAGAGCAGGCAAATGCTACTCCTCCCACTTTTTATGCTGGTGCAACTGTATTCCGTGAGTCGAATGACTGGCACGGATGCGTCATCTTGATTAGAATCAACGTTCAAACCGGTGATTTTTCAGCACATGCACCGTCGGTTTCACAAATTTTTGCCTTGCTTAAGTTTTCCGCCGAGCCGAAAGCAGTGTGAGAAGTTGCATTGGCAAAAAGCTCTGTAGTCCAACTCGGGTGGTTCGAATTCACTGACGGTGTCCTACAACAGTTGGTCAATAAGACTACGTGAAGGCAGCATCGATACACACCCAGGTACTCGTGTGTTTTGCAGCACTTACATTCGAACATTTTGGATTGTTTTCGGATTCCTATCATGCAAAGTGGCGTTAAACGTCCTGGTTACCTGTCGATCATATTTTCGCTTCATGAGTGAGAAGAACAACGCCAGGCCTGGCTAACACTCCGTCGATGTCGTAGATTTGTTCTTGGGAGATGATTTTTTGCACCCAGTTACACCGAAGTTCACCGCGGAGTCATTAAGGAGTCATTCATGACCTATATCTTTGTATTACGTCAGGCAGCACATGAGGGAGTCATTATTTTTAGCAGATCTATAGAGGCCTTCAATTGCTCGACAATCACTGCCGTACCTATTATTAGAGTTCATACTTGACGAGGAGAGTAAATTTGGTAGTCGTAGCTCTCTGATTGTGGTGAAATGATAGCATTGCAGTGAGTTCATTGTCATTCCGGCTTGTCCATGTGGTACAACAGTTCCGAACGCGCATTTTCTAGCCGAACGAGAGAAGGCGGCATATGTGCACTGTGACTCAAGTACCGGCAGAGCACCATGACATCACGAAGCATGGTACTGGAGCCTTGATAAGGAGGCGGTGATACTGGTAAATCGGTATATGAAAGTTGCAGGTGGTACTGAACCTTGGATCCTTCCGAATTTGGCGCTAGCCGATGCCCGAGAGGCGCCATTCGATTTGCTGGGTAGGCGTCTAATGTTAATGAGCGCCAGCCTATGTAGTAGAAGCGCACGATGAAGGTTTCACCGTCCCGATCGAAACGAATATTTCATTCCCGGGGTACGGGGGTAACTAAGCACGCGATGGGGGCAACGAGGTGCTGGTGGATGTTTGCGTCGTGCGAGAGCATCCTGGCTGTAGGCTATTCGTCTATACCTATGGCTCTGTGCACATGTGACTATTTGCTTTTATTTACGTGGCGGTCATGTGATGAGTAATACCAACAAACGAGCGCTTGGATAAAAATTAGATCCAAGTTTAAAAGTAGAGCTCTACATTATCCCGTACTGTGCGGCTCGGCTCGTGACGCGTGAAGCTTGAGTGCTGTGTCCCGCAGTAACCTTCAGTCCGACACAGAGGAGCTTTATGCATAATGCCATCTCTCGGTCATACCATACATCCGGCTTTACGCCTCGACTAGTGACACATTGGGGCCGGCTTGAGGCTCTCATGGGCCAGGCCCAAGGTGAGGGCCTAAGTTATAGGGCTTTGGGCCTGGCCTATGAGTTGGACAGGCCTGGGCTTCCCAGTTTGGAAACACTAGCGGCACATTCCAGAGTGCGCAATCGCGGGCATCATCTCAAGGCACGGTTGGTGCCACCCTTCTTCACTTGTGAGGTCTTGCTCAACATTGTCGCTGTCACCGAAATCTGGCCTGCGCTAAGCTGATTATTAATTATCACCGTTTCAAACCTCGTCGATAGTTTCCTGTAGAGCCCACTGAGCCGACTTCTCGAACAGGCGCTGTTCGAAGATCGGCAGATATGTCAGGTCGACGTCCGTATGGATCACGCCCGTGCTTCTGCCGGTCTGTCAAAAACTCGAAGGGATGTGATACTTGGAATGAGCTGGGTCATTTTACTGGAGGTTGATGGTCTTGAGCGCGGCCGAGGGGTTGCAGGTACTTTTCTCTAAGTTGCACAGGTGCGTATATTGTGCGTTTTATGCTGAAGCTCTTACTTCTGAGATTGCTCGTTTGGAATTTGAAACATCTGAGGCGAAGATGAGTTCCGTTGTCGAGTGGTACCGCAAGGAGATTACCAGCCTAGAGACTTGTGCATTGAGTGGTCGCATCACCCCAGCCCTTCCCTCGCCAGTACCTTCCAGGCAAAGGAAAGAACCTTGTGAAACTCAAGGAAGTGGCCATCATTAGCGTTCAAGACAGCCAAACCTTGATTATTACGGTGTTTAGGGAACATGTGAGCACTTCGTCGTGGTTAGGCTTGAGGACATCCACTCATGGTGCACCCATAGAATTTGAAAGCAGTAGAATGGGCCCTATATGCCGCAAATAGCTTTCCTCAAAGACAGGATTCCACGACAAGTAAGATCCCTTATACTTAGGTCGCTCACTTCGTCTGCACACCAACGCACACTGGAAATACTCTGCCTTCAGCTTCGTTACAAAATCTGATGATACTAGCCAAGCTCCGCGGACTAGCTCAGCTCTAAGCTCATACCCGCAATCCAGCTAATCTACTGAAACAAGCGCTTCGTTAGTCTCTTAAATAGAGCGGGGGACGAGCGTGAAATATGCCAGATGGTATGTTTTGTCATTTCCCAGCTTGAATGCATTCCCACCGGGATCCAGCACAACTGGTATCCAAAAGAGCGAGTTTACTTCCAACGTGACTTTGAAACACCACGTATGCTGCTGCCGTGTACAGTCATGACAGAGTAGCAGGGATTCTCAAGGTCCTTCATGAATGGTCGAAGTCTATGTCATTTCGCGTCTTGTGGTGGCATGCGAAAAGGCTATATTCGGCATCACTTCTAAGTGGAATGCATTCATTGGGCTTCAAATTTCAGCGCTCAACGTTAGAACAGATTGACGATTCACAACTGTACTAATGATAGGGTGAGGAACTCTGCCATCGGATTTGTAACTAAACTGATGAACGTTACTACGCAGCGCATTATTCAGCGCTCGGCCGAAAACATTTCTGTCCTTGCTTTACCGAGGACGGGATCTCCATCGCCTAATAACAGCGCCAACTCCTTCGCATCGCATCCTCTTTCTCTCACCGTCTCTTCGACCCTACGCACAATCTCCCTGCTCCAAAGTGTATTTTCCTCTTCTGATTCATCGTCTTCGACTTCCACGACATTGACTCCCATCCCTCCTGACAGCTCACCCAAAGAATATGCACCTGCGAGCTCCCAATCAAAGACAGCTTGTACCTGCGTACCATGCATGATGATATTCCGACTGTGAAAGTCTCTATGTGCGAGCATGAATGGCTCGTCTTCAGCAACGAAGCTAATCTCTAGCTGACGCTTCTTATTTCGTAGTTGCTACACAAAATCTTCGAGAGTTGTAATTTCGAAAAGATCGAAATCGATATCAAATGCGGGGTATGGGTATAATGGCATATCTCTTTGTCGTAGCAAGGGAGAATATATTCCCTTGTGGTCTTGTATGGACCGATAGGGTGGCATCTATTGAAATGAAATTTACGCTATCCGAATGTAATCAATTAATCAGAGAAATCAATGCACTCGCGGGACTAGCAAACCCGCCTATAGCAGTGAAATGCGTCTCCGCCATATCAACGATTATCTCGGCGATCTTCAGGGCGACTGAATGTTTCTCCGTCTCGGTATAGCAATTACATATAGTGCTCTAAGGCTTGCCATCGATGTATTCCTATGCGACAAATGAGTTTGGTCCCTCAGCGCTAAATGCGTGTATCTTGGGGACTGGAACATTGGGACAACGTGCAGATATCGGGGATATGGAAGCGACCTCGTTTGATATCTGATAAAGCAAGAGAGTATCTAGGTTCGGAAGGCACAGGGCAAAAGACCTGGATGTCCTGGAGTCGCCCTAACCAGAGCTATCATGGGAACTTGGCGACGAATGGGAAGGGTGAAGAACGGACTTGCCCAAGATATCATATATACCCCCTTCGCCAAGCTTCCTGTCCACTACTAGTGTAGGTCTGTCTCTGATGATAGCACTGGTTGAATCTTTGAGGGTTTGCTGTAGTACTAGGATAGACATTGCGCAATGTTCACCATTGTGGTCGCTCCGTGAGCGTGAGCTTGTGATCGTGACCGGTGCGACAAACAGTGACTATGATGTCATCTTTATCTTTATGTAAATCAAACCTTTCATAGTGATCATCAAGCCAAGCCGAATGGTGCGGGTATCCCCATTACTTACACCCCTGACATTTTGATAGATTTTCAGCTCATTCATATGAGATAGGAAGGTGCTGTTGAGTCACGGTGTGTGCGAACATCGTTCACGACCTCTCGAACGAATACCAGTACTAGTGCAGACGGAATATTCTGCTGATGTGAGTCCTGGCCATTGCGACTCATGATGCCTAATGACTCGCAATGGCCGGGACTCAGAGTTTTCGGTAGTTAGCGACACTATTCAGATAATATGGCCTATCCCGGATTCGGCCATACATCCTTCAGGGCAGGTCTAGATGGAGGACACCTGTCAAGTGGTGAACTTTATTCTGACCTATCCCGACTCCCCCTCAAACGCCTCATAAACACAGCTTCTAAGTTAGTGAGTGTTCACATGTTCTGTAGTACACGTCCTGTTTCTGACAGCAACTTGATGCATCCGATGACAACGACGACGAAAATTCCTCGGATGGCACCAACCTTCCACTTGCTCTCGAATCTCAAGACATTCGAGCCCCACACTCACACACCTACATAGCAACTCGTTTACCACCTCAATGACAATTCATTCGCACGGCGGCTCCGCAGTGATATTGACCACTAAAGCAGGTGCTCGCTGGGAAATGCTCTCGACAGTCTGTCAAACGTTTTATTCTAAAATTGCCGTCTACCATCAAGATTCCAGCGAGGGGGGCACAAAAGACGAAGAAATTATGCCCTTACGTCACATTGTTAGTACTTACTAGTTTCGCCACGGCTTGGCAGCGGCCGAATGGTAACTGGGGCATCGCATACTCCCCCTTTCTACGTGATTTCATTGAATCCATTCGACAACGTTTGCTGTGGTCAATCAAGGTCCTGATTCGAGAAACGGAAACTCAGACTAATCGCTATAAAAGTGATGGACGGCGGTATATCTGCACGCACTTAAATACGCCCCATCCCAATATGACCGTAGTCTTAGATGATCCTGCTTGGTGGCCGCTCATCAGTTTTTTTCGTCTTTGGAGCTATCTTATAGGTTCGTACAGAGCAATTTGGATGCCAATGGTGATATCTCAATATATTTGACTACCACTTCGCAGCTGCAGGCTCTACTGTGGTAGTATACGACTGGGGTGAGTGAGACAATACGTTCGACCCAGAGATCGTTGATATGTATACAGTATTTAAGCATCAACATTCGAACAAGAAGTAAGTTTATGTTATGACCTACGTATCTCACTAACAATGCTTCAACAGTTCGAACTGATCTTGGTGAGCAAAGTCTTACCAAACAGGATGATGCAGTTGACTCGGGGCAGAGCCAATGTTGGTCCTTCATGACCGTTCTTTATGTTTGTGTACGTTATTGCTACGAGCGCAGTTGGCGTGTTGTGCTGACTTCGGCATATGCTAGGTGCGCTACATTGGAATACTATTTTCTGTGTACGTTCGCAAGGCTATCTACATAACATTGTAATGTGCTAATAAATCATATCTCGCAACCAGCATGAACATTCTGTGTATGTGTCCTCGAATGCGTTTGCTCCTTCTGACTGACGGCACACAGCGAGTCTCCTTGTCCCGATTACCGATGTAGTGGGTATTCCGCACCGATGCCTGCCATTCCCGCTCGACTATTAACTACGCTCCTATATAGGGGTGAGTAATATTCTCGGCTGGCTTGTGTTACTTCAAGATAACGACTTCAATAGCTGTGAGTTCATTTTTCAATATTTATTCCACCATCAAGTAACTGGGTTTTCAGGCACTATAATTTGGTTCATACAGGTATGGACCCCTATCACTGTCAATGCTATGCTGGGCGGTGAGCTTACCCCTGTGCCTTACTGATATTGACTTGACTGAAATATCGTTCAAGTCATCATGATTGCTCGGATATATGCCATGTATCAGGGATCCAAAAAGTTGCTCATCTTTCTTGTTGTAACCTTGCTGGCTTCCACGATCGCCTCCGGAGTTTTGATGGTAATCGGAAGCTTAGGTGTTTCAGGGCGTAAGTTTTAATTATTGATGAAAGCCTGGAAACTCATGGACATTTACCAGAGGAGGCCGTCCTTTCCGGCTATCATACATGCTTTATCGAAATTGACACGCGCATGATGTATCTGACTTACGAGAGTGTGATATCCACCGCTGTATGGGAGATCCTCTCCTTGTTTCTCGCAATCTGGATTGTTATAAAGCACTTCCGCCAATCGCCGACAGGATCGACCATTAGGGCCAGTTTCACGACATTAATAGAGAGTCACGCATTTTACTTTCTGGCGTGAGTTCGGTGATTTGAATGTCATCATCTTGTTTCACTGAAATTCCGTATTTGTTAGCTTTGCTACTGTGGCTTGCTTCATGCTTGGTTCACTGTCTCCAAATATTATGGTGCGCCGACCTGTGACTGCCATCTGCAGCTGACCACTCTCTCATCATTTCCCTGCAGAACTCATCGTCCATGGGAGGTGCTACTTATACTGGCATTCTTTCAATTGCTCAGATGTTGCAGATGTTTGTGCTAGGACCGCGTCTGATCCTCAGCGTTCGAGAACATCACGCTAAGGTCATGACCAGGGCCGACGGGGGAATAGCCATGACGTCCATTACTTTCCAGGCTGGTGGAGATGCTTTGACCGGCGGAAAGGTGTAGCACATAAAACGATCCAAATGATCAACCACGATACTGTGCGGGGAGCATACTTACTTATTTATTTCGTTGTGATACTATTTAGCCTCGTCACGCTATGTATTTGGTGTTCCGGAGTGATTTGGAGGATAGAACTTCTTGTACTTACTTTCTGCTACCTGGGACACGGTCCAGATACGGAGAGCCTGATCGATAGTTCAATTGAGCGTCATTTTTACATAAATAAAGGGAGATATCATTATTTTGACAATGTTGGAGACATTGTATTTGAATCTCCGCGCTGAAGCACAACTTGTTGAACTAGCAGTCTACCACGTACTACGGTACTACGACTACCTACATAGTTGCCTTCCTTCTTTCAAGTTAGGTCTGGCCAAGGGAGATCAACTTCCCGTCAACCTACCAAAGCCTCCATACCTAGAGCAAGATCGAACTGTTTTCGGACATGCTTTCCCCTGCTGGGAGTTCAGCATCAGATGTTTTGGTTTTGAGTGACATTTTCAGAGAAGTCGCCGAACTTGATACGATTGATTTCGGTATTTGTGACCTACAGTTACCCAAGGCTTATGCTTATATGTGATTTCGATCTTCAAGATCAATGTGGGGACGTGCTGATGTTCCTCGCAGAGCCAAACCCCGAGGAAGAGTTTGCGGTATGTTCGACTTCATGGGCAGAGCGCGGGCACTCATTTGATCAATATTATAACAGGAGTTTTCTGATGTTTACTATGGGGTATACTCGATAGTAGAGCACATTATCGAAGAGAATGATGCGGTACCGGGAAGGCCAAGGTCAGGGTGAATGTCTCACTTCTCGTGACTACTAATACCAAATTGTTGTAGATTGACTTACTTCGAAGACGAACGCATCCTTCTTGTCGAAAAGTTCGGCAGCATGCACGAAGCTCCATTCTGTCACTTGCAATCGATATTTTCTAGCTTTTTGTACGGCTCCCATCTCAGGGATTGCTCTGTGGATACCTCAGTATCCAGGGTTTTGGGGCTGATGTCCGCATCTGCCATTCCAGACTTGTTGATTACGATGAATGTGATGACCGAGGATGATTGGATTCATGAGGTCCTTGTCATCGGAGAATGTGCGTTTGCCCAAGACACGAATTCAGTCCTTCGGAAAATCAAATATGAAATCGCCAGCCATCCAGAGGTCTTGATGGTCATAATGATAGTGATTGATGAACATCATGCACAATATCGCTCACCTGGACGTATGTCCGAAGCATGGCAGATATTACGCAGGGAGACATCGACTCTTTCACGCTCTTCATTCCATTCGCTTCGAGGCGCTACAGCACGATCTCTTAAGGAACCCATCGTAGTCGCGGGCCATACATGGTGTCACCTTGAATCTGTTCGATTTCACGTTTGGGTCCGGGGGGACGAAGCAATCAACGTTGATGTTGACAATGAATTGCTGGCACGTGGTGTAAGTATTTACAAACACTCATCTGGGTCGCTTTATTGATGCCTTCGCCGCAGACCTTGTTTCCAAACCAAGAGATGGGTGCAGTTGACGCTATGATCGATAAGGGCATGGTGATGATGCGAGACCATCTTGCAGCTGTCTGCCAGAAGGTAGCTCCGGGCAGTGACATTTCTGCTCTTCGAGACTCTAGTGTCACTTTCCGTCCCGAGTGGAATCGTCTGTTGCGTGATCTGATGCGTGCAGTCGACGACACCGCCTATGACCGGTACCGTTCGTGGTGTGATTCGCCCCCCTGAAGTACCTCTGCCCTCGATCACCAGACGTGCTCGTAACCAGGCAAGTTTTTGAAAGCGGGGAGCCCCATGTGTGAATCGTGGCAGTACTGGCCGGTCATGGAGCCAAGGGCTCCTGGTTTTACACAACATCATACTTAATTTGTACTCCATAGACATCCTCGCCCCGCACTAGTGTCGACATATAAGAACGTGTTGCATTGATAAAAGGGTGTATCAGCCTTTAGACAAAACATCGTAAAGAAGTGATAAATGATATACAAGTGAGTGGGAGTGTCCAGAGTCCAGACATAAACGAACGAAAAAAACAAAATCAGAAAACATGATCAAGCACGAAACAAGTACACAAATAATTCTGAAGTCTCGAGGTTATGCAATACTAAAAATCCTCATATTCAAACCCCAGGATCTCCGAAGGGCGCCTCTGCATCAATTCAGGACACATACATCCCTCAGTCCACCCATTGGAAGCTCTCGCGGGTCCGGTATACATGGTATAGTCATCCGCAGTATCTGCCGAGTCGTAGAAGACTCCCAATGATGGGTTGTAGACAGGTGGAGGAGGCTGGTATGGAGTAGGTTCGGGTTTGTATGGGGTGGGGTAGAATTGCATGTGTAGGGGTGGGGTAGGTTGCGGTTGCATCCGTTGCAGTTGCATGGGCCAGGGTGGCATGGATTGTGCTTGAATGGGTTGCGGTTGCGTGGGCTGCGGTTGCATGGATCGGGGTGGCACGGGTTGTTGTTGCATGAGCTGCGATTGTACAGGCTGCGGTTGCATGGGTTGGGGTGGCGTGGGTTGTTGTTGCATGAGCTGTGATTGTACGGGCTGCGGTTGCATGGATCGGGGTGGTATGGGTTGTTGTTGCACGAGCTGCGATTGTCCGAGCTGCGCTTGCATGGATCGAGGTGGCATGGGTTGTTGTTGCATGGGCTGCGATTGTACGGGCTGCGCCTGCATGGGTTGGAGTGGTATGTGTTGCTGTTGCATGGGTTGCAATTGCACGGACTGCGATTGCACGGGTTGAAATTTGTACTGGTAGAATGTACCAGGGGGAGGGGGTTGTACCAGGGGCCGGGACGATGTCCTAGTTCCGCCTGGCCCTTTGACGGAGGAGGCACCACGACCGAGCGGCAAAGGAACATACCCATGTTGTTTCTTGCGGTGGCGCGTGAAGAGAGCAGGGTCATGAGTCTTGTAGTCACAACCGTCGTGGGGACAGACGTAGCGTTTCTCGCCAGTACTAAAATAAGATTGTTGATCAGTGGAATCGATAACGGCGATGAATGGGCACGTACTGTTTAGCAGAATGGATGTCGTAGCTAGTTCTCGTCATTGTCGCGAAGTTGCATCCGGGCCAAGTGCAGATGTACCCCCTGCGTGAGCGAATGTAGGTGAGGTGAGGTGAGCTGTACAACATGGAGGAGAAATACGTACTTTGCTGAATGTGCGACCTTGTGTCTCTTGTAGTCCACAAACTTAGTAAAAGTTTCGTTACAGCCAGGTTCAGCAGAGCAAACGTAGAGCTAGATATTTCAAGAATCAGTCTTCAAGTGAGTGCATGAGGTATGCGCGCGATTGGGCTCACCTTAGACATGATTGATTATAGAAGAATATGAGTGGGTGACCCTACTTTATTCTGTGTGACGTGGATATGTGATTCAACTTGGGACGATGATAGTGCTGGATGGGTATCGAGGGAGATATATAAATGATTCCTAGCTGTGGTCGTGACATTGTGCTTTGTGGTGGACAGACGCTTGTGGAATTCGTATAGGGACGCTTTGTGGAGGTTGCTAGTGGATGTGGACCATGTAACGCGTGAGTCCATTGTCCTTGAATCAACCACATCCGTTTGAAGGCGAATCCGTCATCTGTTACAGCATCGAGTGAACACCAGGGTCGAGTCCCTTGAGTCGCTAGGTGCCTTGCGTATCCAAGCGTAGTTCTTTGAGGATTCCGTCCTTGTAGGCATGACCGGGTGAGAGTTGTCAGTTTCAGTGGTGAGATGGTCGATGGAATGAGATCGGACGCAGAGTGATTGATAAGGTGTAAGTCGGTGCATTGTCTATTGTTACTAATATTCTAGTCACGTCGACGTAATGTTGGAGCAAAGAGGGGACTGGCTGTCGAGTCTGCAGTTGAAATCCTTGTATGAACGCAAATACGAGTGAATATCAGTCTAAAGGAAAGGTGCAACATAACGTACTAACAAGTTCTGACTCCAAGTATGCCTCTTGAAGCGCATTTTACACGAAACCCAAGAAATATGCCCAAGTTGTGAATTAACTCGCAGAGACAGTGGAGTTTGGGAGACCAGTGGCTCATTGTGACAGAGGCGCAAACATCGAACAAGTCAAATTTCAGCACTCACCGTTAGAACAAATTGATCACTCACAACCGTTCTAGTGATGAGGTGATGAACCGCGGCTTCTGATTCGTAACAAAACTAATGAAAGTTACAAAGAAAAGAACCTACCCAGCGCATTATTCAGTACACAGCGGGGAACATTTCTGTCCTTGCTTTACCCAAGACAGGATCTCCATCGCCCAATAACAGCGTTAGCTCCTTCTCATCCCATCCTCTCTGTCTCGCCGTCTCTTCGACCCTGCGCATAATCTCCCTGCTCCAAAGTACATTCTCCTGTTCTGATTCTTCGTCCTCGATTTCCACGACATCGACTCCCATCCCTCCTAACAGCTCACCCAAAGGATATGCACCTGCAAACTCCCAATCGAGGACAGCTTGTACCTGCGTACCGTGCATGATGATATTCCGACCGTGAAAGTCTCCATGCACGAGCACGAATGGTTCGTCTTCGGCGACAAAGTTGATCTCTAGCTGACGCTTCTCATCTCGTAGCTGCAGTACAAAATTTTCGACGGACGTGATTTCGAAAAGATCCGAATCGATATCGGACGTGGGAGCATGGGTATAATAGTATATCTCTTTGTCGTAGCAAGCGAGAATGTATTCCTTTGTGGTTTTGTATGGGCCGATGGGGTAGCATCTATTGGAGTGAAATTTGCTCTATCCGAATGTAATAAATCAATCAGAGAAATCAATACAAAAGGCAACGAAGACTCACGCGTCCCTTGAAGAACTTGCTTCCCTCTACAGTCGGTCCAAGGGTATAACTTGTGGGACTGGCAAACCCGCCTATAGCACTGAAACGTGTCTGCGCCATATCAACAATTATCTCAGCGATCTTCAGGGCGACTGAATGCTTCTCCGTCTCGGTATAGCGATTCCATATAGTACTCAAAGGTTCGCCATCGATATATTCTTGAGCGATGAATGGATTCGGTCCGTCAGCGCTGAATGCGTATGTCTTGGGGACTGGAATGTTGGGACAACGTGCAGATACCAAGGATATGGAAGCGACCTCGTTTAATAGCTGATGAGGCAGGAGAGTGTCTGGTTTCGGAATACGTAAAGCGAAAGACTTGGATCCTGTGGAGTCGTCCCAGCCCGAGAGCTATTATGGGAAGAATTTAACTCGACAACAACTGGCAAGATGGCTCAAGGACTTACCCAAGATATCAAAAAAACTTCATTATAGCCCCCTTCACCAAGCTTCCTGTCCACCACGACCTCCGGTGTAGATCTGTCACCTTCAAGTCTAATGATGGCACTACTTGCATCTTTGAGGGTGTGCTGCAGTACTAGGTTTGTATTAAACGATTGTGGGATGAACATTACAGCAATGTCGGTGCTTCGTGAAAAACCGGTGTGGCCACAGACTTTGCACTGGTGAGTAGAATGAATGAAAGTCAATTATCACTGTGACACTCACCAATTCCTCGACTCCAACTTGAATTTACGCACGATTTTCAGACCAAGCATGTACACAATCCGCCTTTGTGTGCACTTGACCTCGTTTCAGTGATTTGTGTTTCTTGCATTGTGAAACACACTTGACAATTCAAATGCATGCCTTGTACGAATAGTCTTGGTGAGAACAACCTGTGCAAGAATGTCAGCATCACAAAAACCCTTTCATCTTAGCACTGAAACGCATGTCAAAGCACAAGTAACCGCCACCTCGGTGGCTATAGTGCCATCGCGTCATGCTATGCAGACGCATGCTTTGTTTGAATGTTCTATGCCAATTCAGTCCTTCTTTCGGCGCTAAAGCTTAAAGGCCTATATCTTGGGGACTGGTCCTGGGTCGACGCGTTAATCAACCACACAGACTGATTGGCTATCAAATCACACATAAAACACGAGATAGAAATAAATAAGATAGGTAAAGGTATGACTGCTACTGGTATCTACCATAGGACCTGCCCCAGCGGACAATGTTAGGCATTAGTTGTAGTACAATATTAATGTTCATTAGCGAGAAATTCTGAAATAGTAACACAAGAGTTCGGTGCATGGATATTATCCAAGCAGTCTCATTTAATATATGAGGAGGCAGAGGTCATCTGCTGTCGGAAGGCACAAAGCAAAAGACTTGGATGTGGAAACGTCCCAGCTAGAGAGCTATCACAGGAATAATTAACTCGGCAGCAAGCAGCATGAAGGCTGAATGACTTACCCAAGACATCAGTTATAGCCCCTTCGACAAACTTTCTGTCCACTCCAACCGCTGGTATCGTCGTTATAGCACCACTTGCATCTTGAAGGTTCTCCGGTAGTATGAGGTTTGTAGTAAAAGACTTTGGTATGGACTGTGCATTTCACTTGGTGCTTATAGCAAAAACCGACGTGCCTACAAACTTGGCAGTGGTGGGTTGTCGGCATGTTGTTGATACAGGTCAAACGGCTGAAGGTTGAGTGCGATTATTGATGAACATTTGGGGAGTGACAATATATATGCAGTCTTGCAGTGATTGTGATTTTGTACAAATGGACTCAGATCTGAGACAGATTAGCCCAGGGTGTATTCGAACGGATTACATACAAACATATGGAAGGAGCGATGGTGCCGGTCTCCTGCCTTGTGCAACATTGCTATCATAGTTGCCAATCACTCTAAGACCACTATTCTTGTGCAAGGTTTCCATGCGCCCTTGAGAAAAATCAGATTTGATATGCTCTTGTAGAAATGATGAGTAGGATAAAAATACAACAGTGATCAAAGAGCCTATCTAAGGCCTCTTTCAACAAGAACAGTCTAAGATGACTCCTTCGGTGTCTCCCATAATGTTGGGCTATTTTTGTTGTCAGCTATGTTGCTATGATTTCCAGCGCAGCTGCATACAGGGTGGTATGAATCGGTACGTACATGACCTTCCTCACGTGTCCTGTCCTCTTATCATCAATGCCTTCCCTCCCGCAATACCGGAGCAAATCCTCATCCTCCAATTTTAAAAGTAAAGCTATAGCTTCGCAATAAAACTATGCTTGTCCGAGTAAGGTGTCGTATTACGACAGAGACTGCCATCTGAGAGTGAGCACACCTTACAATCGAGACTGCGTCCATGGTATCGCAGAGGCTGTGACCTTTGGGGGGGATCCCTGAGGTGGGAAAGGTAGAAAAGGTCAATGCATGAACTGCATACATGAAAAAAGAACATCCCACATCCGTAATCATCTTGTCTGCGAGACTTTTATGGAGAACTCTACGAACGCTAGTACATGTTTGTACAATACTCATCAACGACAATTTGGCAGGCACGTCCAGAACTCGCTGGACATCATGAGGTTGATCAGGGACCATAACAAGGTTCGGATTGGTGTAAAACACGGGGAGCAAGCCATGCAAGTCGTGAAAGTTCAATTGAGCATCACCTTCAGGGGTAATATTATTATTTTGAATCTTAATGACAACGCTGGAGGGTGTAGGACATCGTACGAATATTTGAATCTCCGCGCTAAAGCGTGTTTGAAGCTTAAAACTTTAAATATATACACACATTCACCAGCACCTTCAACAGCCTGAACCGTTCAACTAGTACTACAGTTTACTTCTACGACTACTGAGCTGTCTTTGATTCTTAGGTCTGGCCAAGGGAGATTAACTTCCCGCCGACCTACCAAAGCCTATATACCTAGAGCTTGCCTAGAGCAAGATCGGACTACTTTCCGACATGCTATCCACTATTGGAAGTCCAGCATCAGATGATTCAGATAGTTTGATTTTAGAGGACATTTTCAGACAAGTCGCCGAACTTGACACCGTTGATTTCGGTATTTGTGACCTACACTTACCCAAGGCTTACGCTGATCTATGATGTTCGATCTTTAATGTCAATGTAGGAACGTGCTGAAGTTCCTTGCGGAACCAAACCCTGAACAAGGGTCTGTTCGAATTCATGGGCGGAGCGCAGGCACTCATTTGATGATTGTAACAGGAGTTTTCAGGTGTTTATTATGGGGTATACTCTACAGCAGACCACATTATCGAAGAGAATGATGCGGTACCGGGAAGGCCAAGGTTAGGGTGAATGTCTCACTTCTCATGACTAATACTAAATTATCGTAGATTGACTTATTTCGAAGACGAACGCATCCTTCTCGTCGAAAGTCCAGCGGTGTGCACGAAGCTCTATTCAGCCATTTTGGCTCAACATTTTCTCACTTTTTGAACGGCTTCCGTCTCAGGGATCACTCTGTGACTACTTCGGTATCCAGGAACTGTCGGTGCACAGTGGCGACCGTCCTCACAGTGTCGACATCACAATCTAATCACAAAATTCAAATTATGTGTAAAACATCGATTGGAACTTTGTTGGAACTGCTGACTACGTGCCAAAGCACCTACTGACTTCAAGTTGTTACTTTCCTTTCCCAACATGAGCTGCAGTGAAAAATGACAAGGAGGTAGGCATGTGTAGATAGAGGTCGAATTACGAATTAAGATATATTCGAATCTAAGAAATTCGAGATGACATTGATTTTGTGCAAAACGCAAAGAATCTTTGCAAAGGTAAAAAATATGCAAGCATGTCAGACTTCGATCGCGTAGTTTGCAATGAACTTTCGACAAACTTTGCATATGCATACATTATATCCTTTCGATCTATATCTACATGTATCCATCTTATTCTTGTCGATTTTCACTGGCATGCCATGAGCGGTGAGCGCGCCTGAATCAAACTTGACGTATATATACGTAGAGATGAACATTTACGACTTGGAACGTATTACATCGATAAAAGAGTGTATCTATAGACAAAACACCGCAAAGTGGTTTTACATAAATAAGTGATAAATGGCATGTACAAACGAGTGGAAGGGTGCCCAGAGTCCACACATAAACGACCGAAAAAATATCATCAAGCAAGAAAAAAAGGAACACGAACAATTCTCGAGTCTTGAGATCATGTAACACTAATAATCTTCATATTCATACCCCAGGATCTCCGAAGGGCGCCTCTGCATCAATTCAGGACAAATGCATCCCTCAGTCCACCCATTGGGGGTCCTCGCAGGTCTGGTATACATGGTATAGTCATCCGCGGTATCTGCTGAGTCGTAGAAGACTCCCAACGATGGGTTGTAGACAGGTGGAGGAGGCTGGTATTGAGTGGGTTGGGATTTGTATGGGGTAGGGTAGAATTGCATGTGTCGGGGTGGTATGGGTTGCGGTTGTATGGGTTGTGACTGCACGGGTTGTGGTTGCATGGGTTGCGATTGCACAGGCTGCGGTTGCATGAATCGGGGAAGTATGGGTTGTTGTTGTTGCATGGATTGCGGTTGCACGGGCTGGAGTTTGTATTGGTGGTATGTACCAGGAAGAGGGGGCTGTACCGGAGGCTGGGGCTGTGCCGGGGGCTGAGATGATGACTTGGTCCCGCTTGACCCTTTTGCAGAGGGGGCACCACGACCGCGCGCCTGAGGAACATACCCATGTTGTTTCTGGCGGTGGCGCGTGAAGAGAGCAGGATCGTGAGTCTTATAGTTACAACCGTCGTGAGGACAGATGTAGCGTTTCTCGCCCGTACTAAAATAAGATTGTTGATCAGGGGAATCGATGATGGCGATGAATGGGCACATACTGTTTAGCAGAATGGATATCGTAGCTACTTCTCGTCATTGTTGCGAAGTTGCACCCGGGCCAGGTGCAGATGTACCCCCTGCGTGAGCGAATGTAAGTGAGGTGAGCTGTATACTATAGAGGAGAAATACGTACTTTACTGAATGTGCGGCCTCATGTCTTTTGAAGTCCACGAACTTGGTAAAAGTTTCGTTACAGCCAGGTTCAGCAGAGCAAATGTAGAGCTAAATATTCCAAGAGTCAGTCTTCAAGTTAGTGCATGAGGTATGCATGTCATCAGGCTTACCTTAGACATGATTGGTTATAGAAGAATATGAGTGGGTGATACTACTTTATTCTGTGTGAGGTGATGATAGTGTTGGGTAGGTATCGAGGGAAGTATATAAACGATTCCCGGCGGTGGTCATGCCACTGTGCTTTGTGGTGGACAGACGCTTGTGGAATTCGTAGACGCTTTGTGGGGGTTACTAGTGGATGTGGACCATGTAACGCATGAGTGCATTGTCCTTGAATCAGCCACATTCGTTTGAAAGGCGAATCCATTATCTGTGACAGCATCAAATGAACACCAGGATCGAGGTATTTGCTAGAGATAAGTTATATCGATGGAGGTCAACTCGATGTGGAGAGTCGAGTAAAGACTGGCATGGACGTTGAATTACTTGACACCGAGATTCGACAGGGTTTTGGGGGTCTTTGTCATCATGACCTGCCTGGGCCCTACATCAGGTATTCACTCAACCAATCCCTTAAGTCGCTAGGTGCTTTGAGGGTTCCATCCATTTCAGCGGGGAGATGGTCAAAGAAATGAGATTGGACCCGCGACTTATAGAGAGTCCGTGCAGGTCAGTGCATTTGTGTTTACTACTAATGCTAGACAGTACGGTGTTGACGGAGCAAAGAGGGGACTTGTCGAGTCTGCGGTCGACATCCTTGAATGTAAGTACGAGTGAATATCAGGGAAAGGCGCAACGTAACGTACTAGCAAGTTCCAACTCCAAATATATATACCCCTCGAAGCTTGAAGTTGCGCATTTTACACGAAACACGACGAAATATGCCTAAGTTTGGAACCTTGCCAGGGAAACGACAAGGAACACTAAACGGATCGGACGAGAATAACAGGACGAAACTGTGGATTCTTTAAGCGTTATACTAATAAGTAGATGATGGTAGGTAGGAGACCCGAGTCTAGTCTGAACGGTTCAAGAATGACGGAATATAAGGGGATGAGTCACATGACGTCTGATAAGGTAATCGCGTAGTAAGCAGTCAGCTTACAAAGTTATGCATTAACTCGCGGAGACAGTGGAGTTTGAGGCCCAGTGAAAATCGACGAGAAAGAGGTAGATACGTAACGATATACGTCTAGAAAAATTGAGGCTGTCAAATTTATCGCTGCGTTTCGAGGTCTTTCGAAAAAACGGCACTTTTCGAGACGCAAAAAGATACAGATCGAGACTGTTTAGATAGACATTTACATACGGATTCTCGCTCGATTTGAATCAAAAATGTAATCGATACACAGCTAATGCAATCAAATCAGAATATCGAGGGGTATCGCTATTGTTTGGGGGGTATCGCTAGGTATCGCTATCACTGGGGTACCCACTGCGCGCTGCGCTGCCATCCCGCCATCCCGCCGCCTCGCCCGCCATCCCGATTCTCGACGCCTGCACACATCCATCGGGATCCCACCGCTAGTCATGGTGCTCATTCTCACTGTCCCTGCCTTGGAGTGTCGAAGAAGAGCCAATCTGTAGTAATAGAAGAACCAGTTAGTACAGTGGCCTATAGTACCAGCAGGCACGACGACACTCACCTGCGCTGCGGCCATTCGTTTGTATTCCTGGTGTAACGCATTAGCGCGGGAAGGTGTTTGCGATGTAGCACATACCTCCTTGATACTGGCCGACAGATTGTTCCAGTAGAGTGCGAATGCACTAGCCGGTTCACGCTGGTGACCTTTTGCTTGCCAATCGAGTGCACACAGATTACTACAAGGACGGAAAAGATTAGAAAATGCTAGTAAGTAACATCAACTAAGACATACCGAGGTGTTACTTTCGTGCCAATACGCATTGGTTTCACACTGGGTTGACGAGTTTTCTTAGCGGGCGCAGCTACAAGCAGCTCTCTCTTGACTGAGAGCGATGCTGCATCAGAGTCGGAGTTTGTTGGGGTCACCGTTAAGGATGGCGTAGGTATCGAGTCGTTGGAAGGTGCCGGTGAGTTGGTTTGGGCATTGGTTGAGGGCACCGGGGTCACTTTTGGGATAGGTCGAGGTCGAGGTTTCAAGAGAACGTGATCCCTAGATTAATATATCAGTACATATACCAGTATCGAGACATAGGACTTACAGTGGATTTTTTATCTAGCGAGTGCAGTTGAAGTTAGTATTTAAAAATATCAGAGTCGGACTACGCACCTCCACATTAAGAGTCTCCGTTTGCTCGTTTGCTGAGGAGACGGACGGTACTAGAGCAGATTCGTCAATTTTGACAGGTGGTAACGAGATCTGAATGTCGGCATCCTCGAGTGAGTCGAGTCTCTGTTTCTTAGTTGGAGGTTCTTGAAGCACCGGGTCAATCACCCGATCGAGGTAGTCGCTGGAAGACTCGGGATCACTGGCAGATGTAGAGGTGGAAGGTAAAGTGTCGACAGAACTCTCGCGCAGCTCGCCGCGCAGTTCTTTCGGAGACATACATCGCAATCGCAGACATAAACGACGGCAGTGTCGTGTGGCCGGTATATACCAGCCTGGAGATTGTCCATGGTATGGTATGTGGTGACTTAGAGAAATTTCGATCTGTAAGTGCAAAGCGTGATTATGATATAAGATATGCACGACGTAAGCATGACAATGTCGCAAATGCTAAGTTTGTCGAATGCACTGTGCAAATTACAACACCATTCTTGCATTTTTGACGTTAGCAAAGATTGTTTGCATTTTGCACAAAATTGAGCATTTCTCGTCTCGAATTTCTTAGATTTCTATTTACTTCATTATCTACTTCGACCTGTTTCGCCACATATCGGCCTGTTTCTTGTCGATTTTCACTGGGTTTGAGGGACACCGGCGGCAGGTGTAAACATTGAACAACTCAGTGTTAACCGATCGAGTAATCACATGCTTGTTTGATGCGCGCTTCATGAAGAAGTTCCGCCAGCGCTGCTCGCTGTAACGCACAGCGAGTATGGCTATATTCTCGAAACCGCTCAACCTCAACGAACTGTTTCCACACAAGTCATCGCGGCGACCGTTGCTTGTTCTGCTCGCAACAGTCCTCATTCTTCGGTCTAGACTGTTTAAACCCTTCACGAATAAGTCAAGCTCGAGCACGTCGAATGCTCTCGGTCTACCAACACACAGTCAAAGCGAGTTTGGAGTCGACGCTGTTCATTTTCCGCTCGTGAATGCGAGTCCAGGACTTGGTCTTCCATTTGTACACCAGCTCCGTTCGCTCCTGCGCATAGTCCTCCCTTCGCTTTACACTCGTGAAGCGCTCCTGCTCACTGCTCACTCTACTTTCCTCGTTCTTCGTACAGTGCTGAGTATAGCAGTCGCACGCCTAGACGGTCGCATAGTAAGGGACTTGGTCAGTGCAGATGGCAAGGGGTTCTTGACTGGCCTCGCTCTATGGTTTGCACTCGCTGTACCAAGCATATACACAAATTCAATGGTACGTATCCTCCCGACTCTCTTTTATACCACTTTATACTCTCTTCAGATCCGTCACCTTCAATCTACACTTTCCCTCAGGTTCCGAACCCGCTTGACTCGATACATCCACGACTTCTACCTCTCCTCCGCTCCCCATCTCCGCTACTACCGTGTTCCCCTCCATGGAATCGACCAGTACATCACAGCAGATGTCGACGCTTGGGCAGAGAGTGTCGCTGGTATCTAGTATGTTCTTTCTCCCCCGCCTGAACAGAACTAACTCTTTCTAGCGGTAATCTCATGAAGCCCTCCCTCGACCTCCTTCTCTTCACCTCCCAACTCGCAAGGTCTCTTGGCTTCAGAGGCACTGTACTTCTTTTCATAAACTATTACATTACTGCCAAGGTCTGTCGACTACAATATCCTAGGAACAATGCTAACATCCACCCAGATCCTCCGCGCTGTGACACCTGCTTTTGGCCGTCTTGCAGCTGTAGAAGCCCGTCTGGAAGGCGAATATAGAGCCGGTGTTGGACGCGTTGGGAGAGAGAGCGAAGAAATCGCGTGAGTGCTTTTTGTTCTGTCTTCCATGCTTCTTCGTCTCACCCGACGGTAACACAGGTTCTACGACGGAGGCGCACGCGAACGAGATATCCTCACTAGAGCATATTTGCGATTGATTAAACATGTGAATTCGATATACAAGGTATGTTCGAGTTTATTTCTTACCTTTGCAAAACTTCATTCCATCACCGTTTTGAAACGCATCTCCACTTCCTGTCTTCACCCATCGTGCTTTCTTCCAACTCATCCCCTTCTCCACTCATCTCTCACTAAATCCCACCCATCTAATCTCCCCAAACCTCAGCTAATACCCTTCACAGATCCGCATCGCATACGAATGGACAGAAGATTTCGTCATTAAATACCTCTGGTCTGCAGCTGGGTACGGGTTGATAGCTGTACCGCTGCTTATCACGAGGAAGCGCTCTCGTGGTGCGGATGCTGTGGATGGAGAGGGTAAGGGTAAGGAAAAGCGGGCACGAAAGCAGAAGAGCGATACGGATGGTATCGTTGCTGCCAGGACGGAAAGTGAGTGTTTTGGTACTTGGTGTGTTATGGATTTGATCCTCGTCCCCTTTTGGTTTTATATCCCCCAACGATTGAACACAGCTGACAAATTCATACAGCCTACATCTCCAACCGCCGCCTCCTCCTCTCCCTCGCAGATGCAGGTGGGAGACTGATGTATGCATATAAAGATCTGCAGGAGGTTGCTGGGTTGACTGGGCGGTGAGTGCTTGGTGTGTTTCCTGCGTATATTGATGGGTCTCATTTTGTTGTTCTGCATTGCTCGTACTTTCTTATTTTGATCTTCTTTACTGGATGACAACTCGACGAATCCACTAAAAGACTATACACCCTCCTTTCGACTCTACACAATCTCCCCCCACTCCCCCCTGCACTCCCAGGGGACGGGGATACATTCGCGCTGAAGAACGTGGACATATGCGTTCCGGGGGATCCATTTACCTCTCCCGACTCACCCTCACCCACACCTTCCCGTCCCCCCGCTACCACTTCCAAACTCAAAGCTCACGCCGAACCAATCCCACCCTCAGAAACCCTCTCAGGGCCAGACACCACCACCCTCGTCCGCGCACTCACGCTCACGCTCCGACCAGGTATGCACCTCATGATCACGGGATCCAACGGGGTTGGGAAGACGGCCATTGCGCGTGTTTTGGCGGGGCTTTGGGCGCCTGGGAGTCGTTCGATGCTCAGGGGCTCGACGCACACTGGTGGCGCGCTTACGCGTCCCACAGACGACGTAGACGGCCGCCCAGGTGTGTTCGTCATCCCCCAACGTCCCTACCACCCCACAGGGTCCCTCCTATCCCAAGTCATATACCCACACTCCGTATCCGAGTTCACCGCGTCCTTCGCAGCGTTGTCAGAGCTCGAAAGCTTACTGGATGCTGCTCATCTTGGGTATTTGGTGGATAGGGAGGGTGGGTGGGATGCGGTCAAAGAGTGGAGGGATGTGTTGAGTGGGGGGGAGAAACAGAGGGTGAGTTTCTTTCTTTTGATGTTTGGCTTTTTCTCTCTTTCGTTCATTTGTGTTGGATCTTGTTTTGTCCGAGGGGTTGTTGGAACGAGATGAAATGATATCAATATCCTGTTTCACAGCTCGCGATGGCTCGCCTTTTCTACCATCGTCCCAAGTTCGCGATTCTAGATGGTTAGTCTCTTGCCTTCATCCATACATCCCTGGTATCTGATCTAATCCAAAATGCAACAGAATGCACATCTGCCGTGAGCTCCGACGTTGAAGGCCAGATGTACGAGTACGCAAAATCATTAGGGATAACATTGGTCACTATCTCCTTGCGGTGCGCCCTGTGGCTTTTTTGTCTATGCTGAATCCTAATAATATTGACGCATGCAGTCCGTCTCTGACAAAGTATCACACGCATATATTGACTCTTACGGGCGATGGGACGGGGAGTTGGACATTTAGCCGGATTGCTACGTCTCGGGCTCATGAAGGGTTGACGGAGGGGCGTGATGAGAGCGGACTGGCGACACCGCCGAGCGAAAGCGAATCAACCGCGGGGGATGGCGAACGTGAACTAGTAGCAGCACCCACAGAAGACACAGGAGCCAAATACCTCGCGCGCGTCCTCGAAGAGATACGTGTGCTAGAAGCACGACTTGAGGAGTCGCATGTGTGGGAGAAGAGGGTGAGGGAGCTTGGGGAGGAGTTAAAGGCGAAGTGATGTGCTGGTTCTTTTTTAGGTTGGGGATTTTCTGTGAGGGAAGGGCCGCGAGATATTGCATATGGACTCGGGGACCAGTGGAACGACGGCCTTCTAATGCGACATAGTTATTATAGGCTGGCTTATATACGGACTGGGTGTAGACACACGGTCTGGTGACCTGGTAGCAAGGTTTGGCGCCGTTAAGCTTGTCTGTCATACATTAAGACTGCGGTGCATGTTGGCAGTTGTTATAGGAGTATATGACTCGCTCGCGTGTGATTATGAACTCAAGCAAACTGGTGCATAATGCACGGGAGGCACAAATGTTATCAACATAGAGTGCTTCCATATTCCAATACCATATAAATTCCAGATAGCAGAATTTTTGAAAAGTTGGGCTTATGGAGCGGCTAGCCAGTGGCCCACTCTGTATCTAGAGGGAACTCCATGTCCCGGGTGGCGGGAAGTACAAAAAGTTGTATCCTCCAAATCACAATTCGGAACGTTACAAATACAAGCGAGATGAAGCTAAATATCACAAGGAAACAAATGAATATGCATAGTAATGGAAGTTCTATCACATCGGAACACCAAATACATAGCGCTAGCGTGACGAGGTTGAATATCGTAACGAAAAGAAATATGCATGCTCCACGCACAGTATCTACGTGGTTGATCGTGTGCGTCATTTTATGTGTTACACCTCTCTGCCAGTCGACGCATCTTCGTCGGTCAATGCATCTCCACCAGCATGGAAGGCAATAGACGACATGCCTGTTCCCCCATCGGCCCTGGCCACGACCTTAGCGTGAGATTTTCGAACACTGAGAATTAGACGCGGTCCCAGCACAAACATCTGCATCATCTGGGCAATTGTCCAAACGCCGAAGTAATTAACACGTTTCATGTGTGATGAGTACTGCAGAGAAATGATGAGAGAGTGGTCGGTTGCTGATGCTAGTCACAGGTCGGCGCACCGTGACACCTGGGGATATTGAGCCAAGGGTGAAGCTACTCATAGTAGCAAAACTAGTAAATGCGGAACTTCAGTGAAACAAGATAATAATATTCAAATCACCGAACTCACGCTAGAAAGTAAAACATGTGACTCTCTATCAATATCGTGAAACAGCCCCCAATGGTCGATCTTCTCGGCGATTGTTGTAGTTCACGGAAGTGCTTTATAACACTCCAGGCTGTAAGAAACAAGGCGAGGACCTCCCATATAGTGGTAGATATCATACTCTCGTAAATCAGATACATCATGTGTATGTCAATATTGGCAATGCAGGTATAATAACCGGAAAGGACGGCTTCCTCTGGCAAATGTCCGTGAGTCTCTTGTGCTCCAAACTTTCATCAATGATTAAAACTTACGCGCTGAAACACCCAGGTTTGCCATTACCATAATAACTATGGAGACGATCGTGGAAGCCAGCAAGGTTGCAACAAGAAAGGTGAACACCTTTTTAGATCCCTCATACATGGCATTTATCCGAGCAATCATGATGACTTGAATGATATTCCAGTCAAATCAATATCAGTAAGGAAACTGCGGGAGAGCTCACCGCCCAGCATGACATTGACGATAACAGGATTCCACTCCTGCATGTACCAAAGGATAGTGCCTGAAACCCCAGTTACTTGATGGTGGGATAAATACTTCAAATGAACTCACAGCTGTTGAAGCCGTTACCTTGAAGACACAGGCCGACCGAGAATATCACTCACCCCTATGTAGGAGCGTAGTTAATAGTTGCATGGGAACGGCAGGGATCAGTGCAGGATACGCACTATATCGGCAATCCAGATATTAGGGAAAAACACTGCATGCCGCCAGTCAGAAGGAGCGAATGCATGTGAGGACACATACGCAGGATGTTAATGCTGGTTGCGAGAGATGGCTTATTGGCACATTGCAGTGTTGTGTAGATGGACTTGCAAACGTACACAGTATATAGTATTCCAATGTAGCGCACCTAGTATATGTTGAAGTCAGTACAACACACCAACTGCGCTCGTAGCAATAACGTACGCAAATATAAGGAACGGTCATGAAGGACCAACGTTGGCTCTGCCCCGAGTTGACTACATCATTCTATTTGATTCTGATACAGGACTTTGCCCACCAAGATCAGTTCGAACTGTCAAAACATTCTTAGTAAGATGTACAGGTCATGACATCAACTTACCTCTTGTCCGAATGTTAATGCTTGAATATTGTATGGATATCAATGATCCCTCGGAACATATTATCTCGCTCACCCCAGTCGTATACTACCACAGTAGAGCATGCAGCTGCGAAGCGATAGTCAAATATATTGAGATGATACACCATTGGCATCCAAATCACTCTCTACGAACCTAGAAAATAGTTGTAAAGATGACAAAAACTGATGATTGGCCACCAAGTGGGATCATCTGAGATTATGGTCATATCGGGATGAGGTGTATTGGAGTGCGTGCACTACAGGCATATATACCGCCGTCCATCATGATCGCTTTTAAATATAGCAATTAGCTCGGGTGCCTGATTCCTCCTTATTCTCGAATCAGACTCACAGCAAATGCTGTCGAATGAATTCAATGAGAATAGGTGGAAAGGGTGGATGTGCGATGCACCACGCCACTAGCTGCCACGGTCCACCACTGGCATTCAGGCAGTGCCAAGCCATGGCGAGAACGTACCAGCAGTGTTTCGTACCTGTAACTCCCACGTAACCGTTGTAATTATAGGTGGATGGGTGGCAGGTAGATACAGCATGTTGTGGTGACTCGTGCCTGCCAGTGGTCCTTGGCAGAACTCACATGAAGGGAAGGTGGCCGAACCTAAGCCTAGGCCTGGCAGAATTCCATGGTATCTGAGACTCACGGAAACGTGAATCTCTGATAACACAGTTTGAATTCAACAGAGCATGAAAATGATGTCCCTAAATTAAGATGGGATTTAGAAACGTGAAACATACTTGAGCCGCATCGTGGGTGTTTTCACACTCCGTCTGTCGTTCCAAACTCTACTTAGTCTGAACGAAGTCCTTCAAAATAGTAGGTTTTGTAGTCTGACATAGCCCGAACCAATCATATATAACGGCACGGCGGCCAGTGCCAAGGTAAGACACACGAGAGATGAGGATAACGAGGAATCGTTGAGGGTATGGGTGCGAAAATTTCCATTAGACTGACTTCCAACGCGGTAGAATTTAGCCAATGCAGTATGAGTCCGAGTCTCCGAGAGCACCAGACGGATCAGGAGAGCGTCGATTTACGCGTGACTCTGCCACCAAGGATACATCACCTCGAGGAATGGGGTTTATGCACCACTGTTGCAAACCCAGCGTCAAGGATATAGTGAAGGTTTTCTACGTCAGAGGTCATTGTGGTGATGGATGCCCTGTCAGCTCGTGCATGGTAGAGTATTTTCCATGGAGTAGCAATGTATGGACTTGGTAGCAGGTCACTTTGCACGATGAACGTCAGTGTTCGACGCGTCTTTGATGGGCTTCGTCAGCGCCTGCAATCATTAGATTCGGTACCACGATCTTGACTCTACTCCCCATCTTCGCTACTACCACGTTTCCCCCCATGGCATCTGACAGCAGACGTAGATACTTGGACAGAGAGCGTTGCTGGTATCTAGTATGTCTTTCCTCCCTCGCCTGAATAGAACTAACTCTTTCTAGTGGCAATCTCATGAAACCCTCTCTCAAACTCCTTCTTTCACTTCACAACTCGCATGGCCTCTCGGCTTCAGAGGCATCGTACCGCCTTTCATCAATTATTATATTATTGTCAAGGTGTGTTGACTACAATATTCTGGGAATAACGCTAACATCCACCCAGACCCTCCGCGCCGTAACACCTGCTTTTGGTCGTCTGGCAGCTGTAGAAGCCCGTCTGGAAGGCGGGTGTAGAGCTGGTGTTGGACGCGTCGGGAGAGAGAGCGAAGAAGTCGCGCGAGTGCTCTTTGTTTCTGTCTTCCATGCTTGTTATCTCATCTGACGGCAACACAGGTTCCCCGACGGAGGCGCGCGCGAACGAGATGTCCTCACAAGAGCCTATTTGCGATCAATCCAACGTGTGAATCCCCGACTCTCACGTAGTGAGAGAAGGGTTTTGTCGGACACAAATGGCTAATTCCCTGCAAACGCATCGCACCCGTGAGAATAAGGCTTGGTCAGTAGGAAAATGTTTGGAGTACCGGCTTTTTCATAAGCGATCCCACTACCGAAGGGCCTCAATGAGATTCGTATGAGGGACCCCACTGGACAAAAACCAACTTTTGGAAAAACATCATCAAACTTTGCTCGTGAAAAACATTTACCTATAGTGTGACAAAAACATTTGTTTTGTGACGAAAACTTTGCTCGCATCACATGGAAACATTTGTTGTGTGACAAATACTTTGGTCACGTGGCCGAAAACTCCGGTTTGTTCTTGTTGAAGTTTCGTACTGTTACGACGTTTTGATCGGTCAATCGCCTCTCCATGCTTTTCGATTGCTCGATGCTGACCTTCGCGTCTGAAACTACGGAGGCCTAGGTAACTATTGCCGTTTTTACTTTCCTTATCGGACAACTATTGATATCACATTGTTTTCGGTGGTTCCATGGCATAGCCACTTTTCCCGACTGCTTTACTCATCATCGACATCCTCCCCGCAGCCTTACCAGTATCAGCCTCATCAGGCCCCGCCTCCCACTCCGCAATATCAGCCGTCGTCATCCCCTCGTCAAGCTCCGCCTCCCACATCACAATATCAATCACCACCATCTCATCCCCAAAGCTACTTACCTCAACCATACCCACCTCCACACTCCCGCGCCACCTCAGCAGCAGCCATACCAACAACAATCCTATTTCCCTCCGCCACCCCTGCGTAATCACCAGTCCCTCCTCCCCAATCTCAACCTCCTCCCAAAGCACCATATTTTCGCCGCCTCCTCCACCACCGCCACTCCCTGGAAGTCCACAGGGGATGCTGGCAGTGGCACGAGGGGAGCAACAATCACCCCCTGTGCAAGGATATCAGAATTTGACGCAGAGAACTGTAAATTAAGTAATCTGTTGCGTTTCGAAACGGTACATTAAGTAAGCCGTTTTTTTTCCCGGTTGTAAATGGATTTTTAGGCCCAGTCGTCTTTTGTTTCTTGCTTCATCGTACGGCCATTAGCTTTTTTGTTGGCTTTTTCGACTGCTTTCATCATTGATCGTCGTTGAGCATGGACAGGACCGGATCGGACAGTATGTGAGTTTGTGTTTTTCGTTTTGTTTCGACGCGGCTCATGCGTTTTCAGCGTTTTCATTACGAAGTCGCCCTGCCGTTTGGCTCGCGTTCTCGAGGAGGGACAGTGTCCTCCCTGTGACGAGCCCCACTATGTGAAACACTATCCTCATTATTATGATGCCCTCTATTATCCACAATATCATCTTGCCGTCTTTGAAACACCCGAAAATTTTTGTGCTTGGTTGAAAACCTGTCTTAAATCTCACCCTTTGTCTTGTTCGATGTGCCGTTGTTTGGATTTTCGTGGTTCTGTTTCGTACGACGGTATTTCTATAACTGTGAGCCAGCATCGAGTATCGTTGTCGATGGCACTGAGTGATTTTGCTGGCGCAGGTTACTGCCACTGTGTTATCTTGCGCAAGCTTGCCTTTAGTGAAGCTCTATCTGTTGAGCAGTGTCTATCTTCGAGACTGGGTGTCTACCCAAAATGGTTTTACTATGACGAGGAACTTCAGGAGCAGAAATTGATGGCCCTCTTGGACAGTGTACTAGTTGATTGTGTTTCTCGTCTGTCTCTCTTGTGAGGAAAATCAAAAAAGGGTCGTGTTCGCGCAGTGCTATCTCACTTTGTTGCTACCCGACAATATGTGATGCAATCAGATGAAGACCAACTACGAAGTTTGCTGTCCTTTACCGTGACTACAGAGGGTAGCCAACTGCTTGTGCCTCAGTTAGCGAAATACTTTGGTGATACGTATGGAAGAGAAGTTTTTGTGGCTTTATGTCGACCACCACCGCCGCAAGTGTGTGTCCTCGAATCCCTTGATGTGCCGCTGATCAGTTGGTCCGCCCTTCCACTTACAGATTTGGTTCAGAGGCTTCATAAGTTGACCATTGAAGTGCTTTCTAATTGTATACGTGGTCTACCTGCAAAGGGACGTCCATCAGTAAACGGCCGCTCACGTCAGAAGACTTGTAATGGTCTCGCCGTTCACATTTGAGATCGAGTGAATTTCTTGCAGTGTATCGGTCCGAGTACGGTGTGTGATATCTTGCTCTGTTACCTACCACTATCTCAGCCTTGTGATCAGTCGGACGAGCAATATATTCTGCAGATCTTGTCATTTGAATATGGATCTACTGTAGTGGACCGACTCGGTCATCAAATCCCTTCGCAGCCTGACCGACGCAAAATAATACGGCGTGATAGGAAGATCGAGTTGGCGAACAAAACACGAGACCTCGCTATTGCACGCCGGCGTGAATGGCCGGCACCTGTATCGAAAGAGGTTGTCCTGGATTGCTTGCATCGTTATTATGAAGGCTCGAAGTGGACTGATCCTCCTGTGTGCACTGTCTGTTCTCAAAGGCAGTCTGGATCTGCGGAGGTTGTTATTTCAGCAAAACCTGGAGCACCTTGCCTGCCAATTATATTGAACGCTCTTCGTGTTACAGACACCTTTATCATCCGAAAATGCATCGTGCAGTGCGTCTCAGCATCGTTCACATTCAATAATAAGAATCTCGATGGTGTTATGCTCGATAAGGCAGGGATTGTCGAAGATACTTCTGACTCGACTACGATGAATGTCTGTGCTGACTGTTTTACTGCTTTGTCAAAGCAGGATAGTGTGCCTCGTTTTGCGCTCGCGAATGGCTTGTATCGTGGTGAGCTCCCGACGTATTTCAAAGACTTGACTTGGGTAGAAGAGAAGATCTGCGCAATATACAATACCACGGCGCATGTGACGCGCTTGTTCCAGTTGTCGGATCCATTGCAGCCGAAAGTTTTTCATGGCAACATTTGTGCTCATGACATGAACATTGTATCCACCGTGTCTGTGTTGCCTCGGACTCCTGCAGACGTGAATGGATTCCTCAGCATTGTCTTTGTTGGTCCTGGTAAATTCAAGCCCGACCAGATGGGTCCCATGTTTCGAGTGCGGAAGGATAAAATCTGGTCTTTTCTTGTTTGGTTAAAGCATCACAATCGATTGTATTCCGATATCCTACTTGAACCGGATAATCTGATACTTTATCCAGATGACGACATGTTGCCTGGATTATCTGATCGTGTGGTTGAAAATAATGAGCTCGATGTCAAAAGAGTTTTTGAAGAGGAAACGGCTGGATTTCAGAAGCATCCAGCGGAGCTTTTGGTAGATGACTTGGATGTCGACTCTGATGTGACAATGCTTGAGAAAGCAGGTGTCTCTGATCCGGAGTGTGATAACATCAGTGGACGAACGTTCATGGCTGCTGCGCTCAAGAACCTTGTTTCAGAGAAGTCGACACTGCCTGACCTCGTGGTGCATCGAGGCTTTCATCCCATTAATGAGTACAATAATCCCAATCTCATCCCAGGCATGTATCCTACTTTGTTCCCATTTGGTATCGGAGGATTTGAAGACGATACTCGATCTAAAGCTCTGTCTTTCCAGCAACAGGCTCAATACTACCTGAACATAGCAGATCGCTCTTTTCGATACCACCATTCATTTATATTCGTGGTGTGGAACATGATTCAACGTCGAATGGCCCATCTTAAAACTTTCTTTACTGTCCGCCGGGCAAACTTCCAGCAAGTTGCACAAAATCTTACCAAAATATCGCCTGCTATTCTGGACAGTCTTGCCTCGAAACTAGAGCGCGAGCATAGATTTTCGGACTTGGCGCCTGCTGAACGAAACGCGATGAATCTCCTGAAGCAAGTCAATACCATTGCGGCTTGAATCCCAGGCTCTCAAGCATCGAAAATTTACGTACGGAATGAGATACAGAGTTATTTCAGTTACTTCGGTTTGCCTCATCTTTTTTTCACGTTTAACCCGTGTCCGGCTCATAGTCCTATCTTTCAGGTTATGTACGGTGATCAGACCGTTGATTTGTCGCATCGATTTCCTCGCCTTGCTTCAGCACGGGAACATGCTATGCGTCTTGCCCGCGATCCTGTAGCCGCAGCAGATTTCTATGAATTCTCTTTCAAGTGCTGCTTCGAGTACCTCCTTGGCTGGAATTTCAAAACACGGTCATCTTCTCCGAATGGGGGCTTGTTTGGATGTTTGCGTGCATTCTACGGCTCGTCGGAATATACAGAACGCGGGTGTTTACATGGCCACTTCCTCATATGGCTCGACGGCGGTATGAACCCAACAGATATCCACCGGAATTTGCATGACGAGGCTTATCAGAAGAGGTTTTTTGCTTTCTTCGATGATATTATTCACCATCACTTACCAGATGTGCAGGTTGAAATAGAGTCAAAATACAACCCTCGTCTAGAACGTCCTCCGGCGCTGCCTCTGATGGCGGATGAACATGCGAAAAGCACGCATGATATACTTGACAAGTGGGGCGCTGATGCGTTTGCTACGGAGATCAAAAAATGTGGTGAGATATTGCAGCGTCACCGTTGTTGACCCGTGTGTCATAAGTATGGTAATACCGATAAATGCAGATTTCTCTTCCCTCATGAAGTTGTAGATGTGTCGTACTTTGATCCCGAAAGCAATGCCATCGTTTTCGTATGTCGCGACGGTAACGTGAACTATTTCAACCCGTACATCCTTGTTTACTGTCGACACAATCACGACTTAAAATGCATATTATCGGGAAAAGGTGCAAAGGCTGCAATGTTTTATATCTCGGATTACATTACAAAAATGGATACTAAAACATATGAAATGCTCTCGCTCCTCTCTCGTGCAGTGGCTCGTTTACCTGATGATACTGGACAGACGGACACCGTAGGAAGTGCGAAGATGCTGTTGCACAAATGCCTCTCTCAGTTTAGCCGACAGTTGCAAATTCATGCCCAGCAGGCGGCTCGATACATTCGTGGGTTTGATGATGGTATCCCTTCTCATCAGTCCGTGCCAATGATGTCTTCTCTACTCTTAGATCACGTCAAAAGGACAAGTCATGGTTGGGATTCGCACCAGGAAAACGATGACGTCAGTGATGATGATGACGACAATGCTGTAGAGCACTCGCGAATTCGTGTCACTGCAGACAAGAATGGGGTTATTGAAGAGACTAATCAGATTCATCATTATATATATCGGAGTGACGCCTTAGCTGAGATGTCGTTCTATGAATTCTGTCGATGCGTTCATATCAAGACGAAGGGTAGACGACAACCTAAGAACACGTTTGAGACGCGTCTTGGTGTTCTGAGAAGACACAACTTGAAAGATGGACATCCGTTAAGTGAGACGCATCAGTTGATTGAGCACACTAATGAGGAACGTGGCGATTCTAACTTCGAGTATGTACCGAGAATGGTGGGAATGTCTATCCCTCGTCCAAACAACGTGAAGGTTTGGGCATGGTTTGCACTGGCGCATTTCAAGCCCTTTAGTATTGATGTGGGGCTTCTTCCTGATGGTATGACTGTTGAAGAGGTCTTCAGTGAATATCAATTTTCGGACAGAGCGGGTGCGATAATGAAAAACTGGGAAGCTGTGCATGAGTGCGAGGATCAGCAGGATGCTGAACGGTTACTGAAAAGCTCGAGCGACTGGTAGTACCAAATTACATTCTGATGTGTCTTCGGATCCCACCTCCGCGGATGGCGAGGTTGATGTTGTCAGTGCGACTGGGCCTAAGCGTGATTCTCGAGAAGAGTTTCATATTCACCAATTTATTCTGCTTCTCAAACAGTCCCGCTGGCTTAATAATGCATCAAACGTTGTTGGCGTGTCTCAAGAACCTCGAGAATGTTCCCCTTCAGTGGCATTCCAAGATCAAGACATTCAAAAATGTTTGAAGTCCTGGAAGGATGAAATCAAAAAGCAGGAGACATCTGTAGCAGATCTTCGTCGAAATGCCCTAAACCCCGACCAGCAAATTGAGCGAGCTTCCCTTTGTGAGACTGAAGTATACTGCCCAGTTTGTAATATAACTGCTGAACCAGTAGAAGACACGGATACACCTGCTCTAGTCGATATCACATCTGCTGCGCTGTCCTCTGATGATGTAATAAAGAAGATCGGAACCAAATGTGGTTTGAATGAGCAGCAATGGATTGCATTTCAGATCATCGCCAATCACTTCATGCGGACACATGTTAACAAGTGTGATGAAGAGACCGAACAACTCACTATGCTTATGACCGGTCCAGGTGGCACAGGAAAGACTCACGTCGTAAAGGCAGTTCGCGCAGTCATGCAGTATTATGGGTGTGGTCATATGATTCGATTTCTCGCACCCACTGGCTCCGCTGCTGCTCTAATCGACGGAATGACCGTTCATAAAGGCCTGGGGATCACCATAAAATCTAAGTATAAGGGGAAAGGTAATCGGGAACCTGGTGAAAGCAATCAAGATTACACAGTAATTGTCAGTGTTCGCAAACGGACCCAGCTTCGCGAGGAATGGAAGAATGTTTTGTTCCTGTTGATCAATGAGATTTCACTGGTCAGTCTTCAGCTCTTAGCTGAAATAGATCATGCCCTACGCTTTGCTAAAGAGAAGCCCGATCAGTGGTTTGGCGGTGTCGCAGTGATTTTTTCCGGAGACTTTTACCAGTATCCCCTGGTTGGTGGAAGTGCCTTGTACGTGCCTATTTCTGTATACAGTGGCCAGAGTGATGAGGAGATATGCAAAAGGCTCGGACGATTGGCATGGAAAACGGTCAATACTGTAGTGAGTCTCACTGAACAGCAATGTATGAAGAACGATGAGACCTACGGTGATGCAGTCTGTCGATTGCGAGTCAGGCGGTGTACTTTTGAGGACGTGGAGCTTTTTAATTCGCGGGTGATCAAAAGTATTGATTGTCCAAATGGTGTAGACATGGGCAATGGTGACAACTACCATGCATCAGCGATTGTGGTTACTAACGCCCTCCGTGAAGCAATTAATGTTCATAAAGCAGAAGCTAGCTGCGGTGGAAACAGACTTGTCTCTTGTTACACCTTAGACAAATGTTCTCACAAAGTTCTGAATGGGGATGAGTGTTGGCAGCTAATTCGCCTTGATATGGTTGCACTCCGTTCGACGCGGTCGTTACCTGGTTGTTTGCCTCTCTATGTCGGTATGCCCGTCATTCTGCGCCTTCGTAATTTGTCAACCGACCTTGGTGTTACGAACGGCGCGCAGGGTTTCGTGCGCAAGATTTTGACAGAAGAATGTCCCAATGGGCTGCCATACGCAATCTGCGTAATCGTACATTTTCCATCATCTAAAGTGCAGCTGAGTAACCTCGCACCAGGAGACTTTCCTGTCACGCCAGTTAGTTGGACATTCACGACTCTCCTCCAATGTTCAGATGGGGCCTCAGAAAGGTTGTGAATAACTCGTCATCAGCTTCCAATCCAACCAGTGTTTGCAGTCACAGGACATTCTGCTCAAGGGAAGACACTTCCGAAGGTATTGATTAATCTACATGAAGGTGGATTTGTTGCTTATGTTGCTGCATCTCGTGCGCAGACTTGTGATGGTTTGTGTATATCTCATCTTGTAACACTTGATCAGTTAAACAAGCCTCTTCCTTCAGATCTATTGCAAGAAGCATGAAGATTTGATGCAATAGAGCACAACATGTATATCAAGCATGGATTCCACGATGGTACTATTGTTCCTGTTCTGGATGCAGAAGCTGAGTGTTCAATGAAGCATTCTAGAACAGGTGCTGCAGAGTTTGACTTTGATAATCTGCCAGTGAAGATGATACAGAAACGCAAATTTTCGGAAGTCAATGTTAGGACCGACGACTTGCAACCTGTGCTTCACGATAATAACAAGTGGTTCAAGGTTTACCATGAACTGCAGTCCCGATATTGCTCGGCGGAAATTAGTGCTGGATGTATGTGGTCACCAGAGAACTGGTCATGTTCATATGACAGTGTTTTCATGGTCCTGTTTCATGCTTATCGACGTGGAAGTGCTACATGGAAGAGTTTATGGAGCTCCGATAATGACAAACTCCATGTGTTGCTCTCTTGGTCTTTCTGTGTACTGGAATCCCAAACTCACATCCATTCGCAGGAACTCTTCAACCGTTTTCGTGATGAGTTCTGCGACATCATATCTGCGCAGAATCCACAACGTTTTCCTCATACTGGTATGGTAGGGGCTTCTGTCACTTGCATGCTCGAGCTTATTCTACCTTCATTGTCATATTCAATGTGCGGGATTGCTTCAATTACAGACCAAGAACATGGTGATGTGCCCGTTATGACCTCGGTTGACCTCTCATTGGATTTTCCAATAATGTGTGTACCATTACCTGAATCTGTTGTTGCATGCGATGAAACTATTTCCTTGCAGCAATGAGTTGATCTCTGGCTTCGTTATCATGCAAAGAAATCAGCTATACCCGAGGAAGTGGTGTCTGCACAAGACCTGTTGTTATGTGATGGATCTTTTACATGGGACATCAAGTTGGCAACGTCTCCATACTTCATTTTTTTCCATGCAATTCGCTGCTTAGTCAAACTGTCTCTCAGGCTAACTATTCCCTGTTTGACGGACAAGCAAGTGCACTATGTTCTTTGTGGAATCATATACTTAGGTGGCTATCATTTTTCAGCTCGAATTTTTGATGATTCTAATGTATGGAGTTATGATGGTAGAGAACATAATGGAAACCCTGTTTTTGACATGGCAATCTCTGAGATACGTGAATCAGATTTGTCCTGCTTGAATGGATGAGAGGCACATGTCTATGTCTACAGCCTCCAAAATGCCGATCAGCTTCTCTGAGACTTAGATCATCTGTGGCACCTATGTCTAGAGCCTCCAATACACTGATCAGCTTCAGACTTAGATTGTCTGTGGAGGCTTCCATGTGAATCACTTGCCTTGCTTCTTGGACTATGATACATGCAATATTTTATTTATTTGTTTTTCATTTGATTCACCGTGTCATGTATAAAAATACAGTCATTGCGACTCTGACCTCTACCCATCCATTCACTCTTGCTTCATTTGTTGCACTAGCTGTCCTCCAGTCTCTAATACAATGTCTCAGCCCTCAATGCCTGCACCTTCCCCTAATGCTTGTTTGGCATCACGTTGAAGGTTCAACAACTCTGCTGGCTTGCAGAGCAAAAGAAAGAAAGAGGGCTCTCACCCTGGGGTGAGAGGAAGGCTACTGACTCTCTAAGTGTTGGTCAAAGTGCGCCAGGCAATATGTTCGACCCTTAAGGGAAGCAAGGAAAGCAAATCCACGAAGTGATGCCAGATCAACTCTGGTGAAGCGTGCTGAAAGCACGTGCATGGGAATGTCGAGCACGTAGGTGCGCGAAGCGTGGGAATAGAGCACATGTGGTGCACAAATGTGTAAAGACTGATGGAAGGTGTGAAGGCATGAACTAAGACTGCTGAGTGATAATGGACTGTTGCTGGTGACTAGGGCAATGACTGAAGCATACTGGCTGAAGATGATAGATTCAGACTCTAGGTGACTACTGACATGGTGGTGGTAGCTATATGAAAAACTTCCTAGGCAACAGGTAAGCTGTGCCTAGGCGTGCTCCCAGGGCTTGGAAGCGAATAGGGAGTGCTCTAAGTATGTAAGTAGGGGTCCATGACGAAATAATGTCATACTAATACTAAATATGGTCTGATAATGAGAATAAACAAGAAAGGACTCACTAGGGAACTGGTTGGACGATGGATGGGATGCTGCACAACAAAGTGCGACCAAGCGCAGGAAGAGCGCACTAAGTGCATGTGTGGGAAAGTGTCGCATAGTGCGGGAATGCATCGCGCCTCTGGCACATTTTGTGGGAAAGTCGTAGATAGTGAGTTGCACACTATACCAATCGTCATGAGTTGTAATATGTGTGATATAAGCCTGGAGGAATCTCATTCCCTACACATGTGTCCTCTCCTTGCCTACACCATCCCTGGAGAATACTCCTGATGCCTCTGGAGGTGATTCTGTATTTCTGTCCTCATCTCCACTCTACACCTCGCTACTTGGCTGCATGAAGTCTCCCAATGTTGCCAATGCGGAGATGCTCGTGAGTATCCCAATTAGCAGCAACCCTCGTCCTATGCGCACTGTTTTTAACGATGGCACTGACTATTGGGTTGGGGCCAATGACAATGTACTCCATCTTGTGTTTCCTGCAAAGTTACACCTTGAAGGTCGTTACAATAAATCTGGGGAGTACTTTAATCTCCCAGAAACAGGTGTAAGTTTCCATTGGTGAGCTGCTGATGCAAACTTTCTTACAAACCATTATGCAGCTTGACCTCGGCAATATAAAAAATACAAAGATTCAGTTTGAGGTTCTCCCTTTGGACGATAAAGAAAAGGATTGCCCTGCCTCAGCAATAGCATCAGGAAAATAACACTTGACTACAGGTTGCTATATAGTCAGGGTAGTACCTGTAGCCCAATGTGTCAAGTGCCTACTACGTGCAGCTATATAGCCACGCAGTGAACTATATAGTGCTATGGCAACTCCTGTAGCTTGTTGTAGCAACCAACTACAGGTGCTACAGACAGCTATATGTGCTACAAATTAGTACATGGTGCTATAGGAATAGTACTAGTATTTGCTTGTTCGAGCTACAGGTAGCTACACACTGCTACTGTAGCTCCCTGCAATATAGATCACACCGCTGACTGGAAATCAACAAAATCAAATCAATTAAGGTGCTATAGTGCATGAGCATGCATACAATCCTCAAGATACAGCTGCCTCAATCACTATGCGCTTCTTGTGCTTCTTGAGCCTCGTCTTCGTGCTCTCAAATCGCGTCATCAAAGACATCATCTGTGAAGCTATCGATAGTCACTGCTGTCATAAACAGATCCACACCAGTGTGCATCCTTTTTATGGATGTCAGTTTGGATGATGAACAACATAAGTAATCAGAAACATACCAAGCAATGTCAAGAAGATTGACACCAATTTTACCAAACAGTTTGTAAGCAGCAGTCCACTCCTCAAACCGCTGCAGGGAGTTGAGATGGAGAAGGTAGACCGGGAAGTAAGCAACCAATGAAAATTTGATGTCCTCCTTAACTCCAGTCATCCACTTGTCAATGCAGCATTCAATCTGTGAGACCAAGTCTGTTGCAGCATGAACATCAGAATCACTGAATACACTCACTGCTGTGAGTACAAGTGCCATGGTTTGAACAGGTAAAGGATCAAAATATTTAGCATATACTATACCCTCATTGCTTCGGTTTGCAAACCACATATGGTTGATCACTGACTGGATTAAGTTGGTCTTGTAGATGCCGCGTTTCGTTTCCCAGTCCTTTTACCCCACCAGTCAGATGTTGACGAAGGATTGTGAAATTGAATTTAAACACGCACCTTAAAAACAAAACGTGATCCTTCCTTGAGAGACTCAGCCAGGTCACGGTTTTGCATAATGGTGAGTGTAGATCTGCTTGTGTGGAAGCCAAAGAACTGAGACTGTCAATCCGCGCATCTTTGTTTTAAGCTCCCCGCACACATGTGATGTGCGCTTCATCATCTATATGGCAACATAAAATCAAGTAGGGCAAGGACGTGGAGACAAGATGTACCATTTTGACAAGAGAAGGGGTAAGTTGGATGGTAAGCTCTGCCATGTTAGATGCCTCATGCCAGGCATCCTTTGCTAGCTTGGTCTCAATGATCAGTGTCTCTGGAAAAGGAGCGCGAGTCATGACTAGACAACAGTAGATGGATGTGGCAGTGGTGAGCAGATCTTTGGTGACATCATCAAAATTGCTGGCCTTTAACCATTGGCATGTTCTATTGGGACCTTTCTTGAACTTTGTGTCAGTATTGAGGACCTCTGAGTCTTCCCATTGGTGCTTGGTGCCGACAACCGGTGGTGAAGAAGCTTCAGCCACTTCATCATGATCATTGGCAGTGTTGTCTGTGCCACAATCAGACTCGTTCTCAGCATCATCCATGCTATCAACAAACTTGGTCAAATTGTCGCTCTCACTGCTGTCGCTGCTGCCCTCACCGTCACTGTCATTATATGAAGTCACAACAGTTGTGGATGCTGAAAAAGTGTGTTAGACCAGGGTACACGTGGGCCAAGACATAGTACCTTTCTTTGGCTTTGTATGGATCTTAATCATGGGTTTTCAGGCCAAGACAGTTGGAGGGGTCTTGCTCATACTGAAAGTGAGTGCCTGTTGATCAGACAGTCTTGTAGTTACACAGCGGTCTGAAAACTATTATGTAGTTGTGAGTAACATGGAGTGCCTGGACAAATAAGACACTGACCATGCTGTCTTCATCCCTGTCAACATTGCTGAGAAGCCAAGCAGGCTCACTATCGAATATCTCGGGGTGTGTCTGGTATGTAGTGCGCAGTGCCTTTAAGTCGCGCTTCTTCATCTTCGTTTCTAAGGCCATTTGGTGTTCTTCTCCTCCACAAGCTTTTAAAACTGTTAAGCAGAAACATGTAAGTGAGCACGAGCATTCATGTCAGGCTTGATATAACTTACTTCAATATGTCTCTTTTTCGGTTGGCCGACGTTGGCGACCACTTGCAGTGTGTCCTACGGTTGACACCATCTCTGCACGTAGGTCCTCTTGGGCCTTCAAAAGTGCCATTTTAGATGCTGTTTTAGATGCCTTTTTGGAGGGGCCTTTTGTGGCCATGATAGATGGTAGTCAGTAGAAATAACAATGACAGAAGGAGGGGGTATGCATGCCTTTAAAAACCCTACAGTGGCATTGGATCAACAAACAATTTTTGAGTTTTGTTGATCGAGTTTTGTTGATCACGAAGTTAAAGTTTTCAACTGACCAAGCTGGTGTCAATATAATGACATAAATAAGAGGGGCAGGGATGACTTTCCTTCAAACATACAATTGATTCTACAGTGAAATCAATACTACAGCCAAAATGAATAAATAGTAAGTGGCTGGCTTCTCCAACGCTCGCCTCACACTCACCGATGTTGTAGTTCAGTGTTCAAGATGTTAAACAAACCAGAAGATGTGAAGCCAAACATCTCATTATTCAATGGATTGAACGAAGTGAAGCCAAACATGCAGGCTGCTACACAAGGCCTTGAAGTCAGCAAAAGGTGATACTCAACCCTCGACCATAAACGATGACAAATACTAACCAACCAGCAGGCCTGTACCTCCTCCGAGTCGACCCTTTCATGTGGTCATTGCTCCAGGACGGGCTAGGGAGGTACCGGCTGCTCTTGAGATTCAGTTTCCATTGGTGCCATACTGTCAAACCCCAGGACCCATCAAAACCTCGCAGGCCTACCTGCGAACCCTTGTATTAGAGCGCTGGGATGCAGAGATTAGACTTTGTGAGGAGACATGCAGAGCGCAGCTCTCAGAGCACATACAAGGGCCTGTTGCTCACCAAAATTTGGTGCAGGAGATGATAACTGTGCATTGGAATGTAGAGAAAAGGCGGTGTGAAGAGTCGCACAAGGTTCAACTTTTGGAGCTCTTACTTGCAGCTCATGGCATTACTACACTGTCTTAGTAGTCTTGGTAGTCAGTTAGTTTTAGTCAAGCATCATTCAGAATAACAGCGCACCCCTCTCATGTGGATCGTCTCTTTCAACCATGCGGCAAAACCTCTCATGTGGATCACCTCTTTCAATGATGTTCAGGTCAGTCTCCAATTTTTGTGGCATAAGAAATGGTGGCGCACAAGTATGAACTGCATCCGTGACAGTAGTTAGTCATGAGGGTTGAATTGAACTTGGTCTGGGCTGAATTGGACTCACTTGCAAGGGTCACATGCAAACAACTTTCGGGTTAGTCACAATTAGGGCCGGTATGAGGACTCACTTGAGGTTAGTGTGGTGTTTTTTCCATTTTGTGTGGCATCAAGACACTTAGGGCTAGTACAACACAACTTTGCATGAGTTTCATGTCAATTGCACCATACGAGCCAGAATGCCCCACTGTGTATTCTGTGGGAAGGTAACGACCACACATGAAGGTCTGAAGAGACACATCATAGGGTGTCCTGAATGTCGAACACAGTGGGCATCAATGATCAAAGAAGTAGAGGCAGAGAACTTAGACAATGTACCTGATGTTGACTTCCCCCATCAAGATGCAGCTCCAGGACATGTTCACCTGCACCCATCTCCAGATATGGACAATAACCCAGTGCTTGGCAAGATTCGTCGGGTTACAGTTGAGGAAGTCAAAGATGAGGATGGGATGTCATTCCCCAATAACAGGAGATATTTCAAGCCTCAGCTGGATGCTGGCTGGGCACTGCATGAGGGGGAGACGAGTTTTGAAAGATATAGAACATACCAAGAGGAAGAGGGTGAGGATCCATGGTTGCCTTTCGAGGATGTGTAAGTGCTTGAATGTGCTGGCAAAGCATCTACTAAATAGATATCACTCACCAGGGAAGAGTGGGATCTGGCCCAGTGGCTTGTTAAGAACCTTGGTCAGACATGGACCAATAAATTCCTCAAATTGCCCATAGTAAGTTTGAAAGCGTTGATCAAAATTTGAACTTACAATATTGATACCCTAACCAGACACAAAACCGCTCCAAACTTTCATTTCATAACAACCACTCATTCTTGCAGCACATGGACAAACTTCCACATGGGCCAGGATGGACTTGTAAGAAGGTGACTGTGTGTGGTAACTGCGAGGATGAGAACATGTGAAATGATGCAGGAAGACGTTGAATTGTGGATCCATAATCCTGTAGAATGCATGAAAGAGCTCATTGGCAACCCATCCTTCAAAGAAGATATGGCCTACTCACCTGCAAAAGCATATGCAGACTGTGCAGGGCAAGATAGAATAATTGATGAGATGTGGACAGCAGACTGGTGGGGCGAGAAACAGGTAAGACTATTTGAGAGGAAGCAACAAAGTAATGGACTGACCTCGCACACAGAAAGCCTTGCCAGAAGGTGCCATAATAGCACCAATCATTCTATCTTCAGATAAAACGTCCTTGTCACAGTTCCAAGGGGATAAGTCGGCATGGCCAGTGTACATGTCCATTGGAAACATCACTAAAGCAAAAAGGCGCCAAGCATCAGCACAAGCAACTGTCCTGATTGGGTACTTACCAGCAGGCAAACTTGACTGTTTCACCACTGATGCACACTCCTTGGCTGGATACAGACTCTTCCACCATTGCATGACTATACTGCTCCAACCTCTCATTGGTGCTGGAACCAACAGTGTTGAAATGGTGTGTGCAGACTCATGGGTTCGTCGTGTCTACCCAATTCTTGCAGCATGTGGCCGATTTCCCGGAACAGTGTTTGGTCAGTTGTTGCAAAGAGAACCAATGTCCAAAGTGCCTTGTAGCAGCAAATGAGCATGGGGATGGACTCAACTCCACAATGCGTGATCCAGAGTCAACAAAAGAAATCTTGCACAGGTGCAAGATTGGTCAGCATCCTCCGGAATTCGAGGCAAATGGTCTATGTGCTGTTTACAAACCATTCTGGGCTGATCTGCCTCACACAGACATTTTTCTAGCTTTCACACCTGATCTTTTGCATCAACTTCATAAAGGTGTCTTCAAAGACCACCTTGTGAAGTGGTGCATTGATATTATTGGGGAGGATGAAATGGATGCACGTTTCAAGGCAATCCCGAATTATCCCGGTGTAGGGAATGAGATTCCTCCAGGCATAGATCACCCATATTACAACTCATGACGATTGGTACAGTGTATGACTCACCCTCCATGACTTTCCCGCAAAATGCGCCAGAGGTGCGACGCATTCCGCACTATGCGACGCATTCCACGCATGCGCTTAGCGCACTCTTCCTGCACTTGGTCGCACTTTGTCACACAGCATCCTGGAGCATCCATCCATCGTCCAACCAGTTCCCTAGTGAGTCCCTTTTCGTTTATTCTCATATTTAGCATTGTACCATACATTATTTCATCATGGACCCTTTATTTACATCATTTACATACTTAGAGCGCTCCCTATTCGCTTCCAAGCCCTGGGAGCGCACCGAGGCACAGCTTACCTGTTGCCAGGGAAGTTTTTAGATACACCTACCACCACCACAGAATATAGCTACCACCACCATGTCAGTAGTCACCTAGAGTCTGAATCTATCATCTTCAGCCAGTATGCTTCAGTCGTCGCCCTAGTCACCAGCAACAGTCCATTATCACTCAGTAGTCTTAGTTCATGCCTTCATGCCTTCCATCAGTCTTTACACGTTTGTGCACCACACGCACTCTATTCCCACTGCTTCGCACACCTATGTGCTCGACATTCCCACGCACGTGCTTTCAGCATGCTTCACCAGAGTTGATCTGGCATCACTTCGTGGATTTGCTTTCCTTGCTTCCCTTAAGGGTCAAACATATTGCCTGGCGCACTTTGACCAACACTTAGAGAGTCAGTAGCCTTCCTCTCACCCCAGGGTGAGAGCCCTCTTTCTTTCTTTTGCTCTGCAAGCCAGCAGAGTTGTTGAACCTTCACTGGGCTTCAACACTTCAAGAAAGGGATATCGAGTGTGAAGCAGTGGACAGGACGTAAACACAAAGAGATGCAGTGAGCCTTTGTTGGCTTATTGAGTGGAGCAGTACCTAGGTGTGTGTTTAACGAGTCATTAAGATGATGTTTTGATGTCATGCCTGGCAGTCGTGTTTTGGTAGTTGCGCAATCTATTCTCGACTTCTCGTATTATGCCCAGCTGCAAATTCAGACGACTGAGTCCCTCAAAGCACTACAAACTGCCCTGACTGTATTTCATGCTAATAAAGACATCCTCAAGGAGCTCGCTGTTCGAGAGCATTTCAACATACCGAAATTACACCAGCTCACTCATTATGTCTCATCAATCACATTGTTTGGTGCAGCTGACAGCTTTAATACAGAACTTCCCAAACGCTTGCACATTGATTTCACAAAAGACTCATACCATGCTAGCAACAAACGAGACTATGAAGAACAAATGGCTTTATGGCTCCAACGCCAAGAAGCCGTGTTTTTACATAGCACATACCTGGATTGGTTGTCACAACAGCCTCGCTCCAAGTCAGCTGCGGGCCTCACTGAATGTCATTCAAACCCATACGACTTCGACACAGATTTGGACATGGACTTGGAGTCAGAAACACCAAATCTTCCCGCCACTGAACCACTTCAAGCAACCCATGTCCTTGCAAAAGCCCCCACGCATCCTCATCAATCTGTTCAAACCATCATGACAGCATATGGTGCTACCAAGTTCCTCTCTGCTCTCCAATCATTCTTACTCAAGAATCTCCTGCGCGACACCATCGTCCCTGGACTTCAAGACCGATTCGATCTTTATCGTCAAGTGGTGATTGTGATGCCACCTGATTTACGAGTTAGTGATGTGCCACAGCGAAGGCACATCAGAGCATCCCCAGAAACGTTGCCGTCAGGCCAGAAGCCTGGTATTTCAGCCTGGTTTGACATAGCGTTGATAGCAGACAGGCCTCGCTCTTTGCATTTGCATACTCTCGAAGGTATTTTTTTTTCGGGTTTCACAGCAGTCCATTTTAATGATAGTCTTGTTGCAGGTGTACGAGTAGCCCAAGTTCATGTTATTTTCACCCTACCTCGCCAGTTCGGTGCATATTCCAGAGCTCTCACTTATGTTGAGTGGTTCACACCTTTCAAACCACCGGACCCTTCCTCTCGAATGCGGCAGGTCTCGCGCTCAACACGCCAACTTCGCCGCAATGCTGCTGTAATCCACGTCGACGAAATTGTGCAGCCGTGCCATCTGATACCGAAAATGGGACACACAGTAGATGTGAGGTTGAGAAGCGGAAATGCATACAAGGTAGCGAATGATTTTTATTTCAATGAGTTCATTGATGGCGAAATGTTTTGCGCGTGTGTTCTAAGTACTTAGATACAACGACGTGTCATGTATGTACTACGGGTGCACCTGTAGCTGCCCGTAGCCGCAGTGGTGGCTCCTGTAGCTACCTGTAGCACAGTATTTCCCTTGCAAACTATATAGCCGCATGTAGCATGGCTTTAGACTATGTGGCACTATATAGGACAATATAGTGTAAGGTGTGCCTACATAGTGCTACTGTGCCTACATAGCGCTATATAGCTGTCACTAGGGCTACGGCATTTTGGGTTTTTTACTGATGAGGGTGCTCCCAGTTTGCGATGAAGCTCCTCTTCGCTCTCCATTCAGAGGTCGAGGAAGCTCGCAATGCATGTCAGTCGTCTACAGGTCCTTCGCTTACATTTAAATTTATTGATTTACAAATACAGCGTCAGATGCTAGCGCAATTCCTTCAAATGTACCGTTTTGGCGCACATACAAGGAAGACGACAAGTTCAGTCTTGTTGTCACGGCCGAGCTGTATTCCAAGATGTCTTGGATATGAAAACTGCAACTACCCCTCGCTTGTCTCGAGTGGAGGCTGTCAGTAAGTCGAGTACAGTCGCCGTGTCCAATGCAGCTGATGTGACGTGAAACAGAGTGTGCGGGTTTGATGAGTCCTAGCAAGTCTTCTGTTTTTTTCTGCTGACACTATCCTGATTTACTCTCGTGGCTGTAGGCAAGGCAAGGGCGACCGCTAAAAAATACACACAAGCCCTTGGTGATAATGAAGGGAAGAAGTCCAACGGTGCGTTTTATGTCACGGTCTCGCGGCACTTGAGTTATAAGGTACTGATTGTGCACATGTTAGGTCGCTGGTGGCGCATTTGCGACCTTGAGGATTCGAAGAGGCATTATTCTGCCTTGCTGAACACGTATGATCTGCGCGGCACAAGGGTTCAGTCCCCCGATGTCCGGGACGAACACGGTGTCCGTATCCACGTCAGTGACTACAAGACCAAACTCAAAGAGGGAGCAATTGTCGAGTTAGAAGTGATCTTGAAACTGTAAGTTCTCGGTTGTTTGCAGGGTTCGATATTCTGACATTTCACAGGTGGACTATCAAACCACGCAACAATACATCCAACCCCCGTGATGCCCAGGGGTCTCGCGTTTATCAGATCATGCTCCAATACATGCAGCTTCTGCCATGTGCTAAGTATACGCAGAGCGTATTCGTGGACTCGCTCAGCGCCAGGAAAGGGAAAAGAAGGGCTGTGGACGAGGCAGTTAACCAGTCGCCAACTAAAAAGGGCTCCTTTTCCACTACACTCGAAGATGACGAGTCCAAGTACACTATGATCGAGTAGTTTTGAGTGCTTGTTTCTTGGTGTATTTTTTTGTCTTGGCTCGAAAGTCCAGGCGTCCTACGTCGTTGTACTACAATTATTCGTGAATCATACGTTTTCTTGGCGTCTTCATGCGGAGTCGGGGACTGGCGCGGCCGAGCGCCGCTACGATTCGATATACTAGGTATGTTCGAGCTTGCTTCTTACCTTCGCACGCCTCCATTACCGTTTTGCTCATATGAAACGCTTCTCTATTTCCTATCCTCACCCATCGTGCTTTCTTCCAATCAATCCCCTTCTCCACCCATCCCTCCTCATCCTAAACGCACCATCCAATCTCCCAAAACCTCAACTAACGCCCTTCACAGATCTGCATCGCATGCAAATAAACAGGATTTTATCTTCAAATTCTTCTGCCACTGGGCATGGGTTAATTACAATGCTGCTGCTTATTACTCTCATGGCGCGGGTGTTGGGAATGGAGAGGGAAAGGGAAATCGGGGACGAAAGCAGAAGAGCGACACGGATGGTATTGTTGCTGCCAGGATGGAAAGTGAGTCTTTTGGTGCTTGGTGTGCTATGAATTCGATCATCGACCCCTTTTGGTTTTTATCCCTCAGCGAGCACACCATTCCACATGTAATGCAACAATATATTGATCGAGCGATGTAGAAGAAGTCATGAACAGAGACTTACAATCCTGCAGCCCTTCCTCATGATTATTTGACACTCTTGGCATTTTCCATATCCACGAAATATTCTGTTGGCTGACCGTCTTCCCCTCGTCGTGTTTGAGAGGGACTGCATCCTTTGTCCTATTGAGTGGTTTCAGTATCCGCTGCCAGTCATCGTTCTTGCCTAATTTTGATGCGAGTGTGCGCCAAGCTCGAAGCAAGCCGCAGCAGCAAAGTTAGCAAATACAGAACTTCAGTGAAACAAGATAATAACCGGCCGAACTGACACTAAAAAGTAAAACGCGCGACTCTATCAATATCCTGAAATAGTCCCCGATGGTCGATCCTGTCGGCGATACTGCAGTGCAAGTTGGCGGATAGGATCTGTTTCTGCAGGGACCTCGTAATTAAGTGGACTCCAGGGGCTTCAAGCATCGATTAGCCACCCCATAACAGGAAGTATGAGAAGTTCCATTCTCCAAGTTACTTCCGAACACCGAATACGAGGCTGAATATCATAATGAAACAAACAAATATGCATCCTCCCCGCACAGTACCGAGGTTGATCATTTGGATGGTCTTATGTGCTACACATCACTAGTCAACGCATCTCCACCAGCCTGGAAAGCACTGATGGTCGTCATGCCTATATCCCAGTCAGCCCTGGCTACCAGCTTAGCGTGATATTCTCGAATGCTGAGGATCAGACGCGGTCCCAGCACAAACATCTGCAATACCTCGGCGATTGCCCAAATGCCAGAGTAAATATCACTTCCAATGGACGATGAGTCCTGTAGAGAAATGACAAAAGAGTTGTCAGCTGCAGATGTCAGTCACAGGTCAGCGCACCCTAATATTTTGAGACAGTAAGCCAAGTCTCAAGGAAGCCACAGTAGCAAAGCTAGTAAATGCGGAACTTCAGTGAAACAAGATAATAACATCCAAATCACCGAACTCACGCTAGAAAGTAAAACATATGGCTCCGTATTAACATCGTTAAGCAGTTCCCAATGGTCGATCCAGTCGGCGATTGTTGCAGTTCAAGGAAGTGTTTTATAACAATCCATACTGTAAGAAACAAGGCGAGGATCTCCCACACAGCGGTGGATATCATGCTCTCGTAAGTCAGATTTGTCATGGACGTGTCCATGTAGTCAATGCAGATATGGTAGCCAGAAAAGATGGCTTCCTCTGGTAAATGTCCATGAGTCTCTTGTACCCCAGGTTTTCGTCGATAATTAAAGCTTACGCGCTGAAAAACCCAGGTTTTCAATTACCACCATAACTCCGGAGGTGATCGTGCAAGCCAGTAAGACTACAACAAGAAAGATGAGCAACTTTTTGGATCCCTGATACATGGCATATATCCGAGCAATCATGGTGACTTTAAATGATATTTCAGCAAGTCGATATCAGTAAGGAAGTCGCGGATCAGCTCACCACCCAGCATGGCATTTACGACAACAGGGGTCCATGTCCCTATGTACCATATGATAGTGCCTGAAACCCCAGTTACTTGGTGGTGGAATAAATACTTCAAATGAACTTACAGCTGTTGAAGTCATTTTCTTGAGGACACAAGCCAGCACGGAATATCACTCACTCCTATGTAAGAGCGTAGTCAGTAATTGGATGGGAATGGGAATGGCAGACACTGGTGCAGAATACGCACTACATCGGTAATCGAGATAGGGAGAATCGCTGCATGCCGTCAGTCAGAAGAAACGAACGCATTTGAAGACACATACACAGAATGTTGATGCTGATTGCGAGATATGTCTTATTAGCACATTGCAATGTCATGTAGATAGCCTTGCAAACGCACGCAGAAAATAGTATTCCATTGGAGCGCACCTAGCATACGTTGAAGTCAGCACAACATGCCAACTGCGCTCGTAGCAATAACATACACAAATGTAAAGAACAGTCATGAAAGACCAACGTTGGCTCTGCCCCGAGTTGATTGCATCATTCTATTTGGTTCTGATACGGGACTTTGCTCACTAAGATTAGTTCGAACTGTTAAAGGATTCTTAGCGAGATACGCGAGTCATGACATTAACTTACCTCTTGTCCGAATGTTAATGCTTGAATACTGTATACACATCAATGATCCCCCGTTGAACGTATTATCTCGCTCACCCCAGTCGTATACCACCACAGTAGAGCTTGCAGCTGCGAAACGATAGTCAAGGATTGAATATTGAGATGTCACCATTGGCATCCAAATTTCTCTATACGCACCTATAAAAAAACTGATAAGAGAAGAATAACTGATAAACGGCCACCAGACGGGATCATCTGAGACTATGGTCATATCGGGATGGGGCTTATTTGAGTGCGTGCTGATATACGTCCATCGCTTTTATAGTGATTAACTTTGGGCGTCCATTTCTTGAATCAAAATCTTGGTCGGGTGCCTATCCGTAGGCAGAATAATGCGGATGAGAGACACTTATCTGTGACCATGTAGTGGTGTAGGGAGCAAAACTACTATTTGTGGTTAGTTCTGCCGATTATAACCGACATAACTCTACGTATACATCCCTAACGATGACTCGGATATCAAACGAATGCCTCGTCCTATCCGTCATCCTCGCCATTGTAATTCACTACCTCGGTTAACTTCATCTAGAGTAGCCTGTGGAATTATTCTTTGTTCGACTCGATTCAACTCATTAAAATCAAAAGCATTTCCTCGAGCACTTCAACTTCGTCAAAGCTCTCATCTTCTTCGGTCCTCTTCAACTCTTTGAGAACTGCAAAGTCAGGAGAACCATCGTCCGGCGAGATACTTTTTGGACCAGCAAGAAGGTCATCTGCATCACGAGGCTCAGTCAAGAGCGGAGGTGCCTGCATGAAGGGCGTTTCAGGATCCTGTGCAGTCTTGACAGATGTCGAAATTGAAATGGCCGACTTATTGATGGTCAGTGACTCATGCAAGGCGTCCTCTAGCATGCACCATCCTACTTTAGGGACATCGGTTTTCATGTTCTATTGAATTCAGACTACTATTAGATCTAACTTGATTACATCTTCGGCGGATTCTCCGCGACCCTCATATGCCCTGGTGTTCTATCAGGTTCTGCCACCCTCTATTCGCGTCACTTCTGCCATGTGCAGGTACAACCATTTCTAGACTGGTTGGCAAAATTCCCGAGTGCCGCCAACAATGCTAAGTCTAACAGACCAGTCGCAGGACTTCATTATGTCAATGCTGGTATTATTGATAATGAATGGACGATGATGATGATGATTGCACGGGTAAGAGCGGCATTTGCAACATCACACTCACAAGCGACAGATTCATAGGAATGCCTGAGTCAATGCAATGTTGGCTTCGGTGACTACCTAATACATAGACTCGTACTAACCAGTCTAGACTACATCCTAAGGTGTTGAGAGGTTGACGCGCCATCAACTTTTTGTTTCCATAGAGAGTATGTCACTCTCTATGTAAGACAGTTCTATCCAGCCTAGGGGCCCCATGATGCCCCGCTGTGCCATCAACTTTACTAGTATGTGGCAGTGCTGGTTACGAGCCTACATCTCACTAACTAAGAATGCTTTAACAGTTCGAACTCATCTTGGTGAGCAAAGCCTATAATCAGAACCAAGCATGATGATGCAATTGACTTGGGTAGAGCGAACATTGGTCCTTCATGAGCATTCTTTATATTTGCGTACATTATTTCTACAAGTGCAGTTGGCATGTTGTGCTGACTTCAACATATGCTAGGTGCGCTACATTGGAATATTATTTTCTGTGTACGTTTGCAAGTCTATCTACACAACATTGCGATGTGTTAATGAGACACATCTTGCAACCAGTACCAGCATCATGTGTATGTATCCTCAAATGCATTCACTTCTTCTGACTGGCAGGATGCAGTGAATCTCCCTATCTTGATTGCTGATGTAGTGCGTATTCTGCACCAACGCCTACCATTCCCATTCAACTACTGACTATGCTCCCATGTAGGGGTGAGTGATATTCTCGGCTAGCCTGTGTCTTCGAGAAAACAACTTCAACAGCTGTGAGTTCATCTGAAGTATTTATTCCACCACCAAGTGACTGAGTTTTCAGGCACTGTTGTTTGGTACATATAGGCATGGACCGCTATCATCGTCAATGCTATATTGGGCAGTGAGCTTATCTGTGGTGCCTCACTGACATTGACTTGACTGAAATATCATTCAAAGTCACCATGATTGCTCAGATATATGCCATGTATGAGGGATCCTTTTCCGGCTACCATAACTGCATTCCTGACATCGACACGTACATGATGGGTGTGACTTTCGAGAGTCTGATATTCACCGCTGTATGGGAGATCCTTGCCTTGTTTCTTACAGTTTGTATTGTTATAAAACACGTCCATGAACTGCAACAATCGCCAATAGGATCAATCATTGGGATTGTTTCAGGATATTAATGGAGAGTCACGCGTTTTACTTTCTAGCGTGAGTTCAGTCATTTGGATGTTATTATCTTGTTTCACTGAAGTTCCATATTTGTTAGCTTTGCCACTGGCTTGCTTCATATTTGGCTCACTGTCTCCAAATATCACGGTGCGCCGACCTGTGACTTGCATCTGCAACTGACTACTCTCTCATCATTTCTCTGCAGGAGTCATTGTCCATGGGAAGTGCTATTTACTTTCAATTGCCCAGATGTTGCAGATGTTTGTGCTGAGTCCGCGTCTGATCCTCAGCGTTCGAAAAAATCACGCTGAGGTCATGGCCAAGGCCGACAGGGGAACGGGCATGACTTCCATTGCTTTCCAGGCTGGTATAGATGCTTCGATTGGTGGAGATGTGTAGCACATAAAGTGATCCAAACGATCAATCATGATACTGTGTGGGGAGCATGTATATTTATTTGTTTCGTCATGATATTTAGTAAAGCTTTGACGATTTAAGTGTGGTGTGTGTATACACTCACTCATCCAGTTCTCTCCAGGGATTGATGGCAACCTCAGTTCAAGCATCTCCCATCAGACGCAGTCCCTTTCAACATTTTCGCTATAACATAATGCCTCCAAATGACAGATACCCAGGTAGTGCTGTTGTAGAGGTGTGTATCATGAGATTAATGAATATCGTACAAAATGAAGGTAAGTCGACGCATCATCAATTGTTAGGACCTTTAACTTCCCCCTGCATTCTGTTTACCCTCCACCGAATCTGTATCTCGCGCAATGGAGTCGGCATATGATCGTGACTTCTCCCATATACCTAAGTGTGTTTATTCCGTGCGCGCCAATGTCTAACTTTTCCGTTCAACGTCCTAAACTGCGATCGGCGTCTGCTCGTGTACGTAGACGTCGCTGGTCTAAAATAAATGTGGGAAGCAGGTACAGCATCACCAGTATGTATCGCTATCACATCGATAACCCTTGTATGCTTAATCTGACGCTCGAAACGACACCAGCAGTAAATACATGACCAAGTTCAATCCTAGCGCATCTCAGCATTACACCCTCATTACTCCCTTGACGCCCCTTGTGGAACTGGCAGAGTTTTTGCGCTCCCTGAGGCGTTCCTGCTCATCGCCCACTTTAACTTCCTTGTTCTTTGTACAGTGCTGAGTATAGCTGTTGCCTGCCTAGACGGTGGCATAGTGAGAGACTTGGTTAGTCCAAATGGAAAGGGGCTGTTGGCCGGCCTCGCTGTGGTTTGCACTCGCTACCAAGCATATACGTAAATTCCATGGAACGGCATCCTCCCTGACTTTCTTTCATCCTCGTTCGTACTCTCTTCAGATCTGTCACCTTCAATCTATGCTCTCCCTCAGGTTCAAAACCTGTTTGACTCGATACATCCACAACCTTTACCTCTCCTCCGTTCCCTATCTCCGCTACTGCTGCATTCTCCTCCATGGCATCGACCAATACATCACAGCAGACGTCGACGCTTGGGCGGAGAGCATTGCTGGTACCTAGTATGTCCTTCCTCCCCTACCTGAACAGAACTAACTCTTTCCAGCGGCAATCTCATAAAACACTCCCTCGATTTCTGTAAGCCTTGCTTACGCATCAAACAGCTGATTGGACACCGCGCGTTGTTTACTCTTATTTGCTTTGAGCCCCAGACGTATATCGGGTATCGTTTCTTACTCTCGTTCAATCACATACGCTCATACACGTTTACACTCGTCTGATCTCGACCTTAGTGTTTCTACCCTCGGGTAGTTTCCAATTTCCTTCTCTTCACCTCCGGGTCCCAACTCGCTTCAGAGTCACCGTACTGCTTTTCATGAATTATTAATATTACTGCAAAGGTCTGTCAACTACCCAAATCGAACAATGCTGACATCCACCTAGATCCTCCGCCCTGTAACACCTGGTGTCGGACGCGTCGGGAGAGAGAGCGAAAAGGTCGTGTGAGTGATCTTCCTTATGACTTCCATGCCTGTCACCTCATCTGACACCAACACAGGTTCTACGACGGAGGCACACGTGAACGGGATGTCTTCACGACATACTTGCGGTCGACGAAACACGCGAATTCGATATACGAGGTATGCTCGAGTTTGCTTCTTACTTTCGCACACCTCCATTATTCCACCACCGTTCTGCTCGTATGAAATGCTCCTTCATTTCCTATCCTCACCCATCGTGCTTTCTTCCAACCAATTCCGTTTTGCATATGTCCCACCTTATCCCAAACCCATCCCTCCTCTCCTCTCCCGAAACCTCAGCTAACACCCTTCACAGATCCGCATGGCATACGAATGGACAGGAATTTGTCATCAAATACCTCTGGTCCACCGCTGGGTATGGGTTGATAGCTGTGCCGTTGCTTATCACGGGGAAACGTTCTCTTGGTGTAGGTGCTGTGGATGGAGAGGGTAAGAGTGACGAAAAGTGGTGACGAAAGTAGATGAGCGACGCGGATGGTATCGTTTCTGCCAGGACAGAAAGTGAGTGTTTTAGTGCTTGGTCTCTTATAGATTCAATCCTCGTCCCCTTTTGTGGTTTTATCTCCCAACAAGCAAATACAGGTGACAAATTCACATAGCCTATGGTGAGAGCGGACTGCCGATACCGTCTAGCGAAAGCGAACCAACCGCGGGGGGTGGTAATTGTGAACTAACAACACGCACAGAAGACACAGGAGCCAAACGGTTGAAGGCGATGTAATGCAATGGTTCTTTTTTGGGTTTGGGGTTTTTTTCGAGGGGGCTGCGAGATATTGTATATGAACTTATATGTGGACTGTGTAGACACAAGGTCCGTGGTGATCTAGTAGCAAGGTGTGGCGCTGCTTAGCTTGTATGTCGTATGTAGTGACTGCAGCAAGATTGCAATACAGGTTAGCAGTTGTTATTAGGAAGGCACAAAGTTTGTCAACGTAGTGAGACAGTTATAAATCCCATGTTGCAATGCGATATACTGTAGAGCTACGACACTAGGTTCGTCACGTGCAGCGTGTGATTATGTCATACTCAGTGTCACTGGTTTGAATGTCCATGTGACCTGTGACCACACCCAAATAGATTCGCCCGCGGATGCTTCGCCGCTTGCAACCATATGACATGCCGCTGCTTCGTGATTGTGACAACTTGCTTCAGGATTCGCCTCGCATAGTGCTAATGATGGTAACAAGTGGACTTGGAGACTCTGTGGCCTTAAAGCCTGCCAGGTGAGTCTATGATCCATTTTCAAGTGCCTGTCATTCTGACATGATGTTCAGAAGAATGATCCAGCTGGATGGGCGAGGATTGCTACTGCTCAGTACAAGACTGATGGTGTCGAACGGGCAACAAATTCCGAGTCAGAGGACGAGGCTAGTACTAATGCTATCGGAGTCGAATCCCCGTTCGATGATGCTGGCGAGCATGATCTTGATGCCAGTGACGTGCCAATGGATGCACTTCTTGACCATATGGCTTCTGGGGGTGAACATGTCCGTTCTGACCGCCATATCAATGCAGATGGTGGACTTTCGTGTGCAAACCACTCCAAAGTCTATGATGTGGGTGACATTGCTGCTGAAGATGTGGAAGGTGGCTCGAACAGTGTTCCAAAGGTTGATTATGGGCGTGGAAAGCGTAGACGCATCACAAATTCGATGTATAACAATTTTTGGTCCCATTAGTGCACAACCTATGTTTTTCCTATGTTTTTTTCCGAATGTCACAAATTAGCTTCGTCCCGCCAAAATTCATGTGACGGTCACACCAAATAGATTCGATTCGTCAAGGGCTGTGACCTGTGACGAACCTAGTGTCGTAGCTCTACAGTAATGACTCATTGGATGTTCTGAGAAGTTCCCGAGGACTCAAATTAGCATATTTGAAAAGCTGGACTCGTGGAGCTTCAAAGCTTCAAGCATCCACTCCGTATCTAGAGGGGACTCCGTGTCCTAGGTAGCAGCAAGCGAGTACAAGAGGAATCACTTCAGAACACCAAATACACAGCGTAACGATATCACGAAACAAGTAAATATGCATGCTCCCCGCACAGTACTATGGTTGGACATCTGGATCATTTTATTACTACACATCTCCACTAGTCGGAGCATCTCCGTCGGTCAACATATCTCCACCAGCCTGGAAAGCAATGGATGTCATGCCTGTTCCTCCGTCAGCCCTAGCCACGACCTTGGCGTGATATTCTCGAATGCCGAAGATCAGACGCGGTCCCAACACAAACATCTGCAACATGCGGGCAAATGAATGAATGCCAAAGTAAACGGCACTCCCCATGGACGATGAGTTCTGCAGAGAAATGATGAGAGTGGTCAGCTGCAGATGCCGGTCACAGGTTGGCGTACCGTGATATTTGGAGACAGTCCGCCAAGCGTGAAGCAAGCCACAGTAGCAAAGCTAGTAAGTGCGGAACTTCAGTGAAAGAAAATAATAACATCTAGATTATCGAACTCACGCTAGAAAGTAAAACACATGACTATCCATCAATATTGTGAAACAACCCCCGATGGTCGATCCTGTCGGTGATTGTTGCAGTTCACGGGAGTGCTTTATAACAATCCAGACTGCAAGAAACAAGACGAGGATCTCCCATACAGCGGTGGATATCATACTCTCGTAATTCAGATCTATCATGTACGTGTTAATGTGGGCGGGAACGCAGGCATGGTAGCCGGAAAGGACAGCCTCCTCTGGTAAATGTCCATGAATTTTTTGTGCTCCAGGCTTTCATCAATAATTAAAACTTACGCGCTGAAAAACCCAGGTTTGCAATTACCATCAAAACTCCGGAGGCGATCGTAGAAGCCAGCAAGGCTACAACAAGAAAGGTGAGTAGCTTTTTCGATCCCTGATACATGGCATATATCCGAGCAATCATGATGACTTGAATGATATTTCAGTCAAGTCAATATCAATAAGGCACCGCGGGTGAGCTCACCGCCCAGCATGGCATTGACGGTGATAGGGGTCCATGACTGTATGAACCAAATGATAGTGCCTGAAAATCCAGTTACTTGGTGGTAGAATAAATACTTCGAATGAACTCACAGCTGTTGAAGTCGTTATCTAGAAGACACAAGCCGGTCGAGAATATTACTCACCCCTATAGGAGCATAGTTAGTAGTTGAATTGGAATAGCCAGGATCGGTGCAGAATACGTACTACATCGATAATCGAGATAGGGAGATTCCCTGCATGCCGCCGGTCAGAAGAAGCGAATGCATTTGAAGACACATACATAGGAGGCTGGTGCTGGTTGCGATATATGACTTATTAGCACATTGCAGTGTTATGTAGATAGCCTTGCAAACGTACACAGAAAATAGTATTCCAATGTAGCGCACCTAACATATGTTGAAGTCAGCACAACATACGAACTGCTCTCGTAGCAATAACGTACATAAATATAAAGAACGGTCATGAAGGTCCAACGTTGGCTCTGCCCCGAGTCAACTGCATGGTCCTGCTTGGATATAGGACTTTGCTCACCAAGATGAGTTCGAACTGTTAAAACATTCTTAGTAGTGAAATGTGCAGGTCATGACATTGCCTTACCTCTTGTTCGAATGTCAATGCTTAAATACTGCATACGTATCAATGATTCCTCGGTTGAACGTATTGTCTCGCTCACCCCAGTCGTATACCACCGCAGCAGAGGCTGCAACTGCGAAGCGATAATCAAAGATATTGAGATGTCACCATTGGTATCCAAATCGCTGCCTACGAACCTACAAGATAGCTGCAAAAACGAGAAAAACTGATGAACGGACCAGCGGGATCATCTGAGACCATAGTCATATCTGGATGGGGCGTATGGTGGAGTGACATCTCTGAAAACCTTCTCTAGCTGATGGGTGCATGCCATGAAGTGCAGGAGCAGTATACCGTTTGATACCTTATTGTTGTCCAGGAAATTTTTGAGATGGTCTGTAGTGTGGGCGACTGTCTATTTGGTTGCGAAGTGCATGACGTCGTCTGGTGTAGGCTATCAGGTATCAGTGCACCATTTCCTCGCATCGATTGCATTGTTGGCAAGTTGAGCTCGGGACTTGAGTGATGCGGTGAAGGTGCACGCCTGGTACGCAGTTGAAATAACAAGGAGTGATGGTAGCAGTTCCATTATGAGCTTTGAGAAGTGGCGATGGCGACTTGTTGGAGTTCGCAGAAGCATATATCCGAATCTTCTGGGTCCTCGGGTAGCTTCAAGTTTACCTTTGCTCCTCACCAAGGGTGAAAGGGATTGGAGTTCCGAAGTTTTACATAATAACATTCCTCGATATTAAATAAAGGCATCGTGAAAATAAGTGGAAGGGTTAAAAATACATGTGCAGACAAAAATAAGTATAGTGATATAAAATCTACATACATAACCGACTACGAATGTATCCTTCGATTTAGCCAGTTGCATCTATAGAAACGTTACTAAAGTGCTTATTGTCGCGGAGATATTGCCGACAGGAGCTAAAGATGCCTCGTCAACAAATACCATATAATAAACAAGGACTGTGAATGAGAACTGAACAAGAACGCCTTTTTCGGCGAGTCTTTACCAAGCATCCACACCAGAGCTGCGGCAAATAGACAGCTTCCCATAATGTATGGGTTTTCGATGAAGGCCAGCATAACCAGCATATGACAAGCCGTCAATATGGCCTTCGTTTTAAGTACGGAACCGAGAAGGACGGGTATAGTGGGGACGCCAGCTTTCATATCGTCTTCGAAATCACGGACATCAGTCATGATCTATAGACATGATCAGGGTCAAATCATATGATCATATAATGTCTACTTACTGCGTGGCATGAGCGGTTGACAGTCGACCAGACTATTAGTTGAACGACACTCCATGGAGACGGTAGCGTGTTAGTCAGATTGCCTGATCCCGACAACACGGAGAGTACCACAGTGTAGATACCACATCTGAAGAGCATTGGTTTACGGGTCCACTGCTCAAGGCAAACACGCAGACATACCCTCGAATGATCCCATTAAAAATGGCTTTCATGCCAGGAATGCGTTTGATAACAAGGACAGGGGCAGATGTAGAAGGTTGGCGCTTGTCCCCGCCAAACCTCCCGAGGAGACGCCTCAAAATCGGCGCAAACTTCTTGAAGCTGATCGGAGTGGTCCAGAGCAAGGCAGGAGCGACGAACGCTGCCGTGGTGAGGAGCGTCGAAATTGGACACTGAGATAGTGCCAATGCAAGGAGGATAGCGCTGGCGGTGAGGAAGGTTCGTGCATATATAAACCAAGCGGCGAGGCGTGGGTCGTTGACGTTATCGCGGTCCGACGAAAATTCCTCCTCTTTATCTTTAAGATGATCAGCACCCATGGCAAGTATATCCGACGTGACACAGATGGTTATCTGCAAAGACAGTTGCATCAGCAATATTATCTAGTATTATATTAATGAGCATACCGGTCTCCAGTCGATACTTCCGTTGGCGGACATGACATAGGACATAAGGGCTGACAGAGCCAAGCTGTTCATCGATATTACGATGGGTCGCAAGAAGAGCTCATCTACAAGCTTCGGGATTGTGAGGATTGACATGTTGTTTGAGACTGAAGAGCAGGCAAATGCTTCTCTCCCGCTTTTATACTGGTACACCCGCGTTCCGTTGAAAGACTGACACAGATCAATTTAGGTCATCCTATCTGTACGATATCAGAATTAACGCTCAACGTTCATGAAACCTTGTTCAAACCTGTGTTTTTTTCAGCGTTTGACGCCACCGGCTTTTACCTTGCTTGGGGCGGCTTAGGCTTTGGATATCCGAGTCTGCGGGCCGGGCCAAAGGCGGTGCGAGAAGTCGCACAAAAAACACTAGTCTGGCTCGGGTCGTGCACAGATGCCGTATCCGACAACAGTTGGTCAATAGGACTATGCGAAGTCAGTATTGACAGCCAAATTCCAGGCATTCGTGTGCTGTACAGCACTCAAATTCGAACATGATTTTGGCTTGTGTTCAGATTCTTGATGATCATGCCGCAGCAAAGTGGCGTTGAACGTTCTGGTTGCATGTTGACCATCTTTGAAAGGAGAACAAACGAACAAACTCCATCGATGTCGCACTTGAGAGTTTGTTGCACCCAGTTACACCGAAGTGCACCGTGACTGAAGACCATATCTTCGTATTACGTCAGGCAGGAGCAGACCTATTATTAATATGGCTGAGACCATTAGTTACCCCACAATCACTGCAATGTACATTGTATTCACTCAGCGCTCAACGTAACGTTCAACACTGCAGAACGGTTCCGAACGTGCATTTTCTATCCGGGTGGGATAAGGCAGTATATGTGCAACTGTGACGCATTGGCAGAGCACTACGAAGGATACCACTGGCGCCTTGATAAGGGGAGGCTGTGTGTATTTCTGACGCTGGCGGCTGTACAGAGGCGCTGCATTTGTGCTTCTAACACGAACAAGCGCTTTGGAAAAAATTAGATTCAAGTTTTCAAGAGTACTCCACATGCAGCACATGCTACACCTTGGTCCTTGGCAGGACAACACGGCAACTTGCGAGAGACCAGCGCTTTGCCAGACACTCGAAATAGACTGATAACGACTTTTCAGAGCTTCCCACGGTCTTTTAGACGGTATGCAGTAACCTCCCGCCCATTTCTCAAATTTTCTCTTGAGGTGCGTGGCCCTTATCTTCTGTGAACCGAAGAACACCTGTGTAACCTTTAGTGTATATCCCATGAGTTCACGAGGTCCGAAGGACATGCACGAGGTTCAAGAGGACCGTTTCTGAGGGTCGATAGGACTGTTTGCGAGGTTCGAGAAGACTTTTTGCGAGAATTGAGAGGACCGTTCACGAGGATTTAGAGGAACATGCCACGAGAAGTATTAATGGTCTCACATGTGTAGGTTGTATATAGAATCCTATTTCCGTCATAATCACCAGACTTAGTGTTGTTGTCGAGGTGAGTTCAAATCGAGTTAAACTCGACTCGCTTCGAAAATGACCAAATTCGTTTCAACTCGAACTTACCGATCGAGTGTATCGTCGACTCGAGTAATCGAGTTGATGTAGTTCACTTCCATACACCGTAATCCCCTGTGATTGGAACCATCTGCACGCTCGGTATCACAACGGGAGCTCACCAATTCAACAACGATTGCTTCTCGGTCTTTGTCTGCTGGATAAGGGCGCATGAACAACCTCAATGTAACCGTTCGGTTCTCAGCGTCCACTACTAGTACCAGCACCATTCCTCCGACTACCACCATCATCGTCTCTGAACCAATGGTGCACTCACCGGCACCGGAAACCACAGAGGAACGTATCCGCAAGGAACTCGAATAGGACAGGAAAAATGCTGAGTGCGAGTTTTCTCATTATGAAGATGCAGGTCTACTACTCGAAACGGCTGAGCGCACAACAGATATAGTTCGTTTCTGGGAGGTATGCCATACAATCCCGTCATTAATTAGAAATTGTTATGTAGCAAAGAGAGCACACATTCCCGCTTCTATTTCGTGTCGCTATGAATGTCCTACCTGCTCAAGCTTCATCTGTGCCTTCCGAGCGTATATTTTCATCCAGCAAAGAGACCTGCACTCTACGGCGCAGTAACCTGTCTCCGACCACACTCGAAGCACTACAAGTTCTGAAGACCGCCTCAATTTTACAGCGGACCTGGTGGCTAACAGGCAAGACTACACAACATGTAGACCTGTAATCCTAAGAGCAGTTGACGAGCTGATGGTTACTGGGAATCTTCGAGAGCTCGATCAGTTGCTCGCGAATGCAAGGAAATTGATTGTAATAAGTTCCGTCTGCTTTTTGTGTAGCTACTTGCAAATAGTCGTCGTTGGTGGTACGAGCGTCACTGGCTTCTCATTGGCTGGACTATCGGTCCGTATCACTCCCGAACTCGTTACAACTCGTAAGTGCCGAGTTGTGTCGAGTTGCTGCCACCTCGATTCGATTCGATTCGCCTCGGCGGCAACACTACAAAATAGTCACCGGCGAGATGTGGATTATAAGAGGATTTGACAATAATCTGATGTGAGAATCTCGGGACTTATAACTACCATTCATTTGCCGTCGGATATCAGCGCGAGACTTAGGGATTTAGCTACAATGTTGATAGATATCGTGCACGCCATCGACATCGTCGTTATCATTTAGCTTTCGCTAACTAGTACTCTGACTCGTCCCTCCTGCAATGCCTTTGCAATCATATGTCTCGTGCACCTGCGAGAGCTTCAACTGCAAGTACAACCCAGACGATAGTGGACAAAAGCTTCAAACGGCTCAAACGGTTTCCAGGCATCAGCGCATCAGCATGCAGACGCATCATCGATCACTAGGACCTGCAACTTCCCCCCGCATTCTGTTTACCGTCCGCCGAATCCGTATCTCGTGCAATGGAGCCAGCATATGATTGTGATGTGAGCTCCCATATATCGCAAGTGCGTTTCTTCCGTGGGTGCCAACATCTAACTTTCTCGTTCAGCATCCTAAACATCGATCGTCGTCCGCTCGGGTAAGTAGACATCGCTATCTGAAAGAAAAGTGAGAAGCAGTCACTGCATCACCAGTACGTATCGCTATCACGTCGATACCCCCTTATATGCTTAAGCCAACGCTCAGAATGACTCCATCACTAAATGCACAACCAAGTTCAGTCGTAGCGCATCTCAGCATCACACCCTCATAACTCCCTTGACGCCCCTTGCGGAACTGGCAGAATCTTTGCGCCCCTCGAAGCGTTCCTGCTCATTGCTCACTCTACCTAAGTTCTTCGTACAGTGCCAAGTATAGCTGTCGTCCGCCTAGACGGTTGGATAGTAAGAAGGGTTCGCGCTCGCTATACCAAGCATATACGTACGCAAATGTTATGGCACGTATCCTCCCTCACTTTCTTTCATTCCCGCTTATACTCTCTTCAGATCCGCCACCTTCAATCCACACTATCCCTCAGGTCTAGAACCCGCTTGACTCTATATATCCACGACCTCTACCTCTCCTCCGCTCCCCATCACCGCTACTACCACGTTCCCCTCCATGACATCAACCAGTACATAACAGCATACATCGACGCTTGGGCAGAGAGTGTCACTGGTATCTAGTATGTCCTTCCTCTCATGCGTGAACAGAACTCTTTAGCGGCAATCTCATGAAACCCTCCTTCGACGTCCTTCTCTTCACCTCCCATCTCGCAAGGTTTTTCGGCTCCAGAGGCACCGTACTGCTTTTCATCAATTATTGTGTTACTGCCAAGGTCTATCGACTACAATATCCTCGGAACATTGTTAACATTCATCTAGATCCTCCGCGCTGTAACACTTGCTTTGGGTTGTCTTGCAGCTGTGGAAGACCGTCTGGAGGGTCAATATAGAGCCGGTGTTGGACGTGTCGGGAGAGAGAGCGAAGAAGTCGCGTGAGTGCTCTTCGTTCTGTCTTCCATGTTTGTCACCCCTAGTCTGGTGCCAATACAGGTTATACGATGGAGGCGTACTGCGAACGGGATATCCTCACGAGAGCATACTTGCGATTGACCAAACATGTGAATTCGATATACAAGGTATGTTCTAGTTTACGTCCTACCTTTGCACACCTCCACCGTTCTGTTCATATGAAACGTCCATTTCCTATCCTCGCCCATTGTGCTTTCTTCCAACTCACCCCTTTCTCCGTATTTTCCCTCCTCATCCCAAACCCACCGCTCTCTTCACCCCAAACCCCAACTAACACCTTTCACAGATCCACATTGCATATGAATGGACAGAATTTCATCATCAAATACCTCTGCTCTGCCGCTGGGTATAGCCGTGCCGCTACTTATTACCAGGAAGCGCTCTCGTGGTGCGGGTGTTATGGATGGAGAGTAAGGAAAAGCGTGGACGACAGCAGAAGAGTGACATGGATGGGATCGTTTCTGCCAGGACGGAAGGTGAGTGTTTTGGTGCTTGGTGTGTTATGAAATCGATCCTCGTCCCCCTTTCTTATATTCCTCAACGAGCGAACACAGCTGACGAATTCACACAGCCTACATCTCCAACCGCCACCTTCTCCTCTCCCTCGCAGACGCAGGTGGGAGACTCATGTGCGCATATAAAGATCTGCAGGAGGTTGCTAGGTTGACGGGGCGGTGAGTGTCTTGTGTTTTCTGTGTGCAGCGACGGGTCTCATCATGGTGTTTTGGGTTACTCGTGCTGTTTCATTCTGGTATTCTGCACTTGACGACTTAATTATGATACGTGAGGGGCGGCCTTCTGACGTTGAAGTGGGCTATGCCTGAAGACTATGCTATCGAAGGACAACAAAGACCTGCTGTGCTACTGCCTCCGGCTGCTCTAACAACGCTCGCTCGGCTAAACCCGGCCCAAACACCGCCAAACCTCTCTCTACTCTCACCCTCTGCCTAGGGGTCCCCTACTCCATGTGCCCCCCTTTAAAAAAACGGCGGCGCCCTCGTTGCCCTCACTCGTCGCTCTCACTCGTCGCTCTCACTCGTCGCTCTCACTCTCTACTTCGTTCTCTACTTCGTTCTCTTCTTCATCCTCTTCTTCGTCCTCGTTTTCTTCTACTATTTTTGTGTTTTCTTCGTCGTTTTCTTCGTCGTTCTGATCTGGGAGATTTTCCTTGATCGTTCTGGCCTCTACGTTTCTTTGTTCTTCTGCTAATTTCGTGCCCTCTCTTGGATAGAACGCTCTCAGGCGTCTTGCATGGAATTCGCCAGCTAGTGGCTCGCCTTGGATCGTTTCTAGACGATACAAGTTGCGCAGTCGCTCGGTTATGCGGTGTGGGGGAGACCATTTCGGCAATAACTTGCGTCTCGCTTCGAGCATGTTATGCAGGCTACTATGAAAAAATTGAACCAATTGTCCCTCTGAGAATATGACTTCCCTTGGTGAGCGTGCCAGTACTCTTTTGTTGAATGTGGCCTTTCTTTTGATGGCGTGACCGTGGCTTTGTAACCTGTTGAGGTGTTGCTGTGCGACATATGCCATGTGGATGTTGGTGCCTGATAATCTTATTGCTGAAGTACTGTTAGTAAGGTTGGTTCGAGGAGTATTGATTACTTGGCCTAGGAGTAGTTCTTTCAGTGAGAACTTCAATGCTGGCAATATCTGATAATTCAACTGCTGTGACTGCTTCCTCCAGGTGGTTTGGCCACGTATTTGGTAACTTGTCCCAGGATATTGCTTTATAATTGTCTTTGCTGAGGTTTGGTGTGCATAATCTTTTGAGTACATGTAACAAAATCTTATTTGTGCCTTCTACTAGACTGTTAATCCATGGTGAGTATGCTGCCACAATGTGAGTTTTGCCAGACCACTTAGCGCAATAGTCCTTGACCTCTGTGTTATTGAAGTGTCTCCCTCTGTTGCTCATAAAGGTTTCTGATGGTGTGAAGTTATGGAATATTTGCAACAGGCTATTGATTGTCATATGTGCTGTTCCTGCTGACTTGTATTTGAATACCCAGACACTGTTGTGAGAATGTGTCTAGGTAGACACCTAGAGTGTGGAATCCTCGTGCCTTTGGAAGGGTCAAGTAATTGCTGACTAATAGCTCGAATGGGTGCCTGTGTGTGATTGGTTCTAGAAGTGAGTGTAAGTGCTGTGATCCAAAATTCTTGCACTTAGCACAATTTCCTATCACTTCTAGTATTGATGTGTTGAGTTTAGTGCTGTAAATTTGGTCTGTCAAAGCGATTTTTATAGCGTCTCTTCCCCAATGGCCCTTGTCCTCATGCTGCTGTTGTGCTAATTGCTTTGCTTCTTCTTTAGTGATGCATTCCACTCTACTGCATGCTTGTACTGTTGTTCCTCCTTGTAACTGCCATAACTTTCCTTCCTCAATTAGATATTGTGATGCTTGGTGTCTTGCTCTTTTGCGATCATGTAAGGATTTCCTTGAGTCCATTTCTAATATTGACTCTACTACTTCTAGAAAGATGGGTTTGTTAGTGAAGCATTTCTGTAAATCACTTACTAGTTCTTGTTGAGTCATTGATTCAGTGAGTAGTAAGTCATTAATCAGGCTGGAGCTTGCTTCCCAGTCTTCGCTGACCATCCATGCGCTCCCATCATCTATTCTGGTGTCTCTTGGCTGGCCTTCCCATTGACAGCTAAGTCTGTCAGTGATAACGTTCAGTTTACCTGATACATGTTGCACATCTACAATATGGTGTGCTATGATTCCATCTCTCCACCTTGCATGTGCTGCATTAAGCTGATTGTTGACCAAGACGTCCCATAAGGCCTGGCAATTGGTCTCTATTTCCACTGGGAAGCCCCATATAATGTTGGAGAATTTGTCAAGGCTAAATTTCAAGGCTGCAAACTTGAGTATGAAGGGTTTGTACTTCTGTTCTGTCCTTGATGTGCATTTCAATGCGAAGGCTATGGGGAGCAAGCATTCTACCCATTTGCCCAATGGTTTCTATTGCCATACTCATTGACTTAGTATGGCTGCGAATCCTTCTTGGCATCCATCTGATGTGACCACAAAGTTCAACCCATCATATTTTGGTGCTTGAAGAATAGGTTGTGACACCAGGGCTGCTTTCAGGTCTAGAAATGCTCCTGTATGAGCTGCTGTCCAATGCTCTTCAAGCTTGAACTCTCTCAGAATGTGTTGGTATGTGGCTTTCGAATATGGGGCTTTAAGTGGCGCTGCTTTGATGAGATCTCTTAGCAGTCCTTCTCATTTTGCATAACTCTGTACTAAGTTGTGGAAGTGGCTTGTTAGCCCCAGGAAGGATTCTAAATTCAGTGCATCAGCTGGTTGCTTCCAATTTACAATGGCTGTGAGCTTCTCTAGGTCAGGTTGGACACCCTGTGGTCCTACTGTTGCTCCTGTGAATGTGGTTTCTGTCATAAACAGGTGACACTTTGTTGGTGATATTGATAGCTTGTGTTCTCTGCATCTTTGAAATATTCTTTCCAATTTCTCAAACATATCTTGGAATGAGTCTGCTGTGCATCCTCTGTTGTCGATGAAGAGTTCCATTGTCATATCTGCGAGTAAGTTGTGCAAATGGGTCACTGTCATTTTGCAAAAGGTTGATGGTGCTCCTGTAAGGCCCATCGGCATCCTCTTGTACCAGAAGTACCCTCTCCCCTCTACATAGAAGGCAGTATGTGGTCTTGCTTCCTGCAGAACTTCCACAGCATAGAAACTGGATGTGAAGTCGAATATGGAGACATACCTGTGTCCGCTCAACCTCTGCTGTTTAGCCCTAATATCTCCTTGCGGCATTGGTGCAATCACTGTATGCTGGTTGACTTCATTGAAGTTTTGGCATATGTGCCACTTCTGTGGGCCTGTTGGTACTTCTTGTGGCATTTCTTCTGGAACCTCTTTCTCTGGGAGTGTGAATGCTGGCGGTAAGCCATTTTGCATATACTGCTTGTTGACCTTATGCTGCAGTTCTTCTAAGGTGAGTCCTCCGTGCTCATGCACTTTCTGAGCTAAGACTGTCATAGCACAGCATTTGACAAACTCTGGGTGTGCTTTCTCAATGATGCCTGCTGCAAGCATCTCATCAATTTTCCCATGCAGGAACTGGGTTTGCAGGGGTGTAAGGGCTCGTTGATGGACCTGTAAGTTGAATGTAGCTCCATCTGGGATGTTCAGGCAATGTACCACTCCTGGTACTGGTATGACCTCTGATAGCGAGCATGCAAAAATGTCCATGTATCTTGAAACGAGTTCTTTGACTTTCTCTTGTTCTTCAAGACTAAGGTTGTTGCCGATCTGCACTGCCTTCACGATGTAGGCTACCCTTTTGGGATTCCTAGGGTCTGTGGTTCTCATGAAGACCTCCGCTTTGTTGTCTAGAAAGTTCACCAGTATTGCCTCACATAATTCCTTGACTGTGTCTCCTGATAGTTGTCCATTGCTGGTCATGATGCAGATTGGTACTGTATGTTCTCTGGAGCTTCTTCCTTCTATTGGCTCATTTTGTTTTGACATCGTTTCTTGGGTCTCTTCTTCCAGTGTTTTGATCTCTACTGGTGTCCTCTGGTTCTGGTTGCGGATGGTCATTGAGGCCTCATTTCCATTATGTAGACTGTGTCCATCTCATATTCATGTATGGCTTTGAATGCTTGTAACATTGGTTTTCCCAACAGGAACTTCCATCCTCCGCCGCTGTTGAAGACTTCAAATTCCCCTTGCACTCTTACTCCTGCTATTGTGGACTTTGCCCTTCCATGTCCCTTTTGATGGGACTAAAGCACTGTTGGCCATTTGCAGCTGTTTGGTTGATGCCTTCCAGTTTCCCAAATGGTGTTTTATGCTGTCGAATATCATTGCGCACATTGCAGCTGACCATCACCCCTTCATCAAAGAGTGCTTTGACTCTTACTATCTCTCCTTGCAGGTCCTGTGAATGCCACATAATGTAAAAACAGTTGGCAGTTCTGTTGGGCTTCTCCATCGCCTGCTGAATACAAGTCAACAATGTCGCATTGCTCCTTAGTTGGTTGTATATCAACATGATTCGTAGGATGAACATGTTCAATGGGGAAGGTAAGCTGGTCCTCATGTGTCTCCTTCTCACACATGAGGACTGATTGTCCAGACAGTTGAGGTACTAAATGTTCTCAGGTCATTTGGCTATCCTCTATGCCAACAACCTGCTCCCATTTCCCTGTTCTACAGTCTCATCTATCACAAGATTGACTTGTGGAGCTGTGGCTCTATTGAAGGTACCGAGGACTCACATGCAGGTGCTGCTGCCATATGCTTTCATTCTTGGGAAGTTGAGCATATGTGGGGATGGGGCATCTTGGCCCAATGTGACCATGCACGCTGCATCTGAAGCATTCTCCAGAACAGACTTGCACTGTTCCTGGGGTTAGTGGGAAGGGTGTTTTCTCTGTACACCTAGCTCCTTCTCCCCATTTCACTGCCCATTGCCTTAACTGCTCTCCATATACTGCATATCCTGCTTCTGTGTCTGCATGGTGTTGCAGTTCATTGATGTACGTGCAGCAATGCATCTCTTTCTTCTTGCGTTGGAGGCTGTCCTCTGGGGTATTGGTTGGGCGCCATTTGGTTGGCTGTGACGTAGTGTACTGCTCTTCATGGTGTCATGACATTGGAAGGTGCATTTCCTGTAGTTCTCAGAGGTGCTATGGCCTTTGGGGTGAGCATATTGGACCCAATGGATGTTTGCTGCATTTGTAGGTATAGTACCTTGATAGGATCTTGTCGATTTTCTAACCATGTGATGCATGCATTCTGAGCTTTTTCTGTTTCCTTCCTCTCCTTTACCCTCTTTGCCTTCTCCTGCAGAGTATTGATATTGATGCCTTTGATTTCATTTAGGAATGTGTCCCAATCTGCAGGCACTGCCAAAGTTAGGTCTCTAAGTGCTCGTGGGAGTGCTTCACAGACTGGTTAGATTAGAATGGGTACATTTTCTACTCCTGCATCCTTCACAAGTGTCTTTAACTTGTTGTGGAATTGGATGTGTGCCCATGTTGTGATCCCTGCTACTGTGACCCATTCCCCAACCTCTTCCTCTTTGAATTGCAGCTCTAGTAAGTCCTTCTGATACTCCCTCTGTGTCTTTCCTGCAATGACTATTGCTGGCCATTTCATTAAGAATTCTGTTTTGGCTTGCGCCCATGTAGCTTTCTGCGATGCTCCTAGACCTGTCCACCACACATCTGCTTCTGAACCTGCCAAGATGAATGTGCCAAGCAGCAGGATCATTATCATTTCATCTGAGATATGGTTGACAGCGATGTATGCTTCAAGGCTTCATATAAAGTTAGCTGAGTTTTCATCATCATGCCCATGGAACAATGTTGGGGAGTTTGCTGATGTCATTGACATTGTAGCTTTCCTGATTGTCTGCACTTGCTGTGGTATGATGGTAGGCTTTATATTGGGCTTTGTTAATACTACTGGTGGTTGCACTGGTGGGACTATGTTATATCCGCATATCCGGATCTCAGATCTGACCCTTATCTCTTCTCAGATCCACATCTTATCTCCAATCCTATCTGCATCTTATCTCCCTCTAACATCTCATCATTCAACCTGTCCACTTGTCCAGTCCAGTCCACAACTCATCCGAATCCACAACCAGCACTCATCCCCTTTTGGTAACCCCCTAACTCCGGTATTTTGGTTATCTGTATATCCATCCTGCTCCCTTATCCGCTACCTATGTTTCATTTCTGTTTCATGATTTGTGATCCATTTCTACTTACCAATAGACTATCCACATGCTTTGTACATAGCCTCAGACTCTGCTGATTGATCATTCCATTAGATACCTATAGTATATAACCTCCTGTAACTTTCTGTAGTACCTCAGTTCGAATATCATCTTAGTTCTGCTCATTCCTGTCCTCCGGACTTGAGTACCTCTACTCTCATCACCCTCCGAGACTTAGGATTGATTCCTATAGTCTATCCATATCCACCTCTGTCCCCAACAGTCCATTACCATTAGTTTCTAGTCTGGACTCATCCAGATTAGCCCTACGATACTTATCTCTCATCCGGAAGTCATCTGGATCCGTTACACTACTCGTCTGACCTTCCGGATGCGCTAGTCTTGCCTTCCTGAAATAAGGGGCAATACTTGGGTAAGGGGCACAGTGCACGAGCTGAGGCCAAAGCCCTTCCGATCTAACTACCCTTTGAGTATGACCTTAACAGACTAGTTGAGTGATTGATTCTCTGAGGATAGATGGTGGTACGCCCATGTCCCACTGGAAGGCTGGAAGAAGTATTGTGTTTCTTCTTGGTGCATCAGGTAATGACTCTTCATCGTCTTCTCTTAAATCCCTGCTAACCTCACAATCTGGAAATTCATGATCCTCTGGTTCCTCTTCATCTGGCATAAGCTGCTGTTCATTAGTCTCCAGTGTGTTGAGAGGCAACGACACTGACAAGTTGAATGTGCTGCTAGAATTTTCAGTGTCTGAGAGGGCCTTGGGGAGGAACCTTCCTCCTGGCCCTCTAGGTGGTAGTTTCTTTCTGTTAGACAGTTTGGCTAAAGAGACTTGCCCATTGTCAGTACTGTTTCTCAGTTCCAAAATCAAAATGCTATGCTTTATAATGTGTTCTCCTCATGTTTCTTGACTCTTTTGTACTTGGCTAGTCAGGTCATCTGCTCATGTAATACACAAGGCTTCTGATTTCTGCATCTGGACTCTGGACTCTGGACTCTAGACTCTAAGGGGAAGACCAAATGTGAAGTGTTTTTGGTTGAGGTGAACTCGCTCTGTTCACCAGTTGAAGTGGGCTATGCCCGAAGACTATGCTATCGAAGGACAACAAAGACCTGCTGTGCTACTGCTTCCGGCTGCTCTAACAACGCTCGCTCGGCTAAACCCGGCCCAAACACCACCAAACCTCTCTACTCTCACCCTCTGCCTAGGGGTCCCCTACTCCAACGTGACATGGTTATTATAGACTGGTATGTATGTGGACTGGGTGTAGATGCAAGTTCTGTGATGATCTGGTGGTAAGGTGTGGCACTCCTTAGCTTATCTGTCATATGTGGTAACTGCGGTGTGCAAGTTAGTAGTTGTTATAGCATGAGTTAGCCTATCTGTTTCCAGTCAGACCTCTACGCTGTGTAATTAAGTGTACATCGCCCACGTGTGGTCATCACTAGTTGTGCACTCAAGCAGTCAGATGTATAATGTACGGAAGGCACAAAATGGTTATCAATGAAGAAAGTCAGTTATTTCGTATTGCAATGCGATTCAATATTTGTATATTCTCAGTAATACTGGGAAGTCTCCGAGGACTCAAAATAGCAGATTTGAAAAGCTAGACTCGTGGAGCTTGAAGCATCAATTGGCCGCTCCGTATCTAGAGGGGACTCCGTATCCCAGGTAACACTAAATACAAGAAATTCTATCCTACAAATCACTTCAGAACACCGAATACATAGCGAGATGAAGCTGAATATCACAACGAAACAAATAAATATGCATGCTCCCCCCACAGTACCTTGGTTGATCGTTTACACCGTTTCACGTGCTACACATCTCTGCCGGTCGACGTGTCTCCACCAGCATGGAAAGCAATGGTCGTCATGCCTGTTCCCCCGTCGTCCCTGGCCACGACCTTAGTGTGATGTTTTCGAATGCTGAGGACCAGACGCGGTCCCAGCACAAACATCTGCAATACCTCGGCGATTGACCAAACGCCAGAGTAAACAGTACTTTCCACGGAAATTGTGTTCTGCAGGGAAATGATGAGAGAGTGGCCAGCTGCTGATGCCAGTAACAGGTTGGCGCACCATGACTAGAGACAGTGACCCAAGCGTGAAGCAAGCCACAGTAACAAAGCTAGCAAGTGCGGAACTTCAGTAATTCAAGATAATAACATCCAGATCACCAAACTCACGCTAGAAAGTAAAATGCGTGACTCTCTATTAATATCCTGAAACAGTCTCCAATGGTCGATCCTGTCAGCGGTTGTCGCAGTTCACGGAAGTGCTTTAAAACAATTCGGACTGTAAGAAACAAGGCGAGGATCTCCCATACGGTGGTGGATATCATACTGAAGAAATTCAGGTTTATCGTGGATGCGGTAGGGCAGCCGGAAGCGGCGACCCCTTTCAGTGCTAAATGTCCATGAGTCTCTTGTGCTCCAGGCTTTGATCAAGATTAAAGCTTACGCATTGAACCAGCTGAGTCGATAAATACCACCATAACTCCGGAGGCGATCGTGCAAGCCAGCAATATTACGACAAGAAAGATGAGCAACTTTTTGGATCCCTGATACATGGCATATATCCGAGCAACCATGATGACTTGAATGATATTTCAGTCAAGTCAATATCAGTGAGGAAACCGCAAGTCAGCTCACCGCCCAGCATGGCATTTACGATGATAGGGGTCCATACCTGTATGTACCAAATGATAGTGCCTGAAACCCCAGTTATTTAGTGGTGAAATAAATACTTCAAATGAACTCACAGCTGTTGAGGTGGTTATCTTGAAGACACGTGCCAGCCGAGAATCTCACTCACCCCTACATAGGAGCGTGGTAAGCGGTTGAATGGGAATAGGAATGGTAGGTATCAGTGGAGAATACGCACTACATAGGTAATCGAGATTGTCGGGAAATTCCCTGCACGCCGCCAGTCAGAAGGGACAAACACAGTTACACATTTGAGGATACATACCCAGGATGTTGATGCTGGTTGCGAGATATGATTTATTAGCACATTGTAGTGTTATGTAGATAGCCTCGCAGACGTACACAGAATATAGTATTCCAATATAGCGCACCTAGCATATGTTGAAGTCAGTACAACGTGCCAACTGCGCTCTCCTTAGCAATAACGTACACAAATATAAAGAACGGTCATGAAGGACCAACGTTGACTCTGCCCCGAGTCAATTGCACCATCCTGTTTGGTTCTGATATAGGAATTTTCTCACTAAGATCAGTTCGAACTGTGAAAGCATTCTTAGTGAGATACACAGGTTATGTCATCAACTCACCTCTTGTCCGAATGTTAATGCTTGAATACTTCATAAATGCCAATAGTCCTCGAAATATATTATCCCACTCACCCCAGTCGTATACCACTGCAGCAGAGCTTGCAGCTGTGAGGCGACATTCAAATCTATTTAGACGTCGCCATTGGCATCCCAATTGGTCTGTACGAACCTACAAAATAGCTGTAAAGTTCAGCAGAATAGACTCGAATGAACATCCACCACTGAGGGAAACCATATGCGACTATGGTCATATGGGAATGGAGCGTCTGGAATGCATGTAGACCGCTGTCCATCGCTTTTATAGCGATTAGTTTGGGTGTTTGTTTCTCTAATGCGGCACAATCCTGATCGATCACAGCAAATGTTGTCAAATGTCTTACGAATGAAGAGGCTCGGACTGGGAACGGGAAAGGGACCAAGTAGGGTGATAGTCAGGAAAATGTACGTAGAACAGTAAATAAGAAAGCTCACCTCTGCAGTCTTGGATCAAAAGACTGAGGGAGAATATTCGATTGGGAGAGGAATTAATGCGCTGATTGAGACGGAGAATCAAAGGTGAACGTGTATGAGGCGTGTAACGAGGAGTGACTGTGTATGTAAAAGAAAATGATGGGTACGTGCGAGAGTGACGTCCTGAGAGTTGTATCTCGTTCAATGAAATCACTTACCACTCCGCCACCATGCGGCTGCCATGCCGCGGCGGAAACTAGATACCAAATGCGACGTAGCATGGCTGAGTACTATGAAACACTTGATTTGCATAAAGATAAAGTAGTTGATATCATGGTCACTATGACAGGCCGCTACACTGGGCGGAGGGATGCTAGAAACTATATAAAATAGCCGTAAGTGCTCATTTCAGGTGCAAAACACACCTAGAACATACAGGCTTGACTGAGTCGATTGCCCAGTTTCCTTGTGGAAACTACTAATATCAAGCGCCCCGCCCATAGCGGGTTGTGACCCTCCCATATCACTCTTGAGGACTGAAGATACATAATCAATATTCATTTCATGCAATTCCTCGGGTCAGAATCACGGCAATTTTGGATAAGGTAACTTACACATCCTTATCGGCGCGGCCTCCATGGGATCCTCTATTCCGCTTCTCTACCATGATGTATCCGAGTGATACGCCAGCTTTTGACCCATCTGTTGCTGTTACTAACATAGGCTATCATGCTGATGTCCGTTAGGAGGTTCATACCAGCCCGGGCTGATCCGTCCTTTTCGAGCTTACTCATTGTCGATTTGTCATCAAGTTCCCAGGCTGGGACATGCAAGTCTGCACCTTCCGAAAGGTCCTCTGAGATACTCTCCTGCTTCATCAGATATTAAACGAGGTCGCTTCCATATCCTTAATATCTGCACGCTGTCTCAATATCCCAGTTCCCAAGACATACGCATTTAGCGCTGACGGACCGAACACCGATGAATACATCGATGACGAGCCCTTGAGTACTTAGATATGGAATCGTCATCGTCAAACTGAGACAGAGAAGCATTCAGTCGCCCTGAAGATCGCCAAGGTAATTGTTGATATGGCAAAGGCGCGTTTCAGTGCTATAGGCAAGTTTGCGAGCCCCACAAGCTATGTACACCCTTGGACCGACCGTAGAGGGAAGCAAGCTCTTCAAAGGACGCGTCAGTCTTCGTCGCCTTTTGCACTGATTTCTATTATGATTAATTTATTACATTCAGATAAGGTGAATTTTATTCCAATAGATGCTACTCCATCGATCCATGCAAAACCAAAGGAATACATCCTCTCTTGCTATACTATACCGGGTACCCATACCTCGCATCCGATATTGATTCCGACCTTTTCGAACTCATGTCTCTTGAAGATTTTGTGCAGCATCTACGAGATAAGAAGCATCAGCAAGAGAGGTTCGTCGCTGAAGATGAGCCATCTGTGTTCGTGCATGGAGACTTTATCATCATGCATGGTACAGTGGAGATCCTGTCCTCAGTAAAGTAAGGGCAGAATTGTTTCTTGCTGAGGCCTGAATAATGCGTTGGGTAGCTCTTTTCTTTGTAACTTCATCAGCTTCATTACGAATCTGACGCCGCGGTTCTTCACCCCATCACTCGTACAGTTATGAGTCGTCGATCTGTGCTGACTCTGAGATCTCGGCGCTCAACGTCAGAACAGATCGACGACATGGTCTTTTCGCATGCCACCACAAAACATGGAATGACAATGACATAGACCTCGAGCATCCATCAAGGACCTTGATAATGCCTGCCACTCTGTCATGACAGTATGTTTGTTGGATGCGACTCTCTTCAGTTAGTCTTTCGTAAACATGCAATCATCATGAAAGCACGACATTAGCTATGGTTTCCTTCGTCCCCTTGATATGTACATAGCAGCTGTGCACAGCTTCAAGCATCGATTGGCCATTCCGTATCCTAGTCCTAAGTAGCAGAAAGTAAGTACAAAAAGTTCTATCCTCAAAATCACATCGGAACACCAAATACATGAGATGAGGCTATATATCACAACGAAGCAAATAAATATGCATGTTCCCGCACAGTACCAGGGTTGAACATTTAGATCGGTTTGTGTACTACACATCTCTACAAGTTGACGCATCTCTGCCGCTCAACCAACCTAGAAAGTACTGATGGACTTTATGCCTAATCCCCTGTCGGGCCTGGCCATGAGCTTAGCGTGATATTCTCGAATGCTGAGGATCAGACGCGGCCCCAGCACAAACAACTGCAATACCTCGGCGATTGCCCAAATGCCAGAGTAAATATCACTTCCCATGGATAATGAATCCTGCAGAGAAATGGTGAGAGTGTGGTTAGCTGCAGATGCCAGTCACAAGTCGACATACCCTAATATTTGGAGACAGTAAGCCAAGTCTCAAGGAAGCCACAATAGCAAAGCTAGCACATGCTGAACTTCAGTGAAACAAGTTCATAACATCCAAATCGCCGAACTCACGCCAGAAAGTAAAACACGTGACTCTGTGTTAACATTGTGAAACGGTGCCCAATGGTCGATCCTGTCGGCGAACGTCGCAGTTCACGGAAGCGCTTTATAACAATCCAGACTGTAAGAAACAAGGCGAGGACCTCCCACACAGCGGTGGATATCATGCTCTCGGAAGTCAGATTTGTCCTGTACGTGTCCATATCGTTAACGCAGATATGGTAGCCGGAAAGGACGTCCTCCTCTAGCAAATGTCCATGAGTCTCTTGTGCTCCAAGCTTTCATCAATAATTAAAACTTACGCGCTGAGACACCCAAGTTTACAATTACCACTATGACTCCAGAGGCGATCGTACAAACCAGTAAAGTTACAACAAGAAAGATGAGCAACTTTTTAGACCCCAAATACATGGCATAGATCCGAGCGATCATGGTGACTTTGAATGATATTTCAGTCAAGTCATTGTCAGTGAGGAAGCCGCAGGTGAGCTCACCGCCCAGCATAGCATTCACGATGACAGGGGTCCATGTCCCTACATACCAAATGATAGTGCCTGAAACCCCAGTTACTCGATGGTAGAATAGATACTTCAAATGAACTTACAGCTGTTAAAGTCATTTTCTTGAGGACAACAGCCAGCAGAGAATATCACTCACTCCTATATAGAAGCATAGTTAGTAGTTGAATGGGAATGGCAAGCATCGGTGCAGAATACGCACTACATCGGTAATCGAGAAAGGGAGAATCGCTACATGCCGCCAGTCAGAAGGAGCGAACACATTTGAGGATACATACATAGGATATTGATACTGGTTGCGAGATATGACTTATTAGCACATTGCCGTGTTATGTAGATAGCCTTGCAGACGTACGCAGAAAATAGTATTCCGATACAGCGCACCTAGCATACGTTGAAGTCAGCACAACATGCCAACTGCGCTCGTAGTAATAATGTACACAAATATAAAGAACGGTCATAAAGGACCAACGTTTCCTCTGCCCCGAGTTAACTGCGTCATCCTATTTGGTTTTGATATAGGACTTTACTCACTAAGATCAGTTCGAACTGTTAAAGTATTCTTAGTGAAATGCGCAGGTGGATAACATCAACTTACCTCTTGTCCGAATGTTAATGCTTGAATACTGTATACATATCAATGATTCCTCGGAACGTATTATCTCACTCACCCCAATCATATACCACCACTGTAGAGCTTGCAGCTGTGAAGCGATAGCCAAAGACATTGAGATGTCACCATTGGCATTCCAATTGCTCTCTACGAACCTACAAAATAGTTGACGCAAGAAGAGGAACTGATGAACGGCCAAAGAGTGGGATCATCTGAGACGAAGGTCATATCGGGATGGGGTATAATTTTGAGTGCGTGCAGATATACCCCCGTCCATCGCTTTTATAGTGATAAGCTTGATTGTCCGTCCCTCGGATCAAAAACTTTGATGGATCACAGTAAAAGTTACGGAATGAAATCATGTAAAAGTGCGTGAAGCCAATGTGAACATTGTGGAGCCCTCATTCGAAGCCAAGTACCTTTTTGGCCAATTTTTTGAATGCCGATAAAATCTGTGCATGATAGAACTTGTTTTCTGAGGGGTTCTCCATTAGTTCCATCAGGGACCATGCGGCTATCAATCTAACGCAGACCAACCGCAGCTTCATCATATCAATGCTGTGTATTAACAACGAATGGGCGATCACAATAGGGATGTGCACGGGTAAGAATGACATTTACACACGATCAAGCGACAGATTAGCAGACACCCCTGGAGCAATGTCAACTTTGGCCTGATTATCTAGATTCAAAACTAGTCTGGATTACGTCTTTGAGAGGTTGACGCGTCATCGGCTTTAGCATATGGCAGTGCTGGCTACGAGCCTAGTGACTGTCGGAAATTGATATCATCTCAGACATAATCGGATCAATCACAATGCGGTGACGTACCAGCAGGGTGAACTTCGCTCATTTCTCGCACAGCTGCTTGTGAGGCTTGTTAAGGAAGCACCTTCAAAAATCAAGGCTATGCGTACCAGATGCAGAAGATCCAACTCAGTGGGCAACAGGCCTCCAAACAGATCGATCATGGACACTAATCGCGTCCACATGCATGTAGGAGCATCTTAGTCGAATCGGGATGACCGCCGCTCTTCATCGTCTTGATGCCGATAGCAGCTGCACCCGCAGCAATTACTTCAATTTCCCGGCCATTATATTCCAACAACAATTGGGTTATGTGACGGCCTGACACGACAATCTATCTTATTAACGAAGGTCATAGCCAAATCATGATCTATCACCGCCATGGAGAAGCTATTCCAAATATATTACTGCAGCGGGTCCCTGATACCAAAAACAAAGCACCTGCTTACTTGAAATAATACTCCGGTGTCCAATTTGCTGGAGGCTCAGCGGGGCACGAGGGGCTGAATGGACATTTGAAATTTTGACAAAACCTCTCCCGCTACCAGATGGGGGTCGATTTAGGTTGGGAGATTCGTTCTGTGAGGTGGGTCAGACTTAGCATCGGCAGCTGGCCGACTGGCATGTGGACTGTAGTGAGGCCCTATGTGGAGAGACTGTAAATTCGAGAACTGCCTCAGTGCGCATATGTCAATTACTCACTTTTCGCCCGTCAAGACCGGATCAAACCGTAATGTCCCGACGACGTTACTTTTTGTTTGTGTCAGGATAGCATGGCTTACCAGCGAGCATGATACTTATCACCATGTATCAATTCGTTCATTGATAAGCTACTACATGACTCCAAAACTGAGTACTCACCAATTGCTTTATAGCAATGACACCTCACGACACTTACTATGAAACATCAATACAACAATACACAACTCTTAAAGATGCTCTCGACCTGCAACGATCGATGAATGAAGAAAGAAAGAAGAAAATCGACGGTCACTACATTAGTGTCACACCGTCACAACCAGTCACATGTTAACCAAGTATGTCAATTTAACTCGGGTACTCTCCAGTTCGTTTGACCTTCGCCTCGAAGTTGACAGGAATCGGTCCATTCCTTAAAGCTTTCACGATTTAAGTGGTGCGTTTGTACATTCACTCATCCAGTCTCCTCCAAGAATGGCAACCTCAATTCAACTCCCATCAGACGCAGTCCGCCCTAACATCAATGCCTCCAAACGATAAATACCGTGGTGCTGTTATAGAGGTGTGTACATTAATATCCTACGAAACCAAGATAAGTCGACGCATCATCGATTGTTAGGACCTGCAACTTCCCCCTGCATTCTGTTTACCCTCCACCGAATCCGTATCTCGCGCAATGGAGTCAGCATATGATCGTGACTTTTCCCATATTCCGTAAGTGCGTTTCTTCCGTGCGTGCCAACGTCTAACTTTCCCATTCAGCATCCTAAACCGCGATCGGCGTCCTCTCGGGTACGTTGACGTCGCTGCTCTGAAAGAAAAGTGGGAAGCAGGCACAGCATCACCAGTACGCATCGCTATCAGATCGATGCCCCCTTATATGCTTAATCTGATGCCCAGAACGACTCCATCAGTAAATACATGACCAAGTTCAATCGTAGCGCGTCTCAGTATCACACCCTCATAACTCCCTTGACGCCCCTTGCGGAACTGGCAGAGTTTTTGCGCCCCCGAAGTGTTCCTGTTCACCGCTCACTCTACCTTCTCGAAGTGCCGAGTATAGCTGTCGTCTTGCGGTGGCATAGTGAGAGAATTGGTCAGTGCAAATGGCAAGGGGTTCTTGACCGACCTCGCTCTATGGTTCGCGCTCGCTATACCAAGCATATACGTACACAAATTCTATGGTAAGTATCCTCCCTGATCTTCTTTCATTTCCGTTTATACTCTCTTCAGATCCACCACCCTCAATTTGCACTATCCCTGAGGTTCAGAACCTGCTTGGCTCGATAAATTCACGATATCTACCTTTCCTCCAGCGGCAATCTCATGAAATCCTCCCCCGATCTTTTTCTCTTCACCACTCAACTCACAAGGTCTCGATTTCAGAGGTACCGCACTGCTTTTTTTTTATCAATTATTTTGTTACTGCTAAGGTCTACATTCTGGAGACAATGTCCAGATCCTCCGCGCTGTAACACCTGCTTTTGGTGGTTTCGCAGCTATAGAAGCCCGTCTGGAAGGCGAATATGGAACACAGGTTCTGCGACGGAGGCGCACGTGAACGGGATGTCCTCATAACATACCTGCGATCGATCAAACATCTGAATTCGATATACAAGGTATGCTCGAGTTTGCTTCCTACCTTCCAAAATCCACCCCTCTCTTCTCCCAAAATCTCAGCTAACGCCTTTCACAGATCTGCGTCACATACGAATGGACAGTGGACTTCGTTATCAAACACCTCTGGTCCGCTGCTGGGTGCGGGTTAATAACCGTCCTGCTATTTATCACGAGGAAGCGCTCTCGTGGTACGGGTATCATGGATGGAGAGGGCAAGGAAAAACAGGGATGAGAACAGAAGAGCGACACTGATGGTATTGTTGCTGCCTGTACGGAAAGTGAGTGTTTTGGTGCTTGGTGCGTTATAGATTATCTTTTGATTTTATGTCCCCCGACGAGCAAACACGACTAACAAATTCACACAGTCTACATATTCGACCGCCCTTCCTCCTTCCCCTCGCAGACGGAGGTGGGAGACTTATTGAACGCGTATAAAGATCTACAAGAGGTTGCTAGGTTAACTGGGCGGCGAGTGCTTGGTGTTTTCTACGATGGGTCTCATTCTGGTGCTCTGCGTTGCTTGTGCTTTCTTATTCTGATATTCTTTACTGGACGACTAAATTACGACCCGTGCGACTACTGAATGACAACTCGATGAATCCTCTCAAAGATTCCACACTCTTCTTTCAATTATACACAACCTCCCCCCACTCCCCCTGCACTCTCAGGAGACGGGGATGCATTCCGGGGATTTCTTCACCTCTTCCAATTCACTCACACCTAATACCCCGCTACCAACCCCAAACTCAAAGCTCACAGAACTAATCCCAATCCTACGGCGCCTGGGAGATGTTCAATGTTCAGAGGCTCGATGCACACTGATGGCGCACTTACGCGTCAGACGGCACAGACGGCTGCCCAGGCATATTCGACATCTCTCATTGTCCCTACAACGCCCAGGGTCCCTGCTCTCCCAAGTCATATGCCCGCACTCCATGTCCGAGTTCGCCGCGTCCTTCGCAGCACTGTCAGAGCTTGAAAGGTTATCGGATACTGCTCATCTTAAGCATCTGGTGGATAGGGAGGGTGGGTGGGATGCGGTTAAGGAGTGGAAGGATGTGTTGAGGGGGAGAGATGCAGAGGGTGAGTTTCTTTCTTTTGGGGATTAACTTTGATCACCATCTCCCTACCGTGCGCCTTTGCGTGTTTCTTTTGTGTCGATGCTGCCGATGTTGGCGCACGCACACCGTCTCTGACAAAGTGTCACACGCATATATTGACTCTCACGGGTGATAGAACAGGGAGTTGGACGTTTAGCCGGGTTGCTATGTCTCGGGCTCCGGAGGATGGGACGGAGCGGTGTGATGAGAGCGGACTGGCGTTACCACCTAGGGAATGTGAATCGACCTTGGGGAATGGCGAAAGCGAACTTACAACAGAGGGCACAGGAGCCAAACACCTCGCGCGCGCCCTCGAAGGGATACGTGTACTAGAGGCACGGATTGAGGATTCGTGTGGGTGAGAGAAGAGGGTGAGGGAGCTTGGGGAGGAGTTAAAGGCGAAGTAATATAAGGTTGGTGTGCTGATTCTTTCTTGAGTTGGGGATTTTTTGTGAGGGGGACGCGAGATATTATATACGAGCCTATATGTGGACTGGGTGTCGACACAAAGTCCGTGATGATCTGGTAGCAAGGTGTGGCGCCGCTTAGCTTGTCATTGTCTGTCGTATGTAGTGACTGCAGCAAGATTGCCTGTGTGCAAGCTAGCAGTTCCTATAAGGAAGGCACGAATGTCATCAACGTGAAAAGACAGTTATAAATTTCATATTACAATGCGATAAAATATTGTATATTCTCATTGACAGTAATACTGAGAAGTCTCCGAGGACTCAAAATAACAGATTTGAAAAGCTGGACTCGTGGAGCTCTAAGCATCGATTGGTCACTCCGTATCTGGAGGGGGCTCCGTGTCCCAGGTAGCAGAAAGTAAGTACAAGAAGTTCTATCCTCCAAATCACTTCGGAACACCTAATACACAACATGACGAGACTAAATATGACAATGTAACAATAAATATGCATGCTCGCTGTACACCGCAGTACCCACGTCGTTAATCATTTGGATTGTTTGATGTGCTACATATCTCTGCCAGTTGACGCATCTACGCTGCTTAACGCATCTCCACCAGCCTGAAAAGCAATAGACGTCATGCCTGTTCCCCCGTCGGCCCTCGCCACGACCTTAGCGTGATATTCTCTAATGCTGAGGATCAGACGCGGTCCAAGCACAAACATCTGCAACATCTGGGCAATTGAATAAACACCAGAGTAAATAGCATTTCGCATGGACGATGAGTTCTGTAGAGAAATGATGAGAGTGGTCAGCTGCAGATACCAGTCATAGGTCGCGCACCATGATATTTGGGGACAGCGAGCGAAGTCTGAAGCAAGCCATAATAGCGAAGCTAGAACATGTGGAACTTCAGTGAAAACAAGATCATAACATCCAAATCACCGAACTCACGCTAGAAAGTAAAACACGTGACTTTGTATTAATATCGCGAAACAGTCCCCAATGGTTGTTCCTGCCGGCGATTGTCGCAGTTCACGGAAGTGCTTTATAACAATCCAGACTGTAAGAAATAGGGCGAGGATCTCCCATGCAGCGATGCATATCGCACTCTCATAAGTCAGATTTGTCATGTACATGTACATGCTGTCGGTGCAGAAATAGTGGCCAAAAAGGAAATTTTGCACTGGTGAATGCTCGTGAGTCTCTTATGCCCCAGGCTTTCATTAAAAATTAAAACTTACGCGCTGAAAAACCCAGGTTTTCAATCATTACCATAACTCCGGAGGTGACCGCGCAAGCCAGCAATGCTACAACAAGAAAGATTAGCAACTTTTTCGATCCCTGATACATGGCATATATCCGAGCAATCATGATGGCTTGAATGATATTTCAGTCAAGCCGATATCAGTAAGGCATCACGGGTGAGCTCACCGCCCAGCATAGCATTGACGATGACAGGAATCCATATCTGTATGTACCCAGTGATAGTACCTGAAATACCAGTTACTCGGTGGTAGAATAAATACTTCAAATGAACTCACAGCTGTTGAAGTTGTCATCTTGAAGACACAAACCAGCAAAGAATATCACTCACCCCTATATAGGAGTGTGGTCAGCAGTTGAATGGGAATGGCAGGCATGGTGCAGAATACCCACTGAACCAGTAATAGGAATGGGGAGATTTGCTGCATGCTGCTAGTCAGAAGAGGCGAACACATCTGAGGACACATACCCAGGATGTTGATGCTGGTTGCGAGAGATGACTTATTAGCACATTGCAGTGTTATGTAGATAGCCTTGTAGACGTACACAGAGATTAATATTCCAATGTAGCGCACCTAGCATATGTTGAAGTCAGCACAACATACCAACTGCGCTCTATGTAGCAATAACATACACAAATATAAAGAACGGTCATGAAGTGACCAACGTTTCCTCTGCCCCGAGCCAATTTGTGTCATCCCATTTGGTTCTGATATAGGACTTTGCTCACCAAGATCAGTTCAAACTGTGAAAGCATTCTTAGTGAGATGCACAGGTCATGACATCAACTTACCTCTTGTCCGAATGTTAATACTTGAATACTGCATAAATATCAATGGTCCCTTGGAACGTATTATCCCGCTTACCCCAGTCATATACCACAGCAGTAGAGCCCGCAGCTGTGAGGCAATGTTCAGATATATTGAGACATCACCATCGGCATCCCAATTGCTCCATACGAACCTACAAAGTAACTGGAAGGACCGAAGCTGAGCAGCCACAAAACAAAATCCTCTGAGACTATGGGCATATCGGGATGGGGCTTGTGAAGTGCGTGCAGAATCTGCAGATATATTGGTGTCCATCGCTTCTATGGTGACTACTTGCGGTGTTTGTTTCTCGAACCAGAATCTTGATTGATCACACCAAAAGCTGTGGAATGAAATCACATACACAGCACAAACACGCACAACTAATGCAATACCCGTTGTGGTTACAAGTTAGGGTTAGTGCATTATACATAACTCGGGCACTCTCCGGTTCGGTTGTCCTTCGCTTCGAAATTAATAGGAATCGGTCCATTCCTCAAAGCTTTGACGATTTAAGTGGTGCGTGTGTACACTCACTCATCCAGTCCCCTCCAAGAAATGGCAACCTCAATTCAACTCCCATCAGACGCAGTCCCCTTCAACATCTTCGCCCTAACATCAATGCCTCCAAACGATAAATACCGTGGTGCTGTTGTAGAGGTGTGTATCATAAGATTAATTAATATCCTACGAAACTAAGATAAGGCGACGCATTATCGATCACTAGGACCTGCAACTTCCCCCTGCATTCTGTTTACCCTCCACCGAATCCGTATCTCGCGCAATGGAGTCAGCATATGATCGTGACTTTTCCCATATTCCGTAAGTGCGTTTCTTCCGTGCGTGCCAATGTCTAACTTTCCCGTTCAGCGTCCTAAACCGCGATCGGCGTCCTCTCGGGTACGTTGACGTCGCTGCTCTGAAAGAAAAGTGGGAAGCAGGCACAGCATCACCAGTACGCATCGCTATCAGATCGATGCCCTTATATGCTTAATCAGATTCCCAGAACGACTCCATCAGTAAATACATGACCAAGTTCAATCGTAGCGCATCTCAGCATTACACCCTCATAACTCCCTTGACGTCCCTTGCGGAACTAGCAGAGTTTTTGCGGGACAATATCTTTGCGCTAGGTGCGTATTGAGTTGAATATTTTGATTTTGCGGCCCCTAATGGCTCTGATCATTGTAGTTACGGACCAGGGCAGGAATTTCGTGCTTGCTGTGGCGACATCGCAGGATCTGGACGTAAGCCAGCATTTTTCTCGTGCGTAGGATTGTGGATTTATTTGTATCTCTAGAATTTTGTGACGCGCAGGGGCCGTTGATCTCATGACTGATAGATCATTTATTCTCGGCCATGTGGTTTTATATCTATATCAAGTGGAATATCATGCGGTAGGCACCTGATCGTGCATCTGTATACTATATCTCGGTTACAAGGTTGAGAGGGGGTATTTGTTTCGTCACAGGAACAACATGAATATTGCAAAGGCCTACGGTGCGATATTGTCTCTCAGTGTGCTATGTATCAGCTACCAAGCACTCATCTTTGCCATGAATGCGATAGCAGATGGCTTAATCCTGATCCTGATGGACTTCCATGACACTATAGATATATCGGATATGGTGTAATGGTTAACATTACCGCCTCTCATAATGATGCAGCATCGCGGTAGCTCGGGGTTCGATTCCCCGTATCCGAATTTACCTTTTGTTATTTTGGCTGGTGACGCTCCACGCTCTTTGTCCGAGTTGTAACTCGAAACACTTACTCTTGATCGAGTAGCCTAGCTACACCCGCAAGTGATCGTCACTTTTCTTCTGATTCTCGAGCTATCTAATAGCCCGCGAGTCGTGACAGGGACTTGGGGAGTTTTTTTTTTTGCTTTCTTGTTGGGACAGCTCAAGAGACTAGAAAAAACATCATCAGTGTTGTTAACCGAACGTACCGCAGCATGCGAGGTTTGCACTGGGTTATACGCTCGAGGTACTATACTCAGATGCAAATATTGAAGAGGTTTACTTCTAGGTCGGTATACTTGGACCCGTTCCTGCCAGGCTGCCATGATCTAGTTGCCCGATAGCGTCCTCGACTCCGGGACCACGCAGGCTTAGCCAAGGAGGGTAATTTGAAGTTGATTCAGGTGAATAGGCAGTATGGCATTCGTATGTCTTGATCAAGGCCTTACACATTCAAAACAAGACAACCGATCCTTAGCCGGGCAGTTTGCTGCGGCTGCCTTCAAGTTGACTGGGTACTGATGGGTTCCGAGGTAAGGCTAGGTCGTCTGTGTTCGGAAGTATGTATATCATGATATACACGAAACGACCTGACGGGAATCCCACAGGCTGCTTATGAATATGCCGACGTCCTCGTCTCGTCTCGAACGGGATAAGCACCAGACGGAAAACCTGTCTTGGTAATAACAGCACTGTCATCGTATGTGCTAACGAGATGAAGCAGTCAGGTTCTCTTACCGTAAAATTCATCATACTCATTTGTTCTGTGACTACGGGGCATACCTCAGGCTACCGCCCACCTTTACTGACAAGCAGTCACTTCCCCGCTTTCATCCCTTCGTTTTGGAGATTCCGACATAGAGGCTGTTGATACGTGTGCACGTGTGGTTACGTTCCGTTGTCCCAAATCCTACATTATATTTTATATTTTATGCTTACCTGCGGGAACAACATGCGCATCGCACGATGCACGACAAGGTGTTATTTGGGCGAGTAACCCTTCGTCGGCTTATCGAAGCCAGGTGATCTGACTGCGCATACAAGATCACTGTACTCAGCTGGGACAGCGGTAGCCACTTGGTTGGTGAGTGCCCTCCCAATTCAATCTTTGATAGTCGTTTTCAGGATCTAGATGTTTCCCAGACCCTGAGACGTTCAAGCTTAATCTTGATCATTAGCTCGATGTTGAAGGACGCATGCAAAATAATTCCAAATTCAGCCTTCTAGCTCGTATTAAAGCCGTTGCATGGTTTTTATGCATGGCATTTTGCGAACAAGCAGCTGGGCACGATGATTTCAAGGCCAGAATTTCAGATTCCAGAAGACAAACTCATGCATATCATGGAAGGGTGTGCACTGAAAGCATGATCGTGCCTCTTGAACTACGTCAGCATCGGTATCAGATGAAGATGATGGTTCTGTTTAAAACTTGAAGTTGTCGTCGTGGTCTTAGTGCTTGTGGTTGGGGAGTGTTTCCACAGACGTGCTTTGACACGAGCGTGGTATTGGCCTCGCCGCTAGCATGTCGTATGCTTCTTGTTTTTGAGGACCAGAGAGTTCAGTTTATTTAGACTAGCTATCAGTAGTAGTCCGAGCAGCGAGAATTAATCCAAATAGCTGAAATTCTAGCTAGTTGAGCTCTGTAAGGTATCGGTTACTTGCAATTTTCTTGCCATTTTTAGCTTTCCAAACTTTTTACAACCTTTATGAAGACGCCATGCAACTACAATGTCCGACGGACCCCTGATCCATTTCTGAGCAATTCACAGTTAGTACACGTCCCTGATAATTCAACATGTTGAAAATAATCACAAAGGATAAACAAGGCCTTCTTGCGTTTCGGATAGTGCGTGGAAGGAAGTCAGCGGTGTTGTAGAAGTAGTACTCATCGGTGCTTGAGGTCTGTACCCAATGTCGTAATGTTTTGTTTGCAAACAGGGCCAGCAGGTTTCGAAGTTTGTTGCTAGGATAGGCCTGATAAAGATGGAAAAACCACGTTGTATATGGATATGGATAAGACGATGGCGACGCTAGAATGGCACGAGTCTGAATGGAGTCCTGGCGTGTAATAAAATCAAGGCAGCAGCATGCAAGGTGCTCATGAGCGCGTGGACCATCTATGTGATATTGCTTCGAGCGTAGAGGGTCACTCATAAAGTCCCGGAGCGAAGCGTGGTAAATCTCAATACGCCCAACCCCATCATTCAAGATTACGGGTGAAAATGCTTCAAGCATCATAGCCAAGCTCCTTTTATCTACGTAAAAAAGTTCTTGGAGTTCCGCAAGTGGTAACGGCACGAAAAGATGGATAATAGACTGCCAACATCTGGCAGTGCGCAAGTGGATCCTCCGAAGTTGCAATGATCTGCCGATAAAGCTGATCGATGTCGGCACCGACAGTCGACTTCTCGCGTAGTAAGAGTTCTAGTCTCTCCTGCGGATGATGACCAGCGGCGGATATGAAATTCATGGCCATGGCAGCATATACAAACAGACCGCCCGCCTTAAAGACCAACGTCTCGAATTCATCCTCCGACGGCCAGGGGATGGGTGGCTGACCGAAAACAATAGGTCGAATTGTTCGTGTTTTATCCAGTGACACTCGCAAAAATAAACGGACATCCTGTATGGTATCTTCATCACGAGTGGTAAGGAGAATGTCGTGGACATTGGAGGGTATGGCAGCGCGGATACGATCCTCAGGGCGGCTTGTGAATATCACGTGGATGAATGGTAAGGCTGGGCCCGCGAGGGTGTCTGTCAACAGCGCGACCAGTCTTGCCGCCTCTTCCCATGAAAAACATTCGTCAAGAGCATCAATAATGATGACATAGGGCTCTTCACGAAATCTCAATGTCTGCAGTGGCGTGATAACGAGCGCCCTCATCTGATCTGCATGAGATTTTCCAGGTGATAGGAGGCTGTCGTCGCTCTCGATCGCTTTCACGATATCTTCTCGAATGCGCGGAAAAGCTATTGCAAGCTGGTATGCGATGGTAGGAATAATGGCGGCAGCTCTTTGTGCACGTTTATGCGAGAAGAAGAAAGTGGCAGCAAGTCTCTTTGCTGCTTTCATCTCCTCAGCTATGGTGAATGCGATAGATGTCTTTCCAACACCGGCAAGACCGTTGAGCCAGATGGTCGTCCAATCACGTTGGCCAAGGACTTCGATTATGCTCTTCCGAAGGGCAACACATGTGTTTTCCATGCACCGTGAGTGGGGCTGGCGATATTCGGAATCGAAAATGCCGCTATATTCTACGACATTGCATAGACGGTTCCAAGAGCTGCTAGAAGATAAGGGATGTGCTTAGAGGCGAGGTTGGTGCGAGTCATGGTGTAGTGCGCGGGAAACTTACCGAAATCCATTGTGAGAGGTGTTGAGCAGGATGGACGGGAAGAAGGCAGTAAGCTTTAGCGCGCTCACAGGTTATGCTTCCATGATGTACGGAAACAAACGTCGCATAACATAAGCGAGTATCGGGCTGACACTTACTTATCTGCGACTTGTAAAGTCAGACCCGGATATGCAATCTTAATTCCTGCCACACATAGCTACTCGTCAAAATGTTCGAATCAGAATATTTTGCACTGAAGCAAGTTGATGAGGATTTGATCAAGCCTGAAGTTACGAGCATCAACTGAGACTTGATGACAAGCTAGCAGTATCGGATATGGTGTAATGGTTAACATTACCGCCTCTCATACAAAAGCTTCGCGGTAGCTCGGGGTTCGATTCCCCGTATCCGAAACGAAAGACGATTGATTTTTTTGACTAGAAAAATTGATCATGGCAGCTTCATTATGGCGACTTGCCAAGAAGTGGTCGACCAGCCGACGTCTCGACCGTTGAAGCTGTTACAATTGGGAAGCGACGTAATAATCACGTGATGGGACGACAAGTTTACGCGTGAACGCGCGCTGCTTGGCTAGTAACTCGAGCTCACCATTGTCGACTTTGAGCATGGCAAGCGGTCGTCGCTCCCCTTCTCCGGAATCGCCTGGCCCTCAACCAATAAGGAGGCTTCATGAATCTCTTATTAACCGAATTGCAGCAGGCGAAGTATGCACTGGGTTAATCAAGATACAGACGCGAACAAGTACTGATGTAATTCATCTCTAGATCATACACAGACCCGCTTCTGCGCTGAAAGAGCTGCTGGAAAATAGCCTCGATGCCGGGTCTACTTCAATTCAAGTTAACGTCAAGGATGGTGGTATGAAGCTGCTTCAGATTCAGGACAACGGTTGTGGCATTCGTGTATGTCTTCTTCACATTCACATCAAGGCACTCCATTGAGCTTATTTAAAGAAAGAAGACTTACCCTTGCTCGCTGAGCGCTTTACTACCTCCAAACTGACTACTTTTGCCGACCTCTCCAAGCTAACTACTTATGGGTTTCGAGGGGAGGCTCTGGCATCTATATCCCATGTTGCGCACCTGACAGTGATCACGAAGACCAAGTCAAATAATTGTGCTTGGAAGCATGTATATAATACATTGTGCACGGAACGAAACACCTGACGAGAATCCTACAGGGCTGCTTACCTTGATGGCGGTCTCGTCCCATCGAAAGCGGGACACACACCAGACCCGAAACCTTGTGCTGGAAACAACGGAACCACAATCATAGTATGTCCCTAAGAAGTCAAATAGTTCTCTCTCATCACTCAGTTCACCACAGATTGAAGACATGTTTTATAATACACCTACTCGAATATCTGCTCTTCGAAGCTCCTCTGAAGAATATGCGCGAATCCTTGATGTAATGACCAAATATGCTGTGCACAATTCCAAGGTGTCATTCGGGTGTAAAAAAGTATGTTGCTTGGAATATCGTCGACGATGCGCTATAATGCATCGTGCAGGCCGGTTCCCTGAGTCCTGAACTCTCGACCCCGTCCTGTTCAGACACGTCTCAGGCCATTCGTCAACTTTACGGCCATTCCATAGCCAAAGAGCTCCTGCATGTCACGGCGTCTTCTGTTTCAGATGATAGCACGGACATGGATAGTTCAGAAGATCCGGAAGCATGGTCGGCAGAAGCATATTGCACCAATGCAAACTACCAAGGCAAGAAGACTGCGCTCTTGTTATTCATAAATCGTCAGTTTCTGCTCTTCCCATATTGCTATCTTGCAAAATCTGACGCATATTTTACGCAGACCGTCTAGTGGAGTCGCATCGTATAAAACGGTCTATTGAGAGTATATATAGCGGTATACTGCCCAAAGGTTCTTCTCCTTTCGTGTATTTGAGGTAAGACCGAATCCTATCAATGGAATATAAAATAATAATTCGCATAGCATCAACCTCGACCCGAGGTCTGTAGATGTCAACGTGCATCCGACCAAGCGCGAAGTCCACTTTTTGAATGAAGAAACTATCATCGAGCGAATATCGGATGCCATTCAGCAGAAGCTCGCAGGTCAAAGTCAGTCGCGGGTATTCGAGTATCAGGTACATCGAAAGATATATGCTCCACCCGCACTCTAAACACTTTCATTGACAGACGCTGCTCACTGGAGGCATCGCACAATCAGGATCACGGAAAGGCAAGGAAAAAGCGAGTAATGTCGATGAAGTGGAAGATGGCGAGGGACCAGAGGATGATCGCCGGGCATCAGGAAATCAAGGTAAGTGTTTGCGCAAATCTCAGGCAATTATCATTTGAATCTTGTTTAGTAGCGAAGAAGGTGCTTTCCCAGCACAAAGTCCGGACCTCCCAACAGGATCGCACACTAGACTCGATGATTCCGGTCACTGACCCATTGAGAACCGACTCCGACGAGCCCGTAACAGCCATCCGGTTACGGGACATCAAAGAATCGACATGCCAATTCGCATCTATAATAGAACTCAGGCGTCTTGCTACCAAACGCACTCACCATGGTGAGCTATGCAGTTTTTTTTTCGCAACGAAAACGCTCTTACACGCATATAACGTAGACCTGACCGAAATCATCAAGAAACATACCTTTGTCGGCGTGATTGACATGTCCAGGTGTCTTACGTTGATTCAACACAACAAGAATCTTTACATGGTCAATCACGCCGCACTAGCGTGCGTTACTGGGCTTCTTCGGAGGCTTGTGTTGATACGGTTATTGCAGGGAGGAAATGTTTTATCAGCTTGCGTTGTTGCAATTTGGAGACTATAGCCGACTCAAACTTGATCCCCCACCATCTCTTCGGATGCTTGTCAAGTTTGCGGTCGACGTGGAAGATACAGCACGCAGTGGCATGAGCGAGGACGAGATTGTCGATGTATGATTAAATTTCAGTACTTTGGCAGATTCACTCAACGTCCTTTCACAGCGAATAGTCAAGACCTTGATGGATCGCCGAGAGATGCTGCTCGAGTATTTCTCCTTGGACATTTCAGAGACTGGCGATGTTAAGACACTTCCACACCTTCTTCGCGAGTACACCCCTAATCTTGACAAGCTACCCATGTTCCTCATGCGTCTCGGGCCTCAGGTACGTCCCAACGCCATATTGTCATTCCACAGACACCAAGTTGCCTTAGGTCATCTGGGAGTCTGAGCAAGAGTGCTTTGGTTCTTTCATGCGCGAGCTAGCGTACTTTTACTCTCCAGCCCCGCTGTCTGTCGTCTCAGCACCCGCCTCTGACGAAGATAAACAAGAAAAGCAAAAGTCTGAAGCATGGCGCATACAAAATATCCTATTTTATGCGATGCGCAAGTACCTGGCAGCTCCCAAGTCCCTGTTGGACAATGACGTCGTGCAGGTGGCGAGCTTACCAGATCTTTACCGGGTCTTCGAACGCTGTTAGACCTCATATCATGCTGCAATTTCTATCCGTGAGTGCTGGTACATAACTCTAGAGTTGCCATATTAATGTACAGTAGACTACAATGATTCTATAATGCATCGAGAACAACGAAAGCGTGGTGAAGATAAGTTAATACAAGCTCTTGCCATTTGGAGCGGTACGGTAAAAGGTTGGAGAGTCGTACTTGAATGCGTCAACCTCAGACTCAGGATCAGACTCGTCACTGGAGTCGTCCGAAAGGTCGCGTGATCCACCGACTTGAATACATCTCCGAATGGAGTCTGAGGCATGTCGTTGGAGTCGTCTGTAGATCTAGCCAGAATGGATGCAACTCTATCTTCCAGCTGCTGACTTGGTAGAAGTTGCGTCCTGAGGTTTCGTCTTCTGGAAGAACTCGCTTAGCTCGTGCAGGTCTTGAACCAGGACTCCCAAGTCTTCATCAAGCTCATCCGCGAACAGGGGCTCTTGGACCTCTGGCTGGAAGTGCACCGTAGATATGCGCGATGATGTCGTGAACATAAGTGCAACTGCAAGGACGTTGGCACGACATTGGGTTTGTTGATGTGATATACGTGCAATGCACCAGCCAGAGTCTTCTGGAACACCAAAAATCTCTGTCTCACCCTCACTTGCACCTGCACCGGTAAGTGTTGAGACGTGCATGCTCATGCGAAGGACCTGTTTGGCTGTGAGTCCTCCAGTGATCTTCGTTGGCTCCTCCAATACATCAAGAGCTTGCGTCGCCAACTCTCCTTCCACCAATCGCAATAAAGGCATGAGATGCTCTGTGCCCAACGACTGCAAAGCACGTTGTTGGAACAGCACTTTAAGGACGTGCATTGAGTACACCTGGAGCCATCTCTCCTTGTTGAGCACCAAACTCAACAACAGAGTTGCGATATCGGTCCAGTCATCGGGAGGGTAGTGGTCACGTAAACTGCTAATGGACTGACGAAGAAAATCATCTTTGGTCCTGAACCGACGCTTGACAAAGGAAACCATAATCCGATTGATACTTTCCAGACCATCTTCATCAGCTAAGTCCGCAATTGAAGAACAGAAATCGTTTAGAGCCCCATCATGCTGGTCAGTGCACATGGCGTGCATGCACCATGGTAGGGACAGAGTAAAGAGGTCTCGAAGCCAGTTTTGGGAAGAGTCGAGCAATTTGGCGCACTTCAGCTTGGCCAGTCTCCCAAGAACTGTGAACGTGTCATCTAGAGTCGTGGCGGAACGAAGCCCGCTCCAAAGAGCTTGTTGCAATCCAATGGACCCGTTCCAATCTCTAGGGCGCTGGGCAACGATGAGGCCAGCGATATGGGGATCATCCAAGTCAATCCGATCAAGGAATGCAGACAACAGTTTGATGGCTTGCGTATATTCAGTTTCTGCACTGGTTGACATCACTGCATGCGTTGTCCAAAAAAGACGAGGAAGTAGCGTATCATCGAGTTCGTCCAGCGTAACCATATGGGTGATGGTACGGATAACTTCCGCCGAAAAGGCCTGTCTTTCTGGATCTACATCCGCTATGGAAACAGATAACCGACTCAGCAACTGATCCAGCGCGGCATGACTCAGAGGCAGTTTCAACACGCGGAGCACTTGTAAAGAACGAAACGCGAGGCTTCGCATGTTGCAAAGCTCCACGTAGGCTAGTGCCAGTTTGCCTACAGTCTGTTCCAAGGCTGGAACAAGAGGCTGGAGCATAGGAAGCACCTGAGAGAAGAGCGCACTCATTCGAGTTTCCACGATGTCGCTGTCATCATCGTCCTTCCAAAATATAGAATCTCCTTGATCCTCCCAGGCGCTGATCTGCGCCACTAATGCAGAGCAATTGGACTGTGCGAGACCTGGAACACAAATACGCAAGAGCTGGAAGAGCATCCCACGCGCCCTGATCCTCATAAGAGAGACACGGTGGTCAAGATTGGGAAAGATTGCCTGCAGAATGACTGGTATGGAAGTGACATGCGTCCACTGTCCTTCCACTGCAGCAGACCCCAGTAAGATCAGTGCATACTGCGCCGGTCCCAGTAGTATCTTTGGCTGCTCTTCCGCAAACTGAGCATTCAGATCAGACCACAGTTCAAAGTCTTCTGCGCCGGGAGGCTCCTTCAGTTGGTGATCAAGGGAAGGGACCATACGTTCCGGCTCGCAGTAGTAGCAGAGAAGCTCGTAAACTTGCAGCGCAGCAGCAGAGCGCGAAAGACATGCTACGATGGTGGAGGCGCAATCAATGAATGCGGAGGTAGCTACCTTGAGAGCTTGATTGATGAGGAAGGTTATGGTAGCCGCTCCGTAGGTTTCGTTGGGGTGGTCTGTGAATCGCATCCATATCGCGGCAACTTGCTCGAAATGACTCTCACTGTATCGTTTTGTGAGGGTGAGGAGATGATACAGGATGCGGCTGCTGGCTGGAGATGGGTGTAAACGTGCTTCATTGTCGGGGTCAAGTGTGAGCTGTATATTTGGGACCCAAGCCTCGAGGCTCTGCAGCAGTAGAAGGACGACTCTCTCGTTTCCACTACGACGCATGCGCATCAGCAAGGTAGTCATCTCCGTAACCACATCGTTAGCGTGATTGGGGTGTTCGCCGGAGAGACGTTCAGTGACTAGTCGATGTACATGCAAATATACGCTGCTTGAGGGATTGGCAGCCATAGCCTCAAATTCGCCAAAAGACAGGACGCCAGAGGAATGCTCATGCATGACTTCGAGGAGCATAAGAGACTTTCGTCTAATTCCAGAATCAGCGTGACAGAGGTTGGTCAAGCCCAAGCATATGATTTGGGCGAAAGTGTATGAGCTGACATCCACGTTGCACACGACCTCGGACAGAACCTCGAAGAAGGCAGAGCTACTCGACGATGAGTCATTCGAATCGATGAAAGAGCGTCGAAGGACCTCGCCGAGTAACATTTTATCCACTTTTCTGGAGGAGATAAGGGAACGAAGGGCTTTTCTACAAAGGAATGAGTAGGTAGTACATATGGAAAGGGTTAATAAGCACCTTCCACATATGACGACTTGAGGGTAAGAAGATTGAAAGACATGATGAAGGCGGTCCAGGATTTGTGCAGCTTCCAGAGGTTTCGGATGCTCCTGAGGGCGATCTGAAGGTGATGAGGAATCAATGGTTTCAAAAGGATAATATGCCCTTTGCTGCTACCATGTCAGCTGTGAAGAATAACACATGAAGTGCTTTGCTTACGCAAAGGGCAGCGAGGGCACCCACAGCTGCATTAGAGAGCAATTTAGTTTCGTGTTGAAACCGTTCAGCAGAGTCTGATTCGGCATGTGGGTCATTCACAGCCGCAGCCGCAGCCCTTTGCATGAGGATGTATCGCTGCTTCGATGATTCGGACTGAACACCATACTGGCACCATTCTTCACAAAGCCTGTAAAGAGTCGCATACATGTAGGGTGAAACGAATCGTTCCGAGTCAGCGAGGTTCGCCAAACTATCGAAGAACCGTTCGATCAAACCACAGAAATAGCGGCGAAGGCGCTGGAGTGCGTAGTTGTCACGATTCTCTGTAGTAATGAGGAAGGTTTGCATGTTTCGAATGAATTTAAGCGCATATGAAATGGCGTCTTGCTTTGCAGAAGATCTCTGGTGCTGCAGCTGAGGAGCAGTGAGGAAGTAGATACGAGCAACAGCCGAGTGCAGACGAGCTTGACGTCGTGAACGCCCACTCGACCCAGGAGATCCAGATTTCGACCGGACGTCATCATGGAATTGAAGGAAAGTAAAGTGATTCAGATCTTCCAAAAGCTGCGAGAACCCACTAGAAGGAAAAGAACTGATGCTGACTACAGCAGCATCACGAAATGGGGCATATTCCACATCTAAGAATGGTGTCAGGTACCTGAAGAGGCAGCGTGTGGTTGACATCCGCTCGCGCTCTGAGGTAGCGTCCGAAGGAGCTCGCGAATGTTCTCGACCGGCTTGGGCGGGAGTACCACCACGGCTATCAGATATAGCAGCCGTAGCACACAGGATCTTGATCCACAGATACCATTGATCGATCAAGTTCATGTTGTCTTTGACCTGCTTGTACCCCTCTTTATCGGCGGAGCCTGGCACCCTAGAGACGCCGGACGGTAATCGTCCGCTGAGAGTCGAGAGTCCGGCAAGGTGCAACATTGAAGGATGGTAGCGAGATGCTGCAGCCTCGATCATGGCACGGCAGTCCACCGCAACCTTCAGCGGTTGCTGGAACGAGGCTTGGATAAAGCTCGGGAAAACACAACGCCATATTTTCTTGTCCTTGTCATAGTTGCTATCGGCGATCCTTAGCAGCACGTCCTTTCGCCCAGCCCGCCTCCACTGTTGCAGCCGGTCTAGCTCCGAGCTATCTAATAAGTCGTCAAAGCCCTGAAAATGAGGATTCTCACGAGCATCACACTCGAGGAGCCCGTTTAGAAGGATGGAGGCACCCGCATGGGCACTCTCGACCACATCTATATGAGCAACGAATGGTGCAAGTATGCGGATGAGCTTAACCCCTGCACAACGGACAGTAGAAGCTTCGTGCGATAACAGAAACAATGCTCCTGCAGTGATTCCGTCTCCTTGAAGGGCAACGGCCTCCCTTTCACTAGCTATGATGTCTGCTTTGGGTTTCTGCAGGATACCTTTGACCCAACCTTCCACCAGGCTGATCCAGAAATTCAGAAGTCGGGTACTCTCGAGGACAAGCCGTGCACCGGTTCCCTCCCTTCCAACATAGGCAGGATCAAATAGGAAGGTCGTAAAGTGGCGCAAAACTGCAGGCGCATACCGCCCGTCAGCCATAAAGCGCCTCAGCGCCGCTCCCGCCGCTTCTCCGATCCGAGGCTCAACATGTATAATACCGCGGATGAGTATATTGATAGCGTCCGTGAGTGGTAAGGAGGCGTGCAAGCAGCGCGGCCACGATTGCAAACATGTCTGTAGCATAGATATCTGCGACACGAGATGATTGGGGTACGCAAAGGACCCTTCAGGACGGCGGCAAATGACGATGTTGTGGGACTCTTCATGGACAGAATTAAACCGCGACAGCGACCACTGTTCATCAAAGATAGACATTTGACCCACAGACTGGCTCGCTGACCGTGCGATCGCCGTAATTACAGCTCCATATCTGTCAAGCAGCTCTTGAACTCCATGTCTGGATACCACTGCAGCCGGAAGAGCGTCGGAAGATGAAGGATAATCATCCCAAGATGGTACAGCAGTGAAATCGACACTAGACGGCCATGTAGGAGACGACTCCTCGCGTTCGAAGGCGTTTAAAGTTAAGAGGATAGCCTGGGCCGATACAGCAACGCGTTCAGGAGCCAATATACCCATGAGATTACTTATGGATGAGGAATTCACGACGGCTTCCTGAAGTAAATCCATGCAGAGTCCCAACCCATAGTCGAAATAGCGCGACAAGACAAAATGCACGATGCAGATGAAAGGCTCAAGATGCTCCTCGTGATGGAAAATTGATGACCGTCCAGCAGGGAATATGTATTTAAGGAGGGAGTCCAACTTGGTAGTGCTCGTCGCTGAGGGCTCCTGGCATCGATACAGGTATGTCCAGATCAATCGAACGATTCCATTCAAGACAGGAATCCGATGGAGCTTCTCCTGAATCAGAGGTCAGCAAGAAAAGCGTCTCACTAGTCGAATTCGAACCTTCATCTTCGACAGCCCATACTCAAAACAAGCCGTCCAGTTGCGGAGGAAGTATTGATGAGGGGCAACACAAAGGCTGGTGACAGCCAATGGGTAGGCGATATGCCAATACCGCGGCTTACTCATCATCTCCTTAGCCCGAGGATAGATCCTTTCGATTGCCTTTTCCCATTGTGGATGATTGACTTCGGCCTGTGCCGTCTTGAGGTCATGTTAGCGTGTATCAGTACCAGCAAGGGAATAGGAAATACCTTTCCAATGGGGTGCAAAAGACGAGTCAACGTATCGGCGAAAGCGATCTTGAACCGAAGACCATGCGCATTTGCAAAGGACTTGGCTAATAACTCTAGAAACTCGGCCCCTTCCTCAAATGCCTCCGGAGGCCATACCTAGCTGACACATGAACACAAAAAGGCAGAGAACAAGATGATCCTCACTCTCAGCTGAACGTGACGGAGCCCCTTCACTAGATGCTCGTACTTCGTATCGAGGTCTTTCGCCACCTGACCATTGGCCACAGGCTCTAGCTCGCAAAGAAACCGATCCGTAACACTAACAAAACTGGCGGAGAATTAATTTGTATGCTGATGCAGCAACAACACCATGCTCACCGAACATTTGCTAAGTGTCCGAGCAGCGTGGCATACAGTTCAGCATTAAGCCGATGATTAGCTGACTGTGCAAGGAGCTTCAAATCCGGTCTCTTGAACTGCTCGAACGTTGTTTCCTCCAAGGTAAATCCCAGCGTATCACCCAATGCGTCTTTGGACAAAACGGACAAAACGGCAATCAGAGCACGACACATGATATATATTGACGCCAGCGACTTTCGTTCATTCAGCAAGGTAGACAGTTCTTGAACTCTCGCACCACGTGTCCATAAAGGCGATTGGCTAACATGATGTTTAAGTATGTCGGCGCTGACGTTTTCATTATGACTGCGTCTCCAGCGCATAACCGAGTCTATGACGGGTTTCGGATGTTTCTGAGCTATCTTTCCCAAAGAGCCCATCAGGTCATCGAACTTGGGATCCAGCGAGGGACCCATGAAGTTCGACAATAAAGGCTCGCGGTCCTAAGGGCGCGTAAATGACATTGCCCGACCAATTCGAAAAGAAAGCAAATACCAGTGTTTCACGAAGGAACACATTCATCTTTGCTTCAGCAAGAGTGGCAAACCGAATAAAAACTGCATGCAGAGCATAGTCGGATGGCATCTTAGGACCCGATAACACTTTTTCATCTTCCTCCACCATTGAGGGCCCATCACTACTGAACATCTGAGCACCAAACGTGTCGGGCACACGTGGAACGGGAGGAGGAGAGGATGAGTAAGAGAAGCCAGGAACATGATCACTCCCTGTGTCCGAGTTGTGAAATATAGACCCGGATTGAGAATGATGAGATCTTGCAGTGGAATGCCCTCTTGCCCTTGATGGAGCGCGAGGACGTGATTCGCTAGATCCAGGCGTCGGAGGGCGAGGATGCGGCGGACTTGCAGCACTGAATGTCTTATTAGATGTCAAGGTGGAATGAGGCAAGGACGAAGTCGAGCGGTTAAAAGGGTTCTTGAGAATGGGATATGCTTGGTAGTCTAGGGGAGGTAATGGTGGCACATCGGTGTTCTTCTTGAACGCGTTCCTGATAGATGCAAAAGATGGCTTCTTGGAGAACGGAGAGCTTGCAGTTATGGAAGGTTGAGTCATATGTGAGCTCTTGCCAGTCTGACGAACAGGTTGCGAACTGAAAGAATCCTCTGACGCTGCAGAATCGCCGCGACTATGAAAGTAGCTTCGGTCGCTACGTTCTGGAAGTGCAATGGGGGTCATGATGGTTGGTGAATCTGGGCCTGATCCTGCATTTCCGAATGCACCAAAGCCATATCCTCCAGACCTGCCGAAGGGTATGGGAGTGGATTGAAAATCACCATCATCAAAGTCTGGACAATTCAAGGTTAAAAGCTTCCAGCGGAGTAGATGCATGGTTTCTAACCTGGTATTGTAATCTGCAACACGCCCTCTGAGCTCATGATTCACTGCAAAAGTATGGTCCCGAGGACAGCAATAAGGTTTAAATCTTCACTGGGGAAATTGTGAGGTAGAAACAGCCAGGGTAGCTTTACGATGGTAGGTGAGGCTCCACGCACTAAAAGGCTTATACGTTCTGTCCGAGGTCCTGCCCGCTGCGTTTGACGACCGTCGACGAACCAGTAGTGATCTGAGCCTGTTGAACAAGGACTGACCGTGAGAACTTCGCGTATATATCAGCATTTACTATGATTGATGTAATTGTACTACTAGTAATTGTAAACTACGCTACGGTAAGTTCAAGGAGCTCATGGTACCCTGTTATCAGTCGGACTCTACCCGGTTCCTTCGAACTTCAAACCCTGAGCTAACAAAGTCCGGATGGCACGACATTCGCAATGAAAAGACTCTACTTAACATGTTTGGTTCAGCTTAATATTGTGAATCATGGATGCTGTGCCTCTAGGGTGTCCGGACTTTTGTTAACTCAGGGTTTGAAATTGTTTGAAAGAACCGAGTAAAGTCCGACTGATACTTAACAGGGTACCAGAAACCGAAGTTCAAATAGTTACTACCCTCTAACTCCCTCTAGTGACTACCGCAACTTGTGGCACCAAGTTAGTTCTATCTATGACCAAGTTCTATAACGAGATACCTGAATCTCTCATCGAATGGATCAAAAAACAGCACATGTTTTGGGTGGCTTCGGCTCCCTTGAGTCCTGACGGCCATATAAATCTCTCTCCCAAGGGCATAGCGGATAGTTTCCATGTCGTGAACTCTCGCCGAGTTTGGTATCAGGATTTGACTGGGAGCGGTGAGTATCACATGAATCAAATTTCGTGCTACTTAACTGTGCGAATAAGGAGTGGAAACGATCTCCTATATCAGGGAGAATGGTCGCGTAACGATCCTGTTCAATGCCTTCGAGGGACCTCCCAGGATTTTGAGATTGTTCGGAACAGGTACTTACAAGCAGAGGGTCCTTTGCATTACATTCTAACGTCCGAGTATAGGAACTGTATACGAATATGGCACAGAAGAGTACGAATCTCTTATTTCTCCTGAGACTCGGAAGTCGGGTTCTCGTGCAGCTATCGTCATCGATGTGTATCAGTGTCAAACGGTAGCCTATCTTTTATCTACTCCGATCTCTCTCAATTTAACAGTTCCGCTAAGTCGTGTGGATTTGCTGTTCCAATCTATGACTTCGTTACACATCGCACCCAACTCCTCCGAATGGCCGATATCGAAGAGTCACGCAACCGCGCTTCAGACGCCATATCTCCCCAGAGATCCATCAGACGGGTATCAAAGCATATTGGGCACGAAAGAACTCGAGAAGCATGGATGGCCTACCTGGTCTGCTCACAGCACCTGATTCTAAAGTAACGCCTGTCAATAATTTTGACAAGGAAGGTCAAAGACCGAAGTTGCAATATTCGTCTTCGAGAGAGGGGAGCGCCCGGAGTAGTGATGTAAATTTAGCCATCAGTTTTGCCCTTGGTGCTTTGGTCGCTACTACCCTTCTTTACATCCTATCTGCTACCGGAAAGCTTGATGTGTTCACCACTCGAGCTTAATGCGTGCCCATATGCACAGCGCTCTTTCCCTTCCATGTATGTACTCGGCGTCATTCTGCTTTGTGTGTTGCGTTGACACAACTGGCTTCGTGTAACCTTGACATTATTGAACCGTATCCAGTCTAGCTATACACATTGTTGTGTATTACGAGATGGTGAACATAAGGTGAAAAGTGGCTTATCACATTAACCTTCGTCAGTCTCGACTCCCGTGCGTACACATTTGTTTTGGTGGAACGATTTCTAGTGAACGACTGATCAGCTCTTCCCATTCTCCCCTAGTCTGACCTTATAGAAGAAAGACAGTAATGCTGTGATGATAAACGAGCGAGAGAGTACACGAGCTAGTCAGAACAAGAATAATCTCAGTCTCCAGAAAGAACTCTGTATTGAACCACCCATGTACCTCCTAGGTCAGAACAAGAATACCACGTCTTGTGAGCATATTGTATCGCATGCGTAAATAACTACGGGGACTCATATCTCATTTTCTAGAAAGAACTGAGATAATAGTACTATGCGATTGCTGCTGTCTTTATAGCGGACATAGGGTAGGAATGGAAAATATATATATCATCGACTTAAATATTGATGAGCACAAGCCGATGTCAAAAATCGGTCGGTCCTTACTGAGCTCGGTGACCGCTCTACTACTACTAGTGTTGTCCCGTCCTCCGTATCTCGGATCCTTCGGTCATCGACTCGTCGGATCGTTCGGAGTGCAACAAGTAATTCCTTCTATCTGAATAGTCTGATGTATGTAATACTCGACGGCACGGTTGAAATTGACTCACCCCATGGCCCATGGCCCCATGACCAGATACTAGTAGTACCGTGCTCAAGAGGTTATAATTAGGGTCCTCTCAAACACCGATATGATGACCTCACAATTCAATAGTACTCATATTTAGGTCAATTGGCACCAAGCTGATCAGATAATCCCCATGGCTAAGTACTATGATGAAATACCTGAATCTCTCATCGAATGGGTGAGGAAACAGCACATGTTTTGGGTGGCTTCAGCTCCTCTGGGTCCTGGTGGACACGTCAATGTCTCCCCCAAGGGCACAGCGGATTCCTTCCATGTGGTGAACTCTCAACGAGTTTGGTATCAGGATCTGAGTGGAAGTGGTGAGTATCTCATTGTTGAATTATTTTCATCTTATTCGACTGTTGGGTTAAAGGTGTGGAAACTATATCTCATATCAGAGAGAACGGTCGCATAACGATTCTGTTTCACTCCTTCGAGGGACCTCCTAGGATCTTGAGGTTGTATGGGATAGGTACACGATAAGATTACTTCCCATGCGTCAATGACATTCTAACATCTAGTGTAGGGACTGTATACGAATTTGGCACGCAAGAGTACGAATCTCTGATTCCTCCTGAGACTCGTAAACCGGGGTCCCGTGCAGCTATCGTTATCGATGTATATCAGTGTCAAACGGTAGTATCTCTGATCTAGCCTGTTTCTGAAGTTGGGTCTAATCATTCGCCAGTCATGTGGATACGCTGTTCCAATCTATGACTTTGTTACACACCGCACTCAACTCCTCCGATGGGCTGACACGAAAGAGTCATTCGAGCGCGCTACTGCCTCCACAGAGATTAATCCGAAGGGCATGAGAGCATACTGGAAGCTGAAGAACCTCTCAAGCGTGGATGGTCTTCCTGGTCTGCTAACAGCCCCTGACTCCAAAGCAACATATCTCAGCGTTTTTGACAAGGAAGGTCCAAGACCGAAGTTGAACCGTTTGTCTTCCGGGGATGCGGACGTCCTGAGAACCGGCACAACTTTAGCGGTTGGTTTTGCAATCGGCACATTGGTAGCCACTGCTCTTCCTCGCATCTTATCCGTCACCGGAAGCTTTAGTATCCGAACCTAGTGTGCAGCAATAGTATGAATGCCGTTTCTACTTTATTTCTATGTGCTGAAACAACATGCAGTTGCATACCTTTGGGACAGTTGGATCGTCTTGTGTACTTTAGCTATACACTGGGATGATGCCCGAAAAAATCTGTTTCTATTCGTGGAAGTCATGATGCCCCGACGGCTCAAGATACAGTTCCAGGAGTCACATGAGCCTTGTCTAATTTCTCCACATCCTCGTCCGTAGAATCACAAGAGGTCGAAGGCGGTATCACATCGTCGGGTAAGACAGCCTTCTCTACATATGTGCCCCGAGCCGGAAACAACGTCGAGAGGGCGTAATAAACGACGAATGCTGACCAGAACTATCAAGAAAAGGGGAAATGACAGTGAGTTGCGCGGGTGAATGTAATTAATGCACGCACTCCAAATATCCACCCAATGGCAAATAAATTATGGATACCTCCAACGTTGATGGACGGCTTAATAGAGTGAATGAGCCCAGGCATAGCTGGTGCAATGCAAATCACGAGTGTTGCCAAAGCACGCCAGTTCTGTTAACGAGCCTTAGCCACGTGCACAATCTGGAGATCAGTGGGGATGAACTTACCACTCCATATGTATAGCGGTATCGACCATTAACTTGGTACATCGCTGGGACGTCAATTTTGCCCTGATGGATTAGCCAGTACTAACAGAACTTCATTCAGTTCAGTGTGCGCCGATGACGATTGGTTTACTTACATCGACAATCATAATTCCAATAAATGGTCCGATGAAAATAGTGTATCCACTCAGGAACGACAGAAACCCAGATGCTCTGCAAATGAATGAACAAAATAAAAGGACAATATATCGAGTCAACAAACTTTGCCAGAACTTCCCAAGGACAGAATGCCCATCCACCGATGAATGCACATATCACTTGACCGCGTCGTATATTGATGTATTTCGGAAAGCAGACTGTGAGGTCGTTAGCAGCCACAAGGGCATTAGCGCTGATATTAGTCCCGATAGTCGTCAGCAGAAATGCGAACGAGGCAAAGAACGCTGCTGCTCGGTTGTCCCATTGGTTAATCAGCTGTAGGGGATCCCATAGGGCCGAACCATAGAGGACAATTCCCTGCACTCGTCACGGCCAGTCCAGCGAACGAACAAAGCGTGAATGCCACTGGGATAATGATAGCCTGTGAATATTGTCTATTGTTTGATTCGGTCAGAAATGGTTCATGTACCCCAACAGAAACGAACTAACGCCCTCTCATGTGTGGCATACCGCTGTTTGAAGATCAACACATTGTAGTGAAGGATAGGATGTGGTCACAAACCGTAAAATCCGCTATGTTGACCGCAGTAGCCACAATAAAGACTCAGCGCACTATTGAGTGCAGTCAGCCAAGCCCAGGAGAGGTCAGAGCCTTGCACTGCAGCATGTTGAGAAAACAGTCCGACTGAAGGAGGAACCTTGATAAACGCCCAGATGACCATAGCAAGCCAGGCGAATGGGACGATTACACCCTTGATCATGAAGAGATAACGGATTTTCTGGGGAGACAGCAGCATGAATGGAAATTGGAGGAGCCAGTAAAGAAGGTAACACATCATGCCTGGCCACGTTGATTATGATCAATAAAGTACGTGCGCTTGAGCAATGAGCACTTGCCGACGCTGGTAGTGTTTGACGAGGCCGGTATGTGATTTGAGATATGGGCGATAGACGGCCATATGGCCTTCAGCATCTGAAAGATTATGCTGTTGAAACATGACGTTCCTCCTGGACAAGTAATGTACCTGATAGATACATTCAGAACCGTTGTATGTCTGTTCATGTTTTGTTAGCGAAACTAGAGAGAGCACCATACATGGATTTCAAATGTCCTACCTGAATTCCAAACCAGGACATGGCAATTATTCCCCGCGTAATAACAGGGAAGTAGCTGAACCAAAATCCAAAAGACGACCTGCTAAGGACCGAGAATGGAACCCTCAGGCGGGTACCGATTGTCCCGGTGAGGAGTATCGGAACAGCCGTTATACAGTACGCAACAACAATGGCAGGCAAGGCCTGTCTCCTGTGTTCAGAGTGTCAATCCTGCTCAAGAGATAGTAGGTGAAAACTCACCAGGAAAGACCAATAGCTAACATCGAGCTCGCAACCTGTCTAACGTCAGTCGCAACCAGATTGGCGCATCTTTTTCGAACTCGCCTCCCAGACAGCGATATTACTGGCATCGGAAAACCAGTATGATACCTGAAAGACATTGGTGTTAATTCGAACTGTCCTGCAACCGACCTCTGTCACGAACATAACTCCATGAACTAATCAGTACGACTGGTCAGGCATGTTGAGAAATCACAGCAAGGGATGATGCTTACCTCCATGTTCGAAAGCGCAGAGGCGTAGGGTCCATATCATGATTACTCCATCTATTGTCTGTCGCAAACGCTGTATTCTCGAGCTCAAGCTCCCATGTTGAGAGCTTCAACCATGAAAGGTCATAAGAGCTAATGGCGATGGTATCTAAGACAACCTATCTCTGAACAGGTATATACTGTGGACACTGGCATATATGTGTGCAGAGATATTTGTGTCTCGATGAGAACGCTTTACATCACAAGGGCGAAAGGTATTTTCGTTCGTCAGCTCTGACAAAGTGATGATAGTGTCAGATAGTCCTTGTCAGAGTGAGAGTCGCTGGTGGGGAACTGATACGACATGTGCACTCATACTGACATTGCAATGTGCTCAGAGTTTTCTGATTTTCACGACCAAGGTTGTTGGGTAGGCATGGGTCAAAAAGCCAGTAGTTACAATCAGCCGGCATCTGCCAAGTTTGCTTGGCGGGCCGCAGCTGCAGGGTTTGTCAATGTTTGAAGTAACGTGACGGAGAGCCGCAGTTGTCACATACGTAAGATAACGAGGTCATGTTGGCTTAAGTAGCGCTCATGACACCGCCCAGAATAATATGCAGATATCTGATAATGGTAGTTCTACCAGCAATGGGTCTACGATACAAAGCAGTGCCGTGATAGTCGTCAAGTAAGCAATACAGGGCAAAAGAGACCGAAAAATTGCAAGGAGAGACAGCAATGCAGGATTCCATAGCGAGTGTGGTAACTAGACATGAGAGCGGGGGCAAGACCGAGGATACGCGAAAACCCGAGAAATATGAGATCGACTGGCGATCATCAAGAAACAGGGAAGACGTTGAGGCGGACAAGAAAAGAATCATAGGGTCACGTCGTGTTTAGGAGTCAGGTCCCGGAACAAGTAGGTCGTAGTGCAATGAAGAAGCAGGCATCCGGGTATCACCGTAGCACGTTCAGCCTCTGAGCTAGTTTTTGAATCAAATCTTCATCAACGCCAAATTCCCTGGCGATGTCGTTGTACTGGTTGAGAGCGGGAATAGTGCTGTGAAGGCTAGGAACGGAAAAAGTGGCGTATGGACTAGGGGCAGGGATATCGTTGTCACGGATAAAGATGCCGCTGTCAGTGCGGAGGTGCCCGCCAGGTAGTTGGAAAGCAGGGACAAACGGCGGAACAGAAGGTCTCACTAGGCTGGAAAGCATCTGGGCTTGTTGTGGCGCAAAGGCTGTGGATAATGGCGCTTAGTAGTAGTTCCAAAAATATCAGTGAAACAATACCTTGACAAGTTACCGCAGCTTGAAGAAGTTCATCCAACAAACGGGATCCTTCCGTTATCGCATTCCCTACCCCTGTCATGAGAAGACCCAACGCCGCTACGAGATGTCAGATCACAGCTGTTCAAGTGATACGAGAAACTCACAGTAAGTCAGATCTGTATGAAAAGGACGTCAGAATACTGCTTGAAGCATGGCTGAGATGGAGAACACGTACTAAACAGGTTATCTCGGAGGTTGTTGGTCCAGAATACTCTACCATCAACGTTCGTGGGGAACTTGGATAGGATGCTAATTAGGAAATGGAATGGAAGAGAGGGAACTTTCAGGAAGTGCGACTATCAAGAAGCCTTGATGAGCAACACAACAAGCGAAACCAAAATAACATACATCAGGTGACTGCACAAGATGCAACAAGGCCTTGAGTTCCCCGTCGGTCATGATGCCGGTCTCGAGCGCCCCCCTGATCTGATCATTCCTCAAGCCAGTGAGTGATGGTCTGGAGCCCTCGAAGCCGCCTTTCCATGTCGGGAACAGCTGCCAAATATTGTCAGAGTTACAGAGGTTTTATATCACGAACGTCATACAGAACGCATCAGCTCTTCCTGCGAGCTGCGAGTGACAGTGACCCCCCGTGCACGCTTGCCTTTGCCGAGGACAGAGTTTTGCACGCCACGCAAAGCAGCCCTCGCGAACTCCTCCGTGCCAAATTCAACAAATGCATGACTGAGGGTTTTACCCCGCGGATCCAATAGAACATGCACTCGGACGACGGGCTGCTTGAGCCAGGCCATGATAGCTGGCGGAGTTATATCCTGCGACAAATCAGATGCGCCACAAAGCCGGAAGTATGGACCCACCCAAGGCACATTGTCAACGCGAAGAACCACATTTTCGACTCTTTGTTGCTTAGGGGCTGGGGTAAAGTTGGGAGGGGACAAATCCCGTTGAAAATGGACAGCGAGTTGGTCCACGTGTGGCGCAAAAGCTATGGGCTCAAAGCTGGGTAAAAGAGGTCTGTTGGCTCTGACAGAGCGTCGTTGCAAAGGAGAAGAACTGCCATCTAGTGGAGTGAAAGCGGATGGAAAATTAAAATACTGAGGTGAAGATGAGACCATTGAGCTTTCATCAAATGGCCGGTTTTGAAGTTGGAAATCTATGACGGACTCCTTGCAAACAGCGCATTGCATGGCTTTTTCGCCGACAATGTTGAGAGCGCTTGTAAGGCATCCTGAACACAGAGGGTGCTCGCACGGCTTGAGGATTGCAAACCGACCCCCGTCGCGACCGCAGACAGAGCAGGCCGTCGACGAGGGGACGGTGGCGTTCGACTGCATATTTGCTTGGAAAAACGACTCGCCGAGATGCTGTTGAACACACTCTGTGATCGTCGGAAGACTGGAACCGAAAAATGGGTCGTGCAGAGAGAAAGATTCAGCTGAAGGGAATGACTGAGGGTATGGTTCAAAAGTGTTCTCGTCGATGTCGAAGAGCTCGGTAGACATCTACATATAGAAAGCAGTGTACCGTATCAGCTAATCAATGGATACGGATCAGTGAGAAACGAGTCACTAACCTGCCCAAATGAAGGGCGCCGTCGCGTGTGCGCGGGATCAGTCGAGCTTCCTTTGAATTTCAACTGGCTGACGTTTGTTGGTTTTGGTGGCGGTGTATTCAGCACTCCGAGAGCGCGGCGAGCAGGGGTTCTGAGGGCATAGGGCGAAAGCGGGGTGCGAGGTGGTGCTGTACTGGAGATTGTCCGAGACCGCCGATGAATTGCAAGAAACGGAGGGGGTAGAAGTGCTGTATAGAAGACTATCAGTAGTGTTCAAATAGAGTATTCTAGGGCGGTGACAAACCTTCCTCGGTTACGAAACCTGTACAATTCATATCGGAATGGGTCAAATCACTGGCTAAATGCGCATATATGCATAGTAGGGCCCAATTAGTCCACGGAGCAGCGCAGCAGGACAGCAATAACAACCAAAGTTTCATAACGATAATGTAGTTGCATGAGTCACATGCAGCAATTAGCGGGTGTATGCGCACCTTCATCATCACCATAATTAGAGTCGTCTGCACTTGAGACCTTGATGCCGTTCTCATTGGCACGTGAGCGCCAATTCTCAGCGATGTCTGCGAGACTCTTGTCCACCAAAATTGCATCATTTTCGGCAGAAGGGGATGCCGCGTAACGTTTATTAAAACTAGAAGCTGATCCTGGAGTGGTTATAGTTGAACTTGATGCAGTAGAAAATGAACGAAGGCTCAATGGTGTGTATGGAGTGGAGTAGGTGCTTGCGGGGGTAACTGGCGATCGATACGAAGCCTTTTGAGGGCGGACTAAACGTTGGGGAGTCACTGGTGCCGCAAATAGCCGCTCTGATCGATTCAGACGAGTACAAGCGGGTGAGGTAGGGGCAGAAGCGGGTACAGTTGGGACTGAAAGCGAGTGCTTATGCATGGTGACTATTGGTATCCATGTAACCAACGCACGGTAAGAAGCAAGGAAACAAGAAAGGCCATTGAAAACAAACACCTTTGTTTGTCCAGGTTCGCAGTAAAGGAGGCTATGCACGAATGAAAGAAACACCAGAAGTCTTGGTGGCTCAGAACAGGATGTTACGGTTGCCCCTTGCAACGATGGAGTCCAATATTTTCCTTAATGATACGAACCTTTTCTTGCAGTGAATCAAAGGCAGCTGGTAGATGATGATCGTGGTTAGGAAGAGAGATGGTGTCCCGACTCCCGACTGACGACCAAAGTGAAAATAACAAGCTGAACTCGAAAGAAACTAATACAAGCCAAAGCGTGTGGGAACATGCCTTATGACGGGCGCGTCGCGTAACAAGTCACGTGCATTCTGACCTATTTACCCTGACGCCGCCGTACCTTTCTAAATGGCTTATGTGCAGATCAAATCACCACGTATTCCTGTGTTGAGCTCTTTTAGCGCTGATTTATCTATGATCTCATATGAAATATATCAAACTCTACCGTTGTCGCGGATGAAGCTATTCTAACAGCCATTTCATATGTTTCGCACATATTTTGAAACATACCTCACCAACTAGAAGCCACATCTATTGGCACCTATCCAAAACAATTCTTACGTGAGTGTCTACGTTCTCGAAAATGCGAAATATCCAATAGACCTGCAGCTGAGCGCTGACTGGTCGGACCCGCTTACCCACCGATACTGGAAATTTTAATTTGCCAGCTCGCAAGCGTCTTCCAAAGATCTCGAAGGAACGCTAAAACTTGCCTCCAGCTGATGCGCTAATGATCGGTGCGTTTGCAGCTGGCATGCCCAGCCCTTCACCGTGTCGCCTCTTCAAATCATCCACTTCCAAGAACTAGAACGTAGTCCGATGACAATGGGATTACATGCAAAAATGCGGAGGCCGCTGCTGTATGTATATATCCGGAACTTCGGTCCCTTCTTTCATGTCATCCGTGTTTTTTCAGCGAGTGCGGTCGCAAGACCATGTTTTTTATGATCATGTTGAAAGAATTTCATGTACGTCCAAACACAATATCGGTGTCCGAGAGAAACGTCTCCTGACTGTACTCCTTAGAGTCAAGCAGCCATCCCCAACGGGTATAGTTGGTCAGAATGGCCGTCTCTGACCGAATTGGTATTGCACAAATGTGGTCTGCAATGATAACTCCGTTAAGCACGCAAGGCCCTCTCCACACGGATCCCACTGCACATCTTTATCAACTGCCGATCCCGTTGGTGATCAGGGCCTGCAATGCGCGCCGAGATCGATTTCTGAAATTACCTTAGTGACTGGCCATCCATCCACAAGTTCGAATCGAACGGATAAGTTATCACTCGTTCCTGACAATCGTGAGTACGGGTCCAGGTTGCCTGCCCCTGACTCATCTGATTCATAGAGTGACAAATAGGAGCTGACGCAGGTGCAGCTGAGCCCCCGTGCATTAAAGTCCTGAATATCGGAGCTGTGGGCAATTGGTCACCCACCTAGCCGTATATATGCATATCACGGGTGACGGAATCATGTCAACAGGTCGCCAGTGACAGGATATAAGTCGGCGGTCAGCTGGCGCTTGTCAGCCCAGCCTTGACTTATATACTCGATGAAGACTAGCCAGGTTAGAATACTGCTGTGGGCCCATTGGGGCCTCCGAACTTACCCTGCGATAGCCGATCCGCTACGTGCGGAAGCAATGGATGTGGGTAACAGCATATATGGCGTACATTCCAAGAGTGAACAAAAGTTCAAGCTAAAGATAGGGTATAGGTTGGTCATATTTGGACATAACGTTTTGACTAGAATCACCACATACACAAAAGTGGGAAATCCAGTGAATATTTTGCTCCCTTGGGTGGAGCTGGTATCTTTGGTATAAAGAGGCAGTACATCTAGCAAGTGAACAATAAGTGTACAATGGAATGCCTCATTCGGTACTGAGGGGGATGAGAATGGTGTTACAAGAGTCCGAGGGGGAAAGGACAAAAAAACCCAATAAGATGATCCAAACTATGCCAAAAAAAAACAGCGCTGCCTACAAGTTCCAGACCCTTTGAGTGCCTTGACCAAAATTCAACTCCAGACTCTTTAGAGAATTCCACTCGTTTGAAGTAAGGAACTGTTCGACGGCATCTTGCCAATCCTCGAATTCGTCAGATGCGCATTCCCGTGTGAATGCATCCTGAGCAGCACACATTGCTGCGTTGACTATGGTGATCCGCTCGATTTCACAAGCGGTCAAGACAGTTGAGCATGGGAAGAAAGTCATCCAAAGCGACTCGTTCTGCATCCACGTGGAAGTTTGTAAGAATAGGTAGAGGAGAAGCGATAGATTCATCCTCCGCGGCCATCCGGTCCTTTCCGAGGCAAGTGGATGGTTGGGATTCACCAAGAGGGATTCCTGTTTTGAATGACCGTAAAGCAGGGCCGCAAGCCCGAAGCCATGCCAAACAGGCCTTACTCTCCACTTCACCATCCCTGTACATGCTTCCAGAGAGTGATACACGCTCCAGCTGCGCAAGTTTTCCTTGCACACACATGTTTTCATCACAATCGATCCATACGTCCCTCAGATTAAGTGACTTGAGAGTGGGAAGTTTCAGGAGGCTGGGAATGCAGAGCTCTTCGCCGAGGATAGGGTGCGAAGGGACGTCGTGGTCATTGAGCACCAACGGAACGCCTGGGGGAGAGCATTTGTCTACATGCAACGCTGAACGAGTCACGCGGGACAGGGTGAGATGAGTGAGGGATGATAAGGACGCGGCGAGGGAGACTGCGATACGCTCAGACCTGTGTGGGGGACCAATCAGATAAAAGCTGTGCAATTAACATTGCAATCACATACACAGGCGTAGTTTCTTCTTGACCCCAGCAACCAATCTCGAATTTTTGGACCTGTTGTAAGAGTGGCAAAGACAGGTGTGATTGTGGATGCATCAAGTGATGCCGCAAGCGAGAGTGATAAGGACTGCAGGTAGGAACAAGTGGCGAGAATGGTTGCAAGGTCTTCTGTGCAGTCGACTTCTTGCACGAGTGCCTTCTCGGCGGGTTTTGTGCAAATACTAAGACGCCTTATATGAGCGCCGTATCTGGCTGGTACGTGGGTGGCGAATGATCGCAGAGCCGTACGAGATGAGATTGTGACATCGGAAAATATTTGAGGTACGAGAAGGTTATATGAAGATCGAGAGGTACGTGAAAGAGCACGAGTATCTTGAGGAGGGAGGAAGCGAGCAACAGCTAGATGCAATTCGGTTGGGAGGTTGTTCCAGTTCATGATGGATGGATGCTGTTGGGGAAGATGGGATGGGTATTTGTACCAGGCTGTCGATATTGGCATCTTGTGCGGATCAAGTTAGCAATAATTGCAAAGTGCTAATCTCCATCTTCGTCGGGGGGAGCAGTTGGAATGACACTACTCGCGCCTTTTCGCATTCCATGGTATTCGGCGTTGTAAGCCATAACTACTAAACTTCTCTCCGAGATCAAAGGAGAACTTCCATGCCCTAATCCAGATATCAATCCCACGCTTCCGCAATTCCCCGCCAACCAGCTTCTGCCGCGGCGCGCGCTGCTGTGTCCTTGTTTATCGGCCATCTAGCAGTCATCATCCTAGGAAACAACCAAGTGTTAATGTTATGTTCATTTATCCGTGAGACCGAAGATCATCATCTACAGCATGTGGCTATAATTGTCTCCACGTTAGCATCAGCTCCAGCGCAGTGAAATCATTAATATTGGTGTCACCTTTCAGCGGCGTTTGAGGCGTGAGGTCACCAACAACGTCTAGATCTCAGATGCAGAGGGGGTACTTGTGAGCAAGTGATTATGTCCGGTGCCACACACTCACGTCACCAATAATAGTATCCTAGACTAGTACTCCATCTCACCTATGTATGTCCGTCTACTGCGCTGTACTGACATAAACAATCACGTGCAACCCCGTGGTCAAGGGTCGCCCCTGTCGACCCTGCCTAGACTGGCCTCTCTGGAGCTGCTGTCACCGCTGGGTTTCGCTGCCAGGCTAGCATCCCCCTCTGTCACGTTGATTGTTTGACAACTATTCATCAGACGATGCCCCAATCATTCTCATATATTGAATCCTCCGGGCTTTGGCCTTCACACTGCCTTTTTGTTTGGTCACTACGGTCTAAATCACCAAATCAACATTGTACGATCCCATTTCTCGATCGTGACTCTGGAGTGCTACGATACTGCCAGATCAGTGGTTTCGCGCCTTTCTCTCGGGTCCGGCGTTTGAGCTCTGGCTTCGCCTCGGGCTTTTGGGCAGAAACACTGATATTATCTACTTGGAGTTTCGTAACCAAGCAGTGGCCTTCCTTCATCATTGTTCTCTGTGATGTCCAGAGCACTCGTCAGTAGCCGCTATTACCCGAAATCGCACAGGTGGCCGTAGCCAGAAAAATGCTGAATAGTCCTCACCGCTGACCAACCGGCCCATATATTGCCGCTATTGCTCTGCATCTTCCAGGCTCCGGTTACTGGGACCAGCAAGCATATTTACTAGAGTAGGAACTACTGGCGCCTATTGGAATCCTGCTCCACTCCTGATCCCTAGTGGGGCGGGTAATTTTCCCCAGATGGAGTCGGCCATATTGTCCTCCTCAGGATCGACCGAGCGCTCGCCATCGGTGACAGTTTAAAATAAGGCCCTGGTCAATCCTGTATCCTGTATTTCCATTGTCGACTGACACGTTACATGACTTGCAGTATAGCAAATGCTACACTCTCCGATACGCTCCATACGCAAAATGCACATTTTCCGGAATCAGCTGTACGTTCCGCTCAGTTTCAGAGCCTCACGATTCGGCCTTGCTGTATACATTCGCCGACAGCAACGCATCGTTGTCGACATTGGCAAGTTACCTTCAGTATCGACGATCATTTATGGTAAGGTTAGTACCGGTTTTGGGTGCCGTCGGGATGCCAATTGCACAGGTTCACCATTTGCCTGAGTGACCTAGAACATTAATATTCTCCACCACTCACTACACACGATGCGTATTGTACGGAGTTGACCGACCGTCGTAGTTCATGTGATGTCAAGCTGCTCTGATGCTGGGAGAATGTTGTTTTTAGTGACGCCACGATCATCAAGAAGTATTTACCACTCGGTACCTGGTTTCGTCCTCGTTAACGTAGCACCTGGTCTTCGAACTATTCTATCACTCGCTTCGAGAAAAATTACTGTGAGTCAACTTCCATTCGTGTGAGCACAGATCCGGCACACCCATTGCTCTTCCGCATAATGCATCGCCATACCTCGATCGAATACTAAACTTGCCTCTTTTGGGATTTCGCACTCCGCGTGTAAAACATTCGAGTTTCATCTTAATCATGATGAGCTCGAGTCTATCACAATTATAGGCAATATTGACACATGGCTGCTGAGAGAACGTTTCGTGTACGAAATGACTCCAGGTGGCTCCTTCGTAATATCACCCGTGCTAACCACATGCCATCCATTAATTTCTGAATAGTCCCATACGGAGCAACAGCGCTGGCCTAGTACTAGTAACTCCTCGCGTGCTTTCCCAAACCTGGCTCAGCGTCCTCGGCTTACGTCCATCCTAGACCCTACACTTTAATCACGGGCATCATCAAGCCCTACTCGCCGAGTTGGTCACTCCGTAGCTTCGCACCGATCGATTGACCGACTACTTAACAAGTACAACTCGATTCGTATCTGAATGCTGTGGAGCCTATCACCTCACCGATCATCGATCATCTTCAAATTCCGGCTTAAGATTACGACTTTTCACATGCACGTCCAATGCCCATCTCTACGTGTTCCGTACGTCAGAGGCTATGCAGATACGAGCACCGCATCCGAGCGTAAATTGCGTATCGATTCGATTGTCAGAGTTTGAGAACTGACCTTCATACCCGTTCCCTCTGATAGTACACTGATCAGGTACTAGTCCACTATTGTCTAAATGCCCTGATTCTCTTCGTTAAAACCGCCCATCACCTTAATTGACTAGTTCTCGTAAACGAGGCGAAGTTGAATTAAGGGCGGAAAAGAACATGCACGCACTCCGAACGTATAGGATCGAGGTTGTAAAGTCCACGTATGCAAATAGACGACACTACGATGGCGAATCCTTCGCGACCTCAGTAGCGGAGAGATCGGGCTCGAGTTGCCTCGTTGGGTTTAGCTGCTTCTTGACGTTGTAACTCGCAGCATGTGTGACTCTTGAGCTTGAGCGCTTGAGCTTGAACGATGGAGTTAACACACATGCCCCGGATCCTGTTACACTCCCCACCTTTTACCCTATCAAGTGTTTGGCGGTACAAGCAGAGGATCGGATCGTTGATAAGAGCGGTGCATCTGGCCCATCTGGATCTATGATATATCAATTCCCACAGGGGGCTCGTGTCCAGAGACTGCGACTTGTGCATAGCTCATCGGCCTTGTGATATAAGCCAATCTCATACTAACTACTCATTTTCAAACCCTTTCATTTCGAACAAGATGTGAGCATCAAACGTATTGCTTTGAGTAATATTGACGCTCATTTCAGCCATCAGAAGACTCGTTCGATCACACCTGAGCGTCGAGCGGTGTGTTTCGTTGCGTGGCGATTTTGCTCGTACAGGATCCTAAAAGTTTTCGGTCTGTGTGTCACCGCAGTCGTCATAGTTCTTGTGACTGATTTAGTGATTGAAATGATGACGGACAACAAATAGACAAGAACGAATCAGACACAGGATGTTTCAATGAACAAACGCATCTTGCTAAGATCCAAGCCCAGTAAAGATCAACAGGATGCGTGTCGATATAGATCGAAGAAAATTGAGCCTGCAGATTTTATTGTCTGTGTTTCAGGGTCTTTTGAAAAAAAATTTCAAGACGAGAAGGATACAGGTCGAAAGGAAATTTAGATCTTTAGGTAAGTCACCCACTCCAATGTATGCGTTGAAAGATTGGACTGGACCAGGAAAACGGTACCGATACAGATCTAAAACCATGGAATGAATTATAAATGAGTATCGCTGTGGATTACTGGTATTAGGGAAGTAGTACTATAGTGAGATATCCGCTTAATATCCATTGCAACGCTACTTCACGGCCTCGCGCTATTCAGCCTCGTTCGCTAGTATTCCGCGCCGGTAGTTATCATGATCATTATCACCACTTTGAGTTGTGCCAGATGTGCTGAGCTATAAAAAAAGCCTGTGAGCATAGGACATAGGGTATATACGAAACTCACCTTGGCTGCAGCTCTGACTCTGTACACCTAGTATACAAATAAGGATACATCAGTAGAAGTAAACAGACATGAAACATAACAAAAAACCAGGACATGCCTTTCTCGCTAATATTCGACAGGTCCCTCTAAAACATTGAGAAGACACTGGCGGGCTTCCCTTGATTGCCCTTTGATTGCCACCTGAGAGCACACGTTCCTACGACATTGATAGGGTAAGCTATAGTTGTTGTTACAATAGTAACGACCTACCGTGCTATGACCTTTGAGCCCACTCGCATTGGTTTAGTACTCGGCTGCCGTTTTTTCGTGGCGTTGACTGGCATTGCCGCCAAAAGCTCTGCGAAAGATGCTTGGTCAGCCAACCGTCGATAGCGCCGGCATCATCCGTTCACTGCTTTGCCACTTCAGAAGGCCAGTGTCCAAATAGCTTCATGGACGGTTGTATACACACGGTACTTATATCAGGCCTCATAGACGCAATCTCTGGTAGCTCCTAGCCGTTCTGACACGTCCGACAATGTCTACTAGCTGGTCATGAGTTTGTGTGTTGACGTCGACATTCGATAGGTATGCGAGGTCAACGAGTACTGAGAGATATCATTCAGAATCGGCGACGCTGTTGCAGGTGCTTTGAGAACGCACTGTCATGATCCTATGTGAGGGACAAGGCTGTAGACAATGGTTTGAGATGGTGCTCCCGGGGACTATGATGTGTTGAGATAGAGATTTTACTGCAGACAGAATGGCAGAGGACTCGGGCTTGACAATTGTCCAAGCACCAACGACCGTAGAAGTCGCCACACGGGAGAATGAAACTCGCAGTGAGCGCGTGAATCTCGTTCGAACCGTTGACGACAAACCGAAGCCCGACGAGTATAGTGGCTTGACCAGTGATCAAGGAGACGTAGGGGAAAGGCACCAAGAATTCGAGCTCCTCTTCTCAAGGACAATACCGGCAGTCACAGTGAGTAAATCAACTGCTCGCCGCTCCGAGCTCGTGGTTGTCGTGTTGTAGCCCGCAGGAGATACAGTCGCAGGCCAACTTGAAGCACAAGGAAATGATTGCATCAAGCCAGGGTCGTGGCATGGATGAATAACGTGGTGGGTGGATGATTCGGAGGAGATACGCGTTGTTCAAGCACAGTGAGATATAATATAACCATAATGCAAATGTGTAAGGCACAAACTATGGACTTACACAATACCATACACATATGTACAGACGCATCTGCAAACTATGCGATCGAAGTCTGTATTTTTGAACTTTGCATGGGACATGGTCTCGAATTCTACCTAGCAGACGTTATCCAAGTCTAGTTGACTTAGGGCAGGTTTGCTGTGTTGAGGAAGCGTGAGAGCATTTGCGGCACTTGCCGCAGCTTGAATTTGGGCTATAGGCGATACCGACGACAAGCAACGTCCGACGACCTCAAGACACCTCGGAACTTCACAACATGGTAAGTCACTTCTGGCCATTTGCGAGACCTCATATATTTCGTGTACTCGAGCACCGTCTATTTCTTCTCGGAGACGCGATGGATTGGTATCAACTGTTCCAGATACATTGACTCAATCACTCCCTGCAGACCAAGAAAAGAAGAAATGGCGGCCGCAACAAGAAGGGTCGTGGCCACGTCGGTTTTGTTCGTTGCTCGAACTGCTCTCGTTGCGTCGCAAAAGATAAGGCCATCAAGCGCTTCACAGTGAGGAACATGGTTGAGAGCGCGGCCGTTCGAGATATCAGTGAAGCCAGTGTCTACCCAGGTGAGATCATTTGAATTCATTATCTATACAGGATCTTATATCTTTGTAACAATGCTAGAATACGTGATTCCTAAACTCTATATCAAAATTGCATATTGTGTATCCTGTGCTATTCACTCGCATGGTGCGTATCCTCAAAACGTTCTATTGTAACACCTGTTCATCTTGTCCATCACCTCTAGTTGTACGTGTACGGTCACGCGAAGGCCGCCGCAACCGTGCCCCTCCCCCACGTATTCGGTGGAAAGATGGCAAGAAGGTGAACCCTGCGGTTGCTGCCGCAGAGGATGCCAAGGCAGCTGCTGCAGGAAAGGCATAAGGCTGAGCGATATCATCAGTTTATGTTTTCCCGCTACCGTTAGGGTGTGGGTCTTATAGCTTGCTATTTTCTCACCTTTGCGGTAGATTTTGAGATCCTGCAAAACCTATGCGATTACTCGATCTGTGTCTAAATCAAGTGACCACGATCGTTCTAGAATCTAGGCTGGCGGTTTCAATGTACATTTGTCTTGTGTGCCCCTTTCGCGTTTGTCTCTCGTCCCTTGTCCCGCAATCGCTGCCTACCCTTGCATCGTTGTATCCCTCATGTTGGCCTTCATTGGGCTCCTTCCTGTTAGTGCCTCATTTGAGCTCAATATTCCTCATGCCCTCGTGTCTTCTGATGTCGATCGCTTCGTTGGTCATTTGCAGGCCGGTGAATGATTTATCGAGATCCTGACTGCTTGTTATGAGAATCGCTCGCTCACCACCGACGTGGAATTTGAAGTGGCCACGGTATCTTGCATGTTGTCATCGGTGTGCATTTCATCAGTGCATGGCGTGAGGTTGTTTGCGGTGACAATCAAGTCATTCATAATCCCCATTGCCCGTCGCCGTCGCCGTCGCCGGTACGCAGAGGCAATCACTGTCTAATCAATGACGCGGGAGGGCCAGCATATTTCTCGTTCCATACAATAGGGACCGGGAAAGTGACCATCCAATGAATCCTGAGACGTACGCTGACGAGGCTCATAACGTCGGTTACCATCGATGAGGAACTCGTCGTCGTCGTCAAGATCAGTTTTTCACGATATTAGGTAGGGTGTGTTATATGTGAAGCTTGGCATGTGCATGCGAAGGGCGCCAAGTGAGTCCCCTATATATATGTCAGCCTATAATAACTAAGTCATGTCCGAGACTCTCCCACCTACACGACTCCGCGATCCATGCTTCTAGCACATGTATCTTTTCGAGGATCCGAGCGCGGTGTTTGGCTCCTGTGTCCTCTGTGCACGTTGTTGTGGTTCACGTTCGCCATCCCCGCGGGAGCTCGAGATGTAGCAATTCAGCTCTCCCCGTCCCATTGCCGGTGAGAGTCAATATGTGCGTGTGATACTTTGTTAGAGACTGTCTGCGTGTGTCAACACCATCAGCATTGACACCAAAACCACACAGAGACGCACCATAGCAATCAATGTCATCCCGATGCTTTTGCATGCTCGTACATGTGGCCTCGACGTCGGAGCTTACGGCAGATGTGCGTTCTGTTGTGTTTCCGATTAGATCAGATGCCAAGAGGGAGGCATGAGACTCACTGTCTAGAATCGCAAATTTGGGACGATGGTAGAAAAGGCAAGCCATAGTGAGCTGTTAACAAGGGTATCAGTATTAAAAGAAATGAACAGAAAACCCAAACTCACCCTCTGCTTCTCCCACCCGTTCATACATCCTTCCACTCCTTAATCGCATCGCACCTGCCAACTCTATCCACCAAATACCCAAGATGCACCATCTAGCAAGCTTTCAAGCTCTGACAGCACTGCAAAGGACGCAGTGAACTCGTGTACAGAGTGTGGGTATAGGACTTAGGCGTGAGTGTGCTGTCAGTTGGATGCTCAAAGGTGCCGTGACGGACCAGCCCTACTAGTAATTGAGCCCCTATCGAACAACCCCTAAGCGCCCAATCTAGAAGGACAAATCACGTGGGGAATGATCATGGCTACCTGCACCAGTCAACCACTCTCGCCAACTCTCTCCCACATACTACACACGCCATTTCGCCCGCTATAGATATGTATCAAATACCCGCGCCACAACCGCTCAGTTCTCCAGACCCACAGTCTCCTGGTGCGCTTGGCGATGAAGGAAAAGGGGCGATTAGAGATCGGGCTGAAGAGTCAGGAAATGTCGCGCCCGAAGACCATGGCAAGGGAAAGAAGGATGACTCGGAGCCTGAGGAGAATACGGCAACCACGAGCCAGAAGAAGATGCGTTCCATCCCTGCACGCGCTCCATACTTCAGACATCGCATCTGGACAGAGTTGGTGCTTAGATCAGCACTCGGCGTCTCGAAATCAGGCTCCAACACCAACTAGGCCGTTGGGAGGCGTTCCTTGAGCAGGCGGAGAAGCGGTTGCGGATGTACACGAACATCTCGGTCTTTGTGCTATTCTCCTCCGTTCTGTTCATCGTGCTATCATTGGCCACCAGTTACCATTTGCGATCGCTCTTCGTTACCATGCTCATCTCATCTCATTCCACAATGTATAGTGTCTACGTTTTCCCCATGGTTCATGTCATAAATCACGAACAGATCACTGTGAGTTATGATTTAATTTATCTACTATTTCTTACCCCTGTCTGGGTCCCTTAGCAGCTCACCTCGGATCAACCATCTCCACGTTTCCTGACGTTCATACTCTCTGCGGTGTCCTTTGTGGTCCTCTGGAATGTGTTGGCCGAGATAAGTTTAGTGGTCAGTCTTATCATTATGGCGTGGCAGGAGCACCTTAGTAGAAAACTACGGGTCTTTTGTATTGTCTACATCGTTCTGGTCGTTACGGTCTACCTAGTCGCTCATTTCCCTCTACGCCGCATCATGACACAACCCACAACCAACAGCGTAGTATAGCATTTCCGTCCTGTCATTCTCGTATTCATTGACGATCTCCCACAAGACGCTAGTAGGAATCAATTGTGCTTGCCTGGACCCTCCGCTGAAACATCTCCAACGTGCAAAACTCTGGCGAACCTGGTAAGTGCTTCCCCTTCTCGGCGCACATCGACAGCACCATGTTCGCACTCTTGTAGCGTATACGGACATCTGCAAGGGGTCATGGAGGCTTGTTCTCAATTCGTATTTGGATACTCATAATGTTCGTCCTGTCGTCTCCAAACTGATGAAAGCACGCGGAGGCCCGAAAGATTGCTTTGTTGTGAATTCGGGGTTCATTTTCGGAAGAGCTCGAATGTTACTGATGGAGTGAATGGTGGCCACCTTGCACGCGAGAAGATGAGGATTATTAGTATGAAGACGAAAAGTGCTGGGACCGACGAGCTTGTCATCGAATACATCGAATGTGCATAGCAACGCTGCAAGCGTCGAGTCGTGCGTAGTGTGCACGAGGATTTTTGTTGGGTCTTGCGTTGCATTTTTTTTCTGAGGCGTCTGCAAGGAGGCGACCCATCCCTAGTCGGCGACCGTCTTTTGATTTGACTGATGATCAATAGAACTTGAGCTGAACTTTCGGTGAATATAAGGAAGCACCCTTGCGAACTAAAGGTCGACCAATACTCGTGTGCGGATGTAGAGTAACAGACTAGGGGCTTACTGTCAAATTACTCGACTGCTACAGCTGCTTCCTAGGGACTCACGAGTGAGTGGAGAATGCGATGAAGGGATGAAGTTATCGCACAATTAAACCAATAACATTATCATCCATGAATTCTGGTGTAACTCGGAGGTCGTGAACAGCTGCCAAGCGTACCTTTGAAAAAGCACTGAGTTCAGCTGCGTCTGTCCTGCCCTGAAAAACATACTGTATCAAGGATCCCCGAAGCTCGAGGAGTTCCATCAAGGCGTAATGGCCTACTGTCCATATACCTTGAAACTTCCTTTTACAACGGTTCTAAACGCGAGTTCGAAACAGCATCAGCAGCTGGAACATATCAGACAAATCTGCGGAATACTGGTCAAAAGCATGTGATTACCTTCAGCAAACTGCAATTCTAAGAAGGTCAGTTGCTTGCAGGCTAAGGTATTGCTGACGAGATTCTCATTACTGAAACCAAAGATATCGTGGGTAACGAGTTCGCGTTTGACTTCTGTGACCTGTGCGAAAACGTACCGTATAATGATAGAGGGTATCGTACCCGGAGCGCAAGCAGATAGAGGGTACACTCCGTGGACTATGTACTGCAGAGATTCGATCGTCCGCGCGATGTTCGTAGAGCTGCGTGTGAGAGCTTCATCAGGAGTCGCGAGACGAGGGTGAATAGACTTACCCGAAGTAAATCAAATGCTCATCCTCGAACTTTGGGGAGAATTTTCAATCTTCGGAAAGATGCGACTCGGATGAGATGAAATCAAGAAGCTGCTCGGATGCTCACCCGTCTACATAGAGGCTTCGCAACGCGGCCCCGAAGGAATATGTGGACTGTTCTTAGACGCGTAGGCCAAGCAATCGGGTGTCGCACGAAACCCTCTCACCTTTTTCTGATATCCGTGAGCTTCCCTAAACCGTATTGGAATGTGTGCATCACGAGTAGCCATATACGCAGATTAACGTACCATAATCCCTCAGTTGTCTTGCCATGCCTGTTCTCGACAACATTCCTATACCACAATCTGTCATCTATGGTAGGACTATGTCCAGCTACGGTCTCGTGAAAGCGTTTCAGTGTTGCACGTCTGCCAGTCCGCTGGTATAGATGCTGGAGGATCCGACATGCGCATTCTGACCAGCGTACGTTCGGCTAGAGTAGAGTATGCATGGAAATGGCGCAACTTGGTGTGAACGCGAACTCGACACGCCATGCCTCACGCAGTATACGTGCACTTGTTCATTGAAGGTTCAATCACGGGTAGCTTTCGACGTCAAGCGGAACCAGTCCGTCTTGCATTTGCTGCCTCGTTATTCTAAGTCGTCGCACTTAGAGAAGTTCGCGTTGCACTCCCACTGCGCCATCGCGTCCATTATAAGCTCCCAAGTGTGAGGGTCCCTATCAAATGTGTGTATATAAGGGTTTGATGCGGAATGTTGGTTTTCATGTGATGAATCTAGTATAAACCCTAACCTTAGCGATTACACAGCCTACAGAAACTTGAAGACAAGTCCAACGTCTGTAAATTTTAAGCCTCGGCTGATGCTGAATAACAGTGAACAATTTAAAAAAAAATCAGTGCTTCAACTGAAAATGCACAGTGGTCATTCCACTAGTGGCTGTTGAAGGGTTATCGTAAAATTTGTTGGAGGACGTTGTCCGTCTCTAAATTCACCTTGTTCGAGTTGATTTTAATTGAGACCCAAGTACCAGTCGCCACATGTGAAATGCTGAGTTCTGTTTGTCCAAACAAGCCTGACTGAAAATCTCTCTCAAGACCGCAATGCTCTTGTCGAAGTGTCTCCACAATACAACAAACAATAAACGCGCGGTCAACATACAGGTCCGTGCGCTGTGTGGCAGGCACACTGGTCGGACTTTGAAGGTGTAGGGCCATTCAACAAAACTATCGCGTCGAGACGAACCACCCAACATATCCTCTTTTCGCTTCCACACTTGAAATATCTCAGATTCAACACTCTCAGCGATGTCCGACAACGAGGGAACCACTAAAAAGAGCGGTTATCGCCTGGAATACGCGACTTCTGCCAGATCCAAATGCAAAGGTGCGGCATGGCATATTACTTGTTGACTTTGCGTGTTGTTCATACAGTTTCATTGACAGGTCCCAAACCCTGCGCTGGTGTGCACAGTTAATTGTAATAGTATCTTCCATCATCTAACATTTACTACAGGCAGTCCAATCGCTAAAGGAGAGCTTCGTGTTGGCTCTGTCGTCGATTTCAGGGGGAACACCAGCTAGTGAGTGACATATCATACCCAGAGATTGCCTTCTAACAATAGTTCGGCAGCTCATGGCGCCATTGGGGTTGTACGACCGCCAAGATCATATCCAACATGAAATCTCAATTTGAATCCGCCGATGAGCTCGATGGTTTTGACGACCTCAAAGACGAAGACAAAGAACGCCTCCGCAAGGCATGGGAGGAAGGCAAGGTTGCTGACGAGGATATCCCAGAAACAGCAAGGAAAGCCCCTGGAGAAGAGGCTGAAGAAGACGAAGAGAAGCCCAGGAAGAGGGCACCAGCAAAAGCCAAGAAAGACGCAGGAGGAGAGGATGGTGAGAAGCCAAAGAGAAAACGTGCACCTGCAAAGGCCAAGAAAGTAGAGGACGAGGGAGATGAAGATGCTGAAGATAAGCCAAAGAAGGCTCCTACGAGGAAGCCTCGGGTAAAGGTACAATATTTTCAGAACTCTCGATGTCTTAATTCTCACTCTATCTTTCACAGAAAGCTGCTGCTTCGTCAGACGCTGAAGATAAAGGAGAGTCTGAGGAGAAACCCAAGAAGCGTGCGCCTGCGAGAAAGCCTACTGCTGAGAAGAAAGTAGCCGAGAAGAAGGCTCCAGCAAGAAAACGAGCTACTAAGAAGAAAGTATGTATCAAACTAGTTTCTGCTCCACATGAACTCATCTTTGCATGATTTCTAGGACGAAGAGGAAGAATCCGGTGAGGACTTTGCAGAGGCAATTGCCGAGGTTCAGGAGGAGGAGGAGGATGCAGAAGAGTCTAACAAGAAGCGCAAGGTCGGCAGGCTTCTGTTCTCCCGAAGGGATTGACTAACTTCTTTGTAGCGACCCGCTTCTTCGAAGCCAGCATCCACTGTCAAGAAAGCAAAGGTAGCTTCCAAATCAAAGAAGTCGAAGGAAGTTCTTGAAGAGGAGGAAGACAACGAGTAGATCCTTTATCCTTATGGCGGCCTTTTTTATCCATTCCCTCGAGTATCCACGATTTCACGCATTCATAACGTTGCCAGCTGTTGATGTAACTTGTTTGAATTCTCTTGTATGCTGTTGAGTAATTTAAGCCTCGCATTGACTGTTCAATCGTGCATCGATGAGCTTAGGTCCGGACCCCAACTGTTCAAATGCGCACCATCACACCTTTATTTTGCTCTACTAAGCATATAGATCTCGAACTGTACCATCTAGCGCCACCCTACTCCAATCATGACCATGCAGCACCTCTCCGCGCTCATCCAGCCGTCCAGCGAGCCAAACTGCACCATCCAGCCCTACACCCTCATCTTGGTGCGTCTTGGTTCCTGGAGGCTAACAAGAACGAGCGACAAGCGTGCTCGACATTGTTCGAGAGATTCTGTTGCCCCCCACTCGGTGACTAGCGTCGAAAGGACGCGGAACTTATGAAAATCGTTTGTGGCACTAACTGTAGCACTTTTTTTTTGAGTGGAATTAACTTCGATGACATTGACTAGTGTCACTATTGGATTCATAACAATGTCGTCTCTAGCCTCGCATGTAGGGTGCCCTCGTGGTCTACATACTCAGTCGTACTACAACAGCACAATGTCAGTCAGTACGAGTTATTAATGAGAAGTCTGTAAGAAATGCCTCCTCGATTGATAAACAGACTTACTCGTGCATTACCCAATCACCCAGCTTTCGTGATATGCGCCAAGTCATATCGGGAGGAGACACATAGGCAGTGTCATCGGTGGATCTTCAGTGGTCATTGGCCATCGGAAGCACAAGGAGTAGAGTTCATTGTCATAAGATAATCAGTGCACCGGAATTCATGGAGTCAGAACAAATCCAACCTACCGCCAAGGTGCAAGGGCCACAAAGTCTGTGCCTATCAATGAGAATGGGATTTTCAGCGCGCCAGGTGGGGTTGCACGGCCAGGTTTCCGGCTGTGCGCCTCGATCAAAAGTACAGCTTTAAGACGCGCTGGATGGCTATACTGACGAAGACCAATCTCAGCGCTCCATAATCCATCGCTAGGCTGTCGCAAGATAAAGCGCAACCACCATATGCGTCCTGCAAGGGGTGCCATCACATCAATGAAGGAACAAAGCGACGGAGACGTGGACTACACACCCCCTGCAACAAATTCGACGTACCAAAAATTTTCAGAACTGGCGCGCAGGCGTTTTTGGAACATCCCGATTCGCAGAACAACATTGAACTGGTTGGTGGCTTCGTCGCATGCATGCACCCGAATCTTATCTGGCGGGCAACCTAAACAGTCTCTCAAACGCATGTCTTCGGTGTCTTCAGAAATACGCGTGAACATTGGATGGTCGTTGGTTACCATGCATGCCTTGAGCAAGTCGGACGAGCAAACAAAGGGATAAAGGGGAGGGGTGATGAATCCATGAAACGCCCAAAAAGCTTGTGGCCGATTATTCATGATTGCCCAATACAGTGCTGTGTGACCCTCAATATTGGGTTGTGTCAGGATGTTAGAGAACTCGGCAGCTGGGATAGCAGCAGCGCAGGTATTGAGATTTGAGGTCACAGAAGAAGGGGTGAAATTAGGGGCTAAGACAATATCACGGATGCGGGATAGAACAGCTGTACGTTTCTGCTTCATGCGACGAAAGGGAAATAGGGATGATTTACTACATCGAATGGGATCTGCTGAGATTGTTTCATGGTACGAAGGAGGCGTGGTAGCAATGGAACTACTGTCATCAGAGACTTCGGAATCGGTAGCCATCGATATCGTGGTAAGTGGTAGAGTGCCAAATACCTGTAAGCCCGCTGCTTACATGATACTTACATAACCCACCATGTGATCCTTCGGACCACTTATATCATCGTCCGACGCCCCAAAGATCTCTAGACTCGGGTCTCTTACCTACCACTACTGCTCTTTTGTATCACGCTCATAAAATCCACGGTTTTGTCATATTATTTCCGGTTCGATTCTTTTAGTGTTTCCCGCCGTTACCTCGGCGGGTCTCCAATACCACAAGATTGAAATACATAGGAGGTCAAATACGATGACCCCTGTCAGACAGTCGTTTTGAAGTTTTCGTCGTAATGACCGAATCATTCTGACTCGGAGCATGGGGCACTGTGATTAATACTGCAGGCAGGCTAGTGCACTATACTGATCACTGGTGATGAAGTTCCAGAAGGTCCTGAATCTTGAAAGGCCCATCTTGCAATGGATGTGATCCAAATTTGAGGTGTAGATTTTGCCCTGAGCATCCAGCTGGGCCTATTTTATTCCTCATTTGAAGCCATTAAATCCCGTATGTGACTGCACTACTTGTGTCAAGATATGAAAGAAAGATGAGCGGAGGACAGGACAAAAGTGCAGCAGTCAACTCATCATATGTGAAAGGTTGTGTCTTCGGACAGATTTGTCGCATAGAAACGACAGGTTCATGATGCCACTCTCAATGGAGCTTTCGAACAGGCTCAAAGACAGGAGGTTTGGGTCTAAGATAAAGCAGCATGTACGTAGGTGTGATATCTGTGATCATATAACAGTCTCAAGGGCCTCGCCATCAGCCAGAGACTCCCCCGACTCTGTGAAAGATCTCTGGAGAGCAGCGATCTCCTCGTCGCTCCTGAATAGCGTGCTCAGCTCGAATCTGTCATTGCACGCTATCCGGAACTCCTCGGAGCGTGGAGATTTCATTTCTTTCAAGTACGATAGTACCACGAATGCAGCCTGTCCGTCGTATGTGAATGGGTGGTTCAGATAGAAGGGGTGAACACGGACCTCGTGATCAAGTTGTACGGGCTCCTTCAACACTGTGAATAGTATAGAGTCAATTTCGTCTTGCGGTGCTTTCAATATTCGCGCGACTTTCGCATGTGCTACAATAGCCATCGGCAATGAAGAGTGTTTCTGGAGGTACTGGGAGTTGAACAATTCAAGGGAAACCTCTGCTGGAAGTAGTGAGGCAATGGACTCAGCAAGTACTGGTCCGACCGGTGCGGGAATTGGCTCGGGTAATGAGGAAACTGGGACTCCTGTCAGATAACAGCGTGAAGTTGCAATCAATCTTACCAGTGTTCCTCAGATGCACTATCCGCGAGTGCAAATCAGGATGTTCGGAATCCAGCGAATGGGCGCGCGTGAGCATCCTAACAGCTTGCAGGTATTTCTCTGTCGGCAAATCAGACACTTATCCCCTTGCTCCAGATTTCGACACTCGACTTACTTCGTCGAATAGCAACATCATATATCGCAAAGCAAATGTCCATATTTTGCGGCACAAGCTCTGATAGGCCTGTTAAATATTTGTCCGCGCGTTCGAGGGGATCCTCGGCCAAGACCAGTTTCAGGCCTTCTGGATCATCGTCTTTCGGACGGGGGGGGTCAAGGCCTTTGTCCTCGGATTGAGTGGCTGTGGCTGCGGAAAGAATGCGGTTGCGTAAAGAAGACAATGCGAAGGTTACAGAACGACGTGTTGATTCACCCTTTTTGCTGTTTGCACCGTCTGCTTCGGGCTGTCCCTTACGAGCAGCTTTTTTCGCCTTGTTAATGGCTTTCTTGGAGGAAACGTCTGAGGCGGTTGTTTCTAGGTCTGACGATCAGCTGACGACAATGAATTGCAACACATTACTCGCCTGCAGGTTGAAGACTAGGTCCGAGAGTCGCATCGTCGTACAATGCAACCCATATCTTCAGAGACATCAGGAAGTTGTCTATATATATACATGTCAAAAACTCACTTGAACGGTAGCAACTGCTGCATGAATAAAGCCTGGATGTGACCGCACATTATCCTCCCATTTCAACATCCTGGAAAAGCATATCATCAGCCAATTAAATCAAACACGTGGCGTACAATCCTGACTCGGTGTAAACATTGAGAATCGTTTTCCGTACAGAATACTGGTGGAATTCATACTGGTCTTCACGGAACGATTCGAAGACCTGCCGAGGGTCAAGCTTCCATGTCCAGACGAAGGCACAAACAGAGTGAGCTCACTTTCTGTATTACATAATACTTCTTTAAAGCAAGGTTGAGCTTGCCAGCCCGTCGATATGAATCACCCTGCTCGACAAGGTAATGCATTGCCTGCATCTCCTCCAGATCTACCGCCGCAGACGCCCCTCCCTAGGTCCAGAAATGAATGAACGACAAGAAGACATCTTCATGCCGTGTGGCACACTCACCCTCGTGAATTTGGAGAATATAGCGTCCGCTTCATTAACCATGCCAGCCCTCAGCAAGTACTTGCCCGTCTTTGTGTTAATAAACCTGTCCTGCCCATCCAACAGACGAGCATCATTCATGGCCCTCGCGGCGCCATGTGGGTCACCCGCCCGTTTGAGCACGCGGGCTCGTGTCATATAGAGCTCTGGCAGTGTCGGAGTATGTGTTATTGCAACATCCAATATTTCCAAGGCCTGTTTGTGGCGCCCTAGGTAGGAATGATGCTGTGCGAGGAGATATAGCGCCCACAAGTAAGTTGTTGGCTCAATAGAATCGCCGGTCGAAGGGGGTGAGGTCGCCAAGGTCGCACGAAACTCTTCCACGGTATCTTCGATTATTTGACGCTTGACCAGGTCCCCGTACAGTGGCTTGAGGTCAGCAAAGAGGGAGGGAATCCCTTTCGTGAGCGCGTTAGTCAGGTAGGGTTTGATGAGATCCTTGAATTCCTGTCCAGTGGCCACATGAAGAGCCAGTCGACGAGGAGCGGTAGCAAACTGGGCATTAAAGTAGCCGTGGAGCATCTCAAGCGCCTTTTCCCGATTTTCGTCAGTGACATTAGCTGGGAAACAGTCATTACACTAGATGAAAGTGTCGAAAAGTAGCACCCACCAAGGTCGATGCCTTGATTAGCAAGGAACCCTTTGTAGTACTCGTAGCCATCGGCATTTTGTGACAGAAGCCAGCGCCAAGCAGCATCTGCCTGTTCCGTCCAAGCGGTCTTTTGCTCATCATCCGCGTTGCTTTCCTTCAGCTTTGCCAATAAGCGAGCTGTAAAGAATGAATTTCTCTCAAGACAGAAGCGACATGTAGTCACACCTTTCACCTCCGTGCCCGCCATGCGATTCAGGACAGAGCCGCCCTTGGTCCTGTCATGTGACTCGAGCATGTCAACCGCGGATTGGAAGTCACCCATATCCTCTAGTATACGAATGTGGTACATCAACAACTCCGAGAATTCCACATCGTAAGATCCTACACTCTGCAGACACGTTATATGAGTGAGCAGATACAACGATGTAAACGCACGTACCCGAAGGAACCCTTCAATATATTCAAGAACTTGTTTTGCCTCAGGGAGGTTTCCATTCAGCTGATATGCGACCGCGAGACCAACCCAGTGATGTCGGTTGTAAGGCCGCAGGTGGAGGAGGTTATGACGAGTTTCTACCAGGCCCTCAAATTGACGCGTCTGCGTTTGAAGGACAGCAGTATCTCGCAGGATATTGAAGTTGTCCTTCATTCAAGCACTGAGACACGCCAGAACAAGCAAGTTACCACTTAAGCCCACCTTATCAAACTTCAACGCCTGGATGTACGACTTGAGTGCATCCTCGTATTTGTGTTCACTCTTCTGGATGAGCGCCCAGACGTGCCAGCAGATATGAGAAGACAGGTCCTTGCGCATGCCCTCCTTGACGAGATTGATGCCCTCATCACGCTGGCCAAGGTGCACTAGAATCAGACCCTTCATGCACATTGTTTCTGCAGCACTGCAAATCAGCTATGAAAGGTGCGAGCGTTAGTTCAGGTTGACGTACCACCATGTTCGGGATACTTTTTGAGTATTTGATCGGCCGTCTTCCTGCCCTTGGTGAGTTGTCTGTTTTCATACTGACTTAAGAGATCAGCAAATAGTTTCTTGTCCTTTTGTGCTAGAGTAGGTGGTGCCATTTGCTGGTGGTGTCCAAGTCGCTAAAGGCCAGCCTGAAGGGTATATGAGGTTCAGGGACGAGGCTGTTGCGTTTGCCTCACGTTGAGCGCGTGAAGAGTGCGTTGACGTTAGTTCGGAAGGTTTGTGTACTTGCTGTATGGAGAATGTTGACTGTAATCAACCTCATGGACCAGTGGAGGTACTCGTGCACCGTAAGATGGACCTCGGCAAGTTCGGCATATAAATTTCGAAGACACAGCTCTGGGAGATAGATTACTCATGTGTAGCACAGATTACGGTGTGGGGATACAAAACAGTACAAACGAGTAAGCAAGATAGACAAAAACTACAGCACAAAACTGAAGTACTGATGGGCGTAAGTAAGCAAAGTAGAAAATAAATTAACAAATCATGACTTTCTCGCGTGATTACCCTTCTTCTTCACCTGCTTGCTGATTTTCCTCTGTGAAAGTAAGGTCAGACTCGACAGGGCGCAGTAACGGGACGTCCAACACACCTTTGCACGCGTCCCCGCCTTACGACTTGGCTTACGCTTTTGTTCCCCTTTTTTCTCGTTCGCTTGCTCATCGCTCTCTTGTCCACTAGACCCGTCCTCACGTTCCGAGCTCGGCTTGGTGGGCGTATCCTCCCTATCATCTTGCTCTGAATCATCTGAGGACGGCTCTTCCTCGGATTCAGACTGATCACTGTTCCATCGAGCTGTTTTTGCACGTCTGAACCCGCCATCAGATACCTTCAATAACTGTAAGATAGAGAATTCCTCACTTCGTAGTCCCATTGGCCCTGTGCCTTGACGCCTTCCTTTTTGGAGGGGATTTGGAGTCTTTGGGTTCTCGGGGTTCACGCCGTTTTTCCTATCGTAGCAAATGATCAGGTGCACTCAACACCGCACAGCCCTGGAAGCTTACTTTGGAAGTGCCCGCAGGCTTCTGTGTTTTGGACGATTCTAAAAGCCAGGCCGATGTTTCTTCAGGGAGATAAACGGTCTTTAAGATCTGAAAGTGGCTACCAATCAGTTTTCGAGCCAACCTACGTAAAACGCTATGACCTTCGTGGCCGCCTCCGGATTTGGTAGTGCACGGAGAATATCCGAAGGTAGTTTCACCTTTCCCGGATAGCTCTGCAAACTCCAGGAACGTGCTTGTGCGCGAGCCTTGATAAGCTCTTGTGTGAGCTCGCTCATAGCGTAAAGATTCTAAAAGTAGCGCCGTTAATATCACAGATTCGACAGACAACACCAATACGGACTTCGCTATATGTATGCGACTGTCCATCACGAACAGTCTTCGCCTTCATAGCAAGGTGGTAAAGCAAGGATACATTATCAGAAGATGCTATTAAATCCAGATAAAAGTCGATGTATCTATGCAAAATGTCAGTGTCTCCGCATGCCCCTATAGATTTCGCAGGGAACGGAGCTTACTTGGCCATCTCTTGCAAATTTTCATGTGCATTCGAAAAATCAGGGTGATGTGCGAGAAGATGAAGCAAGCGGATGAATATAATTTCGAACAGGTCGACTTTGGCAGCTAAGGAGAGGCAAGTCTGTCAATGACGCTCGAGATTCACTATCATCAGAACCCACCCGCGGACACGTTTCGTGATGCGTGTGTAACATAGGAGATGGCCTGCAACGGTATCAGACACAGGTACGATAGTACATAAAACATCACTAACCCGGCTCTTTACGTCCGCCTCAGGATCATGCACAGTCAAAAAGGGTATAAGATTGTATCGCGGGGGAAGTTTGCGTGCAGTGAGGAGGGGGAAAAGCTTCATGAGGAATTCCATGCGAACATTATAGCATGGGTCCTACACCAGATTAACTTGTGCAAATTGATGCGGACGGCTCAAACCTACCTGCACAGTGATGGCTAGCGAGATGAAATTTGTGTTGATGGCGGTCGCGAACTTGTCTACTACAGACAAATGCAAAAGAGATATCGCAGCCTGTAACCGCATGCGCGACTTGACCTTCGGACTTTCAGTGACCAACCGTAAAGTCAGTAAAGTATACTCTAATAAAGACATGCGACACTGACTCGTCCGTTGCGTCAGCTGAATACGAGCCAGCATGATCAAGCAGAGTTGACAGCATCTTCAAGACAGGGGTGGCAACTTCAAGAGCTGTGTCTGTAGATGCATGCGCAAGACATCGATTGCGGCACACTTTGAGAGCCAATATTCGAGCGCGGAGCCTAGGTTGTACGTCGTCGTCCTCTACCCAATCGGCATCCGAGTCCATCTCATCCTATAGCATCACATATCAGTAAATTATCCTCTTTTAGGCCTACAGAATGATAGCAATACGCACAGGATCCGCTGGACTAGGTACCATGAGCAACTTCTTGACGAGAAAAGCCATCAAGACGTCGCTCTTGCGCTCAAATGCATCTGGCGCCAACCGAGCAAATTGAGCAAGAACGGCGGTATGTGCAACAAGTAGATCGGGCTCTGCTGTTGACAACTTCCTCGCTATTGACTAAAAGGCCTAGGATAAGTGCTCAGTCAGGATCAGACCCGGCAAGCTCACCTCCACAGCTTCGGCGCATAAATCATCGTGTTCCTTGGAGGCCACCAATATTTGGGCAGCGAACTTCGCTATACGAGCATTTGAACCCATGACATAGCGCATTACACGCTCCAGCGTCCGTCTGTGCAACATTAAGCGCCATAATGAGCAGACGACCAAGGGACCACTCACTTATCGTTAACTGCTAACGATTCATCGCTCTGTGAAACTGCTGCGAGTGCCTGCATACCTACTTCCACGAGCCGTACGTTCTTTTCGTCCGCGATTGCCTTTGTCAGCTCGCTGGTATGTGGCTTGTACAAAGCAGGGCAGTGTTTTGAGATGTACGTCAAGAGTGTCTGCGCATGCTTGGAGTCTGCTTTTTGCACACGCTTAATCAAAGTTGGAATAGATGACTGGTTAACTATGCGAAGCGTTGCCCGTCGAAGGAACACGGTCATAGTGCCTAGAATCGATTCCGAACTTGACTCGATCCGACGAAGGAACTCATTCTCCGTGCAGGGTGAGTACAGAGTCTAAATTTGAGTATAACAAATACTTACGGACGCTTTCACGAGTCCTTTGAGATCTGTCTGGGTATCCAAGCATGTCTTGAGTAACTTGTAAGACCTGTTCTCGTTTGTCCTTGCAAACGCATGCAGGTCCTCTGCTGCTTTCTGAGGATCCCCAAATTGTCCTGCGGCGGGATCAAATATATAGTGACGAACATAAAATAGCGATGCTTACGGGAAATGTGGCGAATGACGTTGTTGAGTCGCTGTTTGACAACGTCCTCATCCTCGTCAATGACACCGCCCTAATTCAAGTGTGGATGAAGGTCAGTTCCCCTACAGCCAAGACCTGAACTCACATTGTGTTGTACACAACTTTGCAGATATAACTCGTACGGCGAGGGCCTGCTACCTTTGATGCCACTTAGGAGGAGCACAGCATTAACCCCCCGATCGTCGAGGTAGCCCATTGTGTTCAGCAGTCGATCGGTCCATGCGACCTCATTTACATCAACGTTCTTTGAGGTCGACACTGAAGAACCAGAAGGGAGTGGGAATACGAAATCTGCAATAACCTGCTCCGCTGCAAGCCTACGATAAACGATGAAAACAAGAAATACAGTGGACAAGCAGAAGTTCTACCTTGCCTCCTGTGTGGAGTTGGAGATGTGAAGAATCTCGTTTGGAATCCAGAGAAGTGTCTGATCGCTGCTGGATCGTTGTTCTCGCTGTCGATGGGGTCAGGGGCTTGATAGCGATGAAGAGGCTAACCCATACATTTCAGGATATGCAGTGCTATAGAGTTTTCCGAGGCTGTTGAGTGCCTCTACTCGCACTGAATTCTGGAATGCCGCTTAATTAAATCACTAGAACCGACGCGTGTTACACACCTTTTTGTCCATGCCACGACCAGCGATAGAACGTAGCTGGTCCTCGGAAACATAGTGCAATACAGTTTCATAGTCTAACTGCGAATACACTTTGCAAACCGCCGCACGCACTTTTTCGTCGGGATCGAGCAACTTGAGCCTCATTAGCTCTACTGGCACGTTAGCATAGATGCTATGATAACGAAGAGGGATCTCACCATCCACAGTTTCCCGGTGATCATACAAATTCACCAAAAGACCTTTAGCGCTCTCTACGAGCTTCAATCGCACTGCTGCAGTCTTGTCGTTCTTCCGCATCAACCATACATTCCACGTTGTGGGGTATTTCTTAACAAGCTCTGCCCCACCCTTCTCTGAAAACATCTCACCGAGTGCCTGGGTGGCAATCAGACGCACTTGCACCTCCTCTACACGAAGCTCCTCTTCGAGTTGCGGGATAACGCTATGCAACAAAGATGGACAGGACCTGCTCAGTTGCTTCACTAGTTCGTGGGCCTTCCGTATCTCCTCGAAGTTAGACTCCGAGTCTGATTCATGGGAGTGCGCGACGATGATGTCCGTAAAATATTGACAGACGTGCCGCTGGAGCTTGTCCGCGGTGGCATTACAAACTTGAACGGCAAGGCGATATGCAGGTTGCTGAAGAAATGCAAGATAAGCGAAGGTAGTAATGGGATGGGCGGTGTAATGATTACCGTGTCGTTGGCCATAAACTGCGCCATGATGGTTTCCAATACTTCGGACGGAAGCGCTTGACACTCGTCTATGAGCGCGACGAGGATATCGGCAATAAAGATTTCGATCTTTTTTGCAAGGTCCCGTCGTACAAGGCCGAAAAAGTCGCGAAATATGTCGACCATAAGCTCCTCGGCATGTGGTAGATCGCAGACGAGGACAACGCTCTTCACCGTCGATAGGGACTCAAGGAGGTGGAAGTATTCATTGTAGTATGATGCCTCTGCTCCCCTCAGGCCAGTTGCTAGTTGTCTGAAGAAGAATTGGAATATGTCCCTAAGCTCGGTATGGGTATAAGGGGCGTCGGGCGCGTATAGCCTGAGTATGTCGGCGAGACAGCAAGCTGCGTA